CTGCCCAACCAGTGGCACCGCAAGAGTGTCCGCAAGGGCTTCAACTTCAATGTTATGGTCGTTGGTAGGTTGCTCACTCTTTAAGGGTTTTTTTTTAAAAAAAAATCTTCCTTTCGTGGCATCACTGACTCGTTGGTTCAGGTGAATCGGGTCTCGGCAAGTCTACTCTGGTCAACACCCTGTTCAACACCTCCCTGTACCCCCCCAAGGAGCGCAAGGGCCCCAGCCTGGACATCATTCCCAAGACCGTGACGATTCAGTCCATCAGCGCCGACATTGAGGAGGCCGGTGTTCGCCTTCGCCTGACCGTTGTCGACACCCCGGGCTTCGGCGACTTCGTTAACAACGACGAGTCGTGGCGCCCGATTGTCGACAACATCGAGCAGCGTTTTGACGCCTACCTCGATGCCGAGAACAAGGTCAACCGGATGAACATTGTCGACAACCGTATCCATGCTTGCGTTTTCTTCATCCAGCCGACCGGCCACTCCCTGAAGCCCCTGGATATCGAGGTCATGAAGCGCCTGCACACCAAGGTCAACCTGATCCCGGTCATTGCCAAGTCGGACACTCTGACCGACGAGGAGATTACTGCTTTCAAGCGCCGCGTAAGTGACTTGGTGTTCTTGCTTATGGTTTTACCTCGATGGCAAAGGCCGTTCGCTAACTGTCCTCCAGATTCTCGCCGACATTCAGTACCACAAGGTCCAGATCTTCGAGGGCCCCCGCTACGAGCTTGACGACGAGGAGACGATTGCGGAGAACAACGAGATTCTGTCCAAGGTTCCCTTCGCCGTTGTTGGTGCGACTAACGAGATCACCAACGCCGATGGCCGCAAGGTCCGTGGTCGTCGCTACCCATGGGGTGTCATTGAGGTCGACAACGAAGAGCACTGTGACTTTGTCAAGCTGCGCCAGATGCTCATCCGCACGCACATGGAGGAGCTCAAGGAGAACACCAACAACATCCTCTACGAGAACTACCGCACCGACAAGCTCCTGCAGATGGGCGTCTCGCAGGACCCGAGCGTGTTCAAGGAGGTCAATCCCGCTGTGAAGCAGGAGGAGGAGCGTGCCCTGCACGACCAGAAGCTGGCCAAGATGGAGGCCGAGATGAAGCTTGTCTTCCAGCAGAAGGTCTCCGAGAAGGAGTCCAAGCTCAAGCAGAGCGAGGAGGAGCTGTATGCTCGTCATCGCGAGATGAAGGACCAGCTCGAGCGCCAACGCCAGGAGTTGGAAGAGAAGAAGTCGCGCCTCGAGAGTGGCCGTCCCCTGGAGAAGGAGGGCAAGAGAAAGGGCTTCTCCCTGCGTTAAACCAGCAGCGACCACGTTTCTTTCGACGGTGCTTTTGCAACTCTGCGATACCACACGGCCCACCGCTCGGGTCTATCCGGCGCGACAGCGGCACGGCGCATGCGCACTTGTCACTATTCTTGTCTCTTATTTCTTGCGCTACTTTTATCTCCTCTACGATCCTATGTCTCGGTATACGCGACGCCCACCGCCGTCGCGATACGGTACCATCCCGCCGCTATTCTTTTGTCTTCATATTATGTCATCAGATTCCCTTTTATTTCCAAGCCTCCTTGTTATTTCTTTTGTGTCTTTTTGTTCTTTTGTTCTTTTGTGTTCTTCTTAATCACATTTCTAATTCACGAGAACAAAAATCCACCTTTTCCCTGTGTTTTATTGGCGGTGTGCAGCAAAATTGTTTTCGCAGAGTAACGGTTATGGAGAGGATGGGCAATGGAAAGAAAAGGAATTATCAACACTTTTTGTTATCTCGCCGTTTTTCTGTTCAAACGCGCCCTGTGGACTGGGAAGTCATCTGTGTGCCTCGACTGACCCGAAGAGCGGTTGATGACTGCCTCTGCTGATGCTCTCCTGATTTCCCACCTTTTGTAATAATGTCGGGATCGGGACTGCTGTCAGCGGGCAGGCCATAAACCAGCTGTCTGGACGGGACGTGCCATGCGTTTGCCGACTGTCTTTTGATTGTCTTTATTGTTGTTCTGGAGTTCTGTGGCTGTCACCAAAAGATATACCTTTGCTCGTACGAGGGATGCTAAGGCTAGGCTTCGTCGGATTGTGTTTGTGTCTTTTGAGTTGGACCGTAGAGAGGTCAGACTACAATATCACCTTTATTTTCTCTGTATATCCCATGCAATTCTTGAAGGAGGTTGTGGTCTTGGCACTCAAGGCACTCTATGTACGTCGTATTGCGTGGAGGCTTTTTTTTTTTTTTTTTTTGACTTTCGTGCTTTGCTCTGCCGTGTATGTCCTCATTTGCTTTTTGTTTATCATCTTATTTCCTCAGTTTGCCTCCTTACCCATAACATAATCTTACAAAACTACTTGCATTAACGTATGTCATCCGGGCGCTTCACCGTTAATGGCTTATCGAATGACGAACAATGTGAATCAGAGAGTGTTATTCTATGTTACAGTGGCATGCATGTATGCGTAAAGACTTTTTGTGTTGCGGGAGATACTATTTACACAAGCTGTAGAAAGCGGAAGAGAACGACAACAGAAAAAGGAGGACTCCGTATTCGACGAAGCTAACTGTGTTGTAGCCCCTCTAGCCTCGCCGCAGGTACCAGTTGAAGGCCAGCTGGGAGATCTCCGGAGGGAAGGGGGTCGGCACCTCGGAGTAACCGGGACGGCAGACTGGGTGGCGCAGGTAGACGGCGGCGCAGATGTTCTGGTTGACTTCGAGGTAGCGCGGGATGAAAGCAAAGGCCCGCATAAAAGGCCGTGGGCGCCAGGGCGTGGCATACGGTTTGGAGAGATCGACAGGGTTTTCGGCCTCCTCAGCCAGGAGCTTCTTGAAACGCTTGCGCTCGTTGTCCGTCAGCTGCGGCACATTCGGGTCCTCGTTGTGGCTGTTTGTGATTTCCAGCTTGTTCAGCATGTTTGTCAGGCTGTCGGCCAGGGGCGTGTTGGGCGGGGGCCTTCTGGACTGGTCGTTGGGCGTACGGTAAGCCGCCTTCAAGAGCCTTGCGAGGACCGGCCACGTTTTCTTGGCCGTCTTTGTCTGTTCGAGCGCTTCCTGGATTTTTAACGTCAAGCGGCCAGAGCTGTCTTCGGTGATCCAGTCGGAGTCTTTGTCGCCCTCTGCGGCCGCCACCTCGGCCGGGGCTGTCTCAGCTTCTGCCGTGGCTTCTGCAGCTGTTTCTGCCTCCTTGGCCGCGCCAACTACACCCAGGTTTCTGGCCCGCCTCGCCTTCCGTGAGCTCTTCTTCATACCTGTGCCGAACAGCACGTGGTCGACATCGACCTGGAACATGTCGCCGGGGTTCAGCAGATAACCAGGGTAGATCATCTACGGACGGAGTTAGCGGGGCAACCACCAGACATTACACAACAGTGACACAACAGTGACACAACCCCTAAGCACCTTCCCACCAGCTTCCTCACATACCTTCTTGCCGTTCACCGTGACGGCACCGTGCACGACAAACTGGCGCGCCTGGCGGGCACTGCTGGCAAACATGGCGCGGAAAATGGCAATGTCCAGACGGCGCTCCATGGGCGCAAACGCCATCTGCATGTACGGCGTCGTCCGCTGGGTGACCTGGTTCGTGCCGGCTTCCGGGTCGAGTTGTGCTTTCCCGAGGGCCGGGTCCGTCGCGCGGCCTCGACCGCGACCGGCGGCCTGCTCGGAACCGTCAAAGCGGGCCATGTAGCGCGGGTCGAAGTTGGTGACGGACTGCAGGCGGCGGCTGAACATGCGCTCCCACTTGCCCTCCTTGATGTGCTCGCCGTGGTAGCCGCGGGTCAGGGCCTTGGCCGCCCATTTTTGCTGGAAAAAGGTGCGCCCGAGGGACGGCAGCTGCGGGTAGTTGGCTTGCATGTTGAAGAGGTTGTATTTGTTCCAGTTTTGCCGCAGGCGCTGTGCTGTTGTTAGCGAGGTCTGTTTTGTCTCGTTGACGTCGGCTACCGGACGTCCCTCCCGTCTCCCATCCCCCGTTTCCTGCTTCCATTGCAACTTACCACGCGCCGCAGGCTGTGGTACCGGAAGGATCGTCTAGTCTTCATGGTGACGGCGATTTGGCGGATCAATTGGCCGTTGCCTTGAGTCGGTCAGTCCCCAATAGCACCGTCACCGTGCTCGTATTCGTTTGAGGGAGATCGTCGATCGGTCTGTCAGCAAGTGGTCGTGGTGGCGCTGGTGCGAACGTCACTCCTGTTTTGTCGTGTGCAGTTCCTAGTCCTCGCTGGTCGGACGACACTCACAAAGCTCACGCCTCCTGGATGCTAGAAGAAAAATGTGCATTCCGCGAATCACAACGCTAGCGTGGAGCGCGGCATGACTTCGGGAGTGCACGTGACCGCGTACGGCCAACAAGTCGACCATTCCCCCAATCTCCCGTCTGAATATTCGATCAATCGACACACCACTTCTTTGACACATGCATGGCTCTGTTTACATGTTGCGTCGGTGTACAAACAATGCGGCCGTGGCCGTTGACGGGCGTCACTGTCGTCGCAGGAGGTGGCCACCCATTGAATGACTCGCACGTGACTCTTTGACAAAAATATGCAAGGCGTAGTTGCTCGCCGGATGGGTCATCTCCACTGGTACGTCGTGCCTGCCATGGCCTGTCAGCCGTGCAATTGGCCTATGCCCCACTAAGCCATGCACTTGAGTCGCTCAATGCACCTTCGCTCCTGCACTTGCAGCATCAACGCATGCAGAGAAACGGTCCCGCATTTAAAAACCAGCCGCTAAGTTTTTTTATTTTTTACTTTTTTTTCTTTTGCAGCTACTCGTCCGCTTTGTCTGCGTCGCGTTTCTTCACCTTGCTTTTAACTTTTCCTTTCCGCGCTCTCGTCTTGCCTCTGTCTTCGTCTCTTCGTTTGTACCAAAAGAATTCTCCGTCTACCGTCCGCTGTTCGTCCCAATTCTCGCACGAGCATCGCTCCGCGCATAATCCTCAGCATCTGCAACCACTTTTTCTGCTCCAACCGCCGCAAGCACACACACACAATCAACAATGAGCGACGCACCAGCAGCGCCCGTCGAGGCTGTCGAGGTCCCGGCCGTCGAGACTTCGGCCGTTGAGGTGTCGGCTGAAGAGACTGCGGCTCCCACTGCCGCCGAGGAGACGCCCGCAGAGACTGCTCCGGCCGCTCCTGCCGAGACCACCACAGATGCTCCTGCCGAGACTGGCGCAAAGGCTGCCGACGGCAAGAGCACCAAGAACAGCAGCAAGTTCGACCCCAGCGTGCTGCCCGAGTCCGAGGATCACTCGGCCATCCAAACCCAGGTGAGTCAACAGCAATCGATCCCCGGCACCACCCACTCAACCCCCTCACCCCCTCAACCCGCCTCCATCCGCTAAACCATCCTTCTCCAGGTCCACTTCTACTTCAGCGATAGCAACCTGCCGACGGACAAGTTCCTGTGGGAACTGACGGGCGGCGCCGAGAACAAGCCGGTGGAGCTTAAGAAGATCTGCCAGTTTGGCCGCATGCGTCGCTTCAAGTCGTACGAGACCGTGGTCGCTGCTCTGCGTGACAGCAAGTTCCTCACCGTCAGCGGCCCTGCCGGCGCCGAGGTCGTCGTGCGCAAGAATGCCTACAACCCAGACCGTCCCCGCAGCAAGATCGACGCCGCTACCGTCTACGTCAAGGGCTTTGGCGACGAGGAGCCTTCGACGCAGTTCGACCTCGAGGCCTTCTTCACAAAGTACGGCACCGTCAACGCCGTGCGCCTGCGCCGCACCGCCGACAACCTGTTCAAGGGCTCCGTCTTTGTCGAGTTCCAGGACCCCGAGCAGGCCGAGGCCTTTCTCAAGCTCGAGCCCAAGCCGCTGTGGCGCGACCAGGAGCTCAAGATCATGTCCAAGCCCGCCTACGTCGCCGAAAAGTCCCAGCTGATCCGCGAGGGCAAGATCGAGCCCAACACCAACAGCGCGCCGCGCTTCTTTGAGGGCCGTGTCCTGGGCGGCAAGCGTGGTGGCGGTGGCTTCCGCGGCCGCGGTAACGGCCACCACCACGGTGGCGACAAGAACGACTGGAAGAAGCGCCGCGACGACGACCGCAAGAACGGTTTCCGCGGCGGCCGCGGCGGCCGTGGCGGTCGCGGTGGCCGCGGTGGCCGCGGTGGCAACAACTGGAACAACAACAAGGAGCGCAGCAACGAGCGCAACGACGAGCGTGCGGCGGCTGCTACGCCTGCCGCTGCCGCCAACACCACAAACGGCGGCAAGCCGGTGATCCACGCGACCAACGAGAAGGGCGAGGTCGTCGACGCCGCTAACGGCAACAAGCGCGCCCGCGAGGACGACGGCGCGGCGCCGCCCGCCAAGAAGGTCGATGCCAAGGAGGCATGAGCACGACCTGGTGCCTGCAGTGCGCCGTTCCTTCTTGGTTGATTTTCCCCCTGTTTTTTCTGTATTTGTGTACTCGTCAGTTGTGTGCTAGACCGGCTGTGTTGTCATCTTCTTTTTCCATTTTGTATTGCACCTGCCGACATGAATTTTGGTACCACATCCTGTTTTGTTTTTCGTTCTTTTTTTTGGCATATTCTTGCTGTGTTTGTGTTCGGATCATTCGGCGTTTAGGAACCTTTTAAAACGAGACAGGGAAAGAATCAAAGTGAGAAAAGCAAAAAGAGATAGCATTACATGCCCCCGATACGACATATCGGGCGCGGCAAACAATTAAACAGACAAACAAGATACCACTTGCCGAACAAAGGTCACGATTCAAAGCCGACTCGATGCGCACTTGTATTCGTGCCGTGCGCCGCTCCGTCGGCCCATTCCGGTGGATGTAGTCGGTCCGCAGACCGAGTCCAACGTCTGCTGACGCCATTCACATGCGCCGGCATCTGTTAACGGGATCGACCGCTCTGATGTTTTTCGAAGCAAATCCCGCGATGCTGAAAAATCCACTGAATACAAGCCTCATCATTTGACCTTTTGCGCAGACACAAGATGCAGACTAATTTACGACGAACGCATTGTGTAGTTCGAATTTTGGTGGCTCTGGCCCCATCAACTAGATCGAGCAATTCATGCAGGCGGGCGTACTTTTCCGGCGCCTTTTTGCGCCGTTCCCAGCGCTTTACGAGGAGAGACTGGCGTCAGTGCTGCAGCACATCCGCCTTCGAGTCAAGATCAATAAGCATGGCAAACTATAAAGCTCTCTGCTGCCCAATGGCCAGCATGTTTGATTGACCTATTTGCCCACGTTCCTCTCCATACTCATCTCCTGAATGCTCACCGAAACTTCCTCAAAATGCTGGCCGTTGACGACAAGAGCCTCCCCGAAGCCCTCAAGGCGATGCCACACTCGGGTCCGTTCTCGTAGAGCTGGCGATTTCTCCCAATAATCAAATGGATCACTGCTAACACATTCAGGCCTGCTGGTGACACCCCACGCCCACCACGACACCTATGATGCCATCAGCCCCAAGAACATCGACCTCGCCGGTAAGGCTGTGCTGATCACGGGCGCCTCGCGCGGCATTGGCCGTCACATTGCCATTTCCTACGCACGGGCCGGTGCCTCGCAGATTGCCATTGCCGCCCGCGGCGATTCAAAGGAGACGGAGGCGGCTGTCCTCGCTGCGGCCGCGGCTGCCGGCAGACCAGCCCCTACACTCCTGGCTATCCCCCTCGACACCACCGATGTAGCCTCGGTCGACGCCGCCGTCGCCACACTCACCAAAGCGTTTGGCCGTCTCGACATCCTCGTCAACAACGCCGGCGTCCTCGAGCCCGTCAACCTGCTCGGCGACAGCGACCCACTCGCCTGGTGGCGCACCTTTGAGGTCAACATCAAGGGCGTGTACCTGGTCAGCCGCGCCGTGCTGCCTCTGTTGTTTTCGTCGCCCGACGGCAGCCGCACAATTGTCAACCTGACCAGCATCGGCGGCCTTCTGGTCTTGCCCACCATGAGCGGCTACAACACGTCCAAGCTCGCCGTCTGCCGCCTCACCGAGTACCTGGCCGCGGAGTACGCCGACAAGCAGCTCGTCGCCATGGCCGTGCACCCTGGCGGCGTCGCCTCCGACATGAGCCTGAGCCTGCCCAAGGTGTACCACGCCAACATCACCGAGACGCCCGCGCTTGTCAGCGACTCGATTGTGTACCTGACGCGCAGCCCACAGCTGTGGCTGGCCGGGCGGTATGTCAGCGTGCAATGGGACCTCACGGAGCTGGAGGCCCAAAAGGACGAAATTGTGCAGAAGGATCTGTTGAAGAGCAAGCTGGCCGTGTAGATGTAAGAGCGAGCGTCATGTCCGGATACAGACCAGAGACTGCGCCTGACTGTGAGGCCGATACAAACATGGTTGACCGCGGTCAGAGCACAGGGTCAGATACGTAGACTCGGGCGACTACGATTCGACCCCGACGGCTAAGCTATAGACGAAGACGACTAAATGTGAGCTTGGCGGCGTCCAAAATGTAATTATTTTCGAATTTCGATTCTCAGTCAGACTTTGTGGTTTTCCGGGTCCAGATAATACCTTATTCGAACAGTCAAACATCGAGTGTTTGCTTCATACCAAAGCATCGCCTCGCAAGGCAATGTACACATACTAAAACTGGCTGGCTCTTGTATGCGCCTCGTCTGTAATCCATTGCGTTTCGCTGTGTTTTTTGTGCGCGAAGGCCCGACGTCGGAATATCGGGGCTGATATCTCACTTTTAATTTCGTACGTTGCATTTTAAAGTACCTGTTGAAGGTCGTCAAACATGAATGTCCCGTTGATTTACATGGTTCTTACGAATGTACCACACCGAAAGCCACATGGGAACGGGGGCGGAGTTTATCGTTCTTCGTATAGCAAGTTACTGCGGTCACCAATCGCCGGTGCAGCCTATAGCCGGCCGCCAAGGCCGTCTTCGGGACCGTGTCGCCTTCATGGGACTGTGGGAGTATGACGTACTCACTGCATAGGCAGTCTGCAAAGTCTTGTTATCTCGAGGTGTTTTCGCCTGTCTGCTAATCTCCAGCTACTTTCCATTCCTTTTCTTCTTACTGTAGGACGGACTAATACAGCCCACAACACAAGCATCAGTGATCTTGTCGTGTGGAGACAGTCGGCAACTCAAAGCTCCGATCTCCACTAAAAACACAACTCTAAAAGGCCACTGGTTCCCGTTCTTTTTGAATAGCTGCTTGTTCAACTTCCGGCTCCTTTCCTCGTCCATTCTTCCTTGCCTCTTCCAGGCCCATTTCTTTCTGCACAAGGCTTCTCCTACCTTATCGGATACCGTATGCGAATCCAGGGGAGCAACGTATTGCACCGATGGGACGAAAGAGTTTAGGAAAATAAAAGTGTTTGGTGATTAGGGGGAAAGGAGCTAGCGGGTCAGATACCCGCTTCTAACAACTCTCAGGCTGCGCAAATATACTCCGTAAATACACTCCGTAAATCCGACTGGAGAGTTGTGCAAGCAAACGACATCAATGGCCATGATCCTCCTTGCGATGATCGCTGGCCCACCCACCACTTGCTCCTTCCCATGCGAGTGATGCTTTGCTATGCGTCCTGTTGCGGAGCGTCAAAGTACAAAAAGGGAAGGAGTGTTCCTAGAAAGAGGCGCATGCTCAATCCTGGAGAAGGCGCGTCCGATAAAAGGACCTTGAGGGGAATGATACCACTAGATACTTCCCCTAAGCTGCCGTTTTTCAAAACCGACATTCGCTAGGGGGAAAGCACGTCCTGTGACGTCTACGCCCTGGGCGGACGCCTTTCACGCTTTGCCACTTCGGTTCGGTAACTGTCCTCGTGGAGTCAGGAGAGCAGGCTCGAGTCAGTGCCTCCTCGTTCTCCTCTTTTAGTAAATTTGAGTTTTCTCACGGCCATTGTCCACTCAGGTCCTGTCGTTTTGTTTTTTTTGTCCATTTTTTAGGTAGTTCGCCGCGGTGTGGGGCCTGCCGAATCGGCATGCTTTTGCCGGTTCCTAGCACATCAGCAGCTTCCTGGTTTGGAGTTCGGCCGTTTCCACAATGCAGGTCGTTGGGAAGGATCGAACAAGGAAAACAGGAAAGGAAGGAGCGCAACGAAAGAAAAGGAAGTAACGATTGCGGATGACTGCTTTCCTTGCAAATATCCCACCCACAGCATCCATAATTTTGCTTTCCCCTTTTCTGGTACTCTGGAGAGCATTTTGCAGTTTCTTCGCTCTTCGCCTTCAACAGTCAGCCCGTCCATACCGGCAGACGTTTGGCGGACTTTCGCAGTACCTCCCTCCAGGCCTAATTCCTTTTTATTTTCCTTGATTATCCAGTAGCTCTCTTACTTCCTTCGTCGGCTCCGTGACGCTTTCAACGTCGTATTTGACTTTGCCATTCGCCTCTCCTCCAGTCTCAGTCACCGTTACGCCTCCACACCATTTTCTATTATATCTTGAATTAATTCATCATAGATATCTGCGCTTCACACGCCCTCTTTCTTTGCATCTTATCCCATTCCTTTTTATCCTGGACATCTTTTCTTTTTTCAAACCAAAACACAGCGAGTTCCTTCCTGCATCGTATCCTCGCCTCTAATCTGCCTTCAAAAAGCAACAGCAACACAATCAGAAACACGGACGGAAGATCGGCGTTGCTTATTTAAAACAAAAAATCTACCCAGCGATCTGTTGACGAGCCACGATTGCTTCCAGAACGGTTCTAGGATCGTCTCGTTTAGGACGTCAACTTTAGAATCTCACACCTTCCATGGCCTCACCACCAGAGGCGTCGGGCGCCTCAGCTTTGTCAAGCGACCCATCCCACAAGACAGACTTGGCGTCATCCTCAGTACCCGCAGTTTCTTCATTAGAAAACGTCGACGGTGGCGCCAATGAGAAAAAGGAAAAGTTCCTAGAAACCGGCGACGCGGCCTCCCCCCACGAATCCGACGACAGCAGCGACGATGACAGTAGCAGCAGTAGCAACGGCAGCCGCTACCGTGCCAAAGAAACCCAGGCTAGTAACAAAAAGTCCCGGTCCCGTTCCATTATCTCGCGCTCATTATCTCGAACCCGGTCTCGAACCCGGTCACGGACGCACTCCGTAGCCGACGGCACAGCACCCGTCACACGGACAGTCTCTGAAGTCCGCGGCGGCGTCTATTTCACTCGCGACGTTGAGATTGACGGAATCGAGCGGGAGGAAGAGGGCGAGCGTGCCGGCCTGTCGCATTCGAATGCTGGAGGCAATATTGACGTCGAAAAGGGTGCCGGTAACGACGGCAGCAACCTCAGCCCGGGCGGCGGCGGCGGTGCAGAAAAGAGCGGCGGCGGTGCGGGCGGTGGTGCTGGTGATGATGCAGACCCCAACTTGGTCAAGTGGGAGGGACCCGATGACCCGGAGAACCCCAAGAACTGGACCATTAGCAGAAAATGGGCGGCCGTCTTTGTCGTCAGTCTCTTCACCTTCATCTCGCCCGTGTCGTCCAGCATGGTTGCACCTGCCCTGCCGGATATTGGCCGCGAGCTCGACATCACCAGCTCCGTCGAGCAGCTGTTGACGCTGTCCATCTTTATTCTGGCGTATGCCGTCGGTCCGTTGTTCCTCGGCCCCCTGAGTGAGCTGTACGGCCGCGTCATTGTCCTGCAGCTCAGCAACCTGCTGTACTTCTTCTTCAACCTCGGCTGCGGCCTGGCCAAGACCCGCGGACAGATGATTGCCTTCCGCTTCCTGTCGGGCTTTGGCGGTTCAGCTCCGCTCGCCATCGGTGGTGGCGTTCTTGCCGATCTCTTCACCGCTGAGCAGCGTGGCCGCGCTCTCTCCATGTACTCGCTGGCACCACTCTTGGGCCCGGCCGTGGGACCTATCGCCGGTGCCTTTATTGCCCAGAACACCAGCTGGCGCTGGGTCTTTTACTCTACCACCATTGCGGACGGCATCATTCAGTTTGCCGGACTGTTCTTCTTGCGCGAGACGTTTGCGCCGGTTTTGCTGACGTGGAAGCGCAACCGCCTTCGCAAGGAGACGGGCAACGACGCACTCTATACGGCGTTTGACGAGGCGCGTGCTGGCGGCGTCTGGCACACCCTGCGTATCGCACTCATCCGGCCCTTCATCATGGTGAGCTCCCAGCTTATCATCCAAGTCCTTGCCTTGTATATGATGTACCTTTACGGCATCATGTACCTGGTCCTGGCGACCTTCCCGTCCCTGTGGACAGAGGTCTACCACGAACGCCAGGGCATCGCGGGTCTCAACTACATCGCGCTGGGCGTGGGCTTGTCCGCGGGCGCCCAGGTCATGGCTCCGTTGCAAGACCGCGTCTATGCATACCTCAAGCGGCGGTATAATGTGTCTGTCGGCCGCCCCGAGTTCCGTGTGCCCATCATGGTCCCCGGCTCAATCCTTGTCCCCGCGGGCCTCTTGATTTTTGGCTGGACGGCCGAGTACAAGACCCACTGGATCGGACCCAACATTGGCGCCGCCTTGTTGGCCAGCGGCGTCATCATCGGCTTCCAGTGCATCCAGGGCTACCTTGTCGACACGTACACGCGGTATGCGGCCAGCGCTGTGGGCGCTACGACTGTTCTGCGCTCGATTGCCGGTTTTGGCTTTCCCCTCTTTGCCCCGAACCTATACTCCAGCCTCGGCTACGGCAAGGGCAACACCGTTCTGGCGGCCATTGGCATTGCTGTCGGATGGCCGGCACCGTTTCTGCTTTGGAAATATGGGCCATATCTGCGGGCAAAGAAGTCCAGCTTCCAGGGTTAAATTGATTTTCAAAATTCCCTAATATTAAAAGCTGAAGGGTGTGTGAAAGAAAGAATAACAGCAAGCGAGCTGATGAATCTTTGTCACATATTGGTTTCGTTTTCGAAAGTCACTTGCAATGTGAGGCGTGGTTGGGTAGAATTTGTTAGACGGCGGGAAACAAACAGTGTGTAAAATAATAATCGCAGAATAATACCATTTTAATGTTAATAGAATAAGAAGCACCTGCACGAAATAGGACGAATGTCCGAGACGAGAAAATCAAAACAGGTAGGCCTGGTCGTTGAGGAACAGTAAATCCAGTAGCCGACAGTGAACAGCCACAAAAGGCGTTCAGGTCATCGCCAACATCAACATCCCTTACCAATCATCCCATGGATAGCTCCAGGCGATACGTACTTGCACTCGCCCTGGGCACCCACAGCCGAGAGGTTCGGGGCGGGCTGAAGGGCAATATCCCGAAAGTCGATGTTATAACAAGGCTGCCGAGTTGAGCACGATATCCGAGCAGTCCGATTGTTGCTGGTGTTGATTTCGGCAGAGCGACTGTTTTTGGCATTTAATGTCCCCGTGAAGTTGCGAAACGCGATGTTGCTTATTAGTATATTGGATGTTCCTGGGTACGATCCTAGGCACGACACATTAGATGAGTCCCGGTTATGTCAATATGGAGAGAAGTCCGTGATGCAGGAGTGGACATAGCCTCGCTCTTCTCCGTCTGTCCATGTTCCTACCATTGTTTCCGCTGTCTTGATCGATAGCGGGGCCACTGCCTGCGCCGTCGAGGTGGAAATTAGCAAAGACCACGTTGGTCACGCTTCCTCGGCCACCGCCGTTCGGCTTTCCAGCGCTTTCATAACTTCCACGCGGCTGAAAGACGGTCTCGCCCACCCAGGTCTTGATGTAGGCTGAGTTGTGCATGTCGCTGTTTCGAGCAATGAGGCGGACATCTGTGACGACCACATTGGCAACAGATGAGTCTTCCTCCGGATATTGGCCAAGGCTTCCAATGGCCACGCCATTGCCTCCGTGTATTGTCAACTGCACAATGCCATGTCAGATACGGATGAGCCTCTGCGCACATTCTGGAGTGCGTGTACGACCGAACACAAGGGAGCAGATGAAGGGCTGCCTCACATTCTGATAGTAGATGTTGAAGGACCTTGGTTTGATTGCAATTGCATCATCGCCTCTAGAGGATTGCCATTGTCAGCGAACAACGCCTAAGCCAACATATATACAATACATGTAACAGTCGTCACGGTACCCTTGAGGCTCTGTTAGCTCGACTGTCTGCCAGCAAAAGAAGCAGACACAAGCGCGGGTCAACGGCAGAAATAAAAACAAACTGGAGTGTTCTCCACACTCACGTACCTTGATAAACAAAATTGGTCAGGGCTACGTTGTGTGCGTCCATGGTATCGAAACCGTCTGTGTTCTGAACCCAGTTCTTGCCTGGTGGAGCTGTCGTTGCGGTGTTGTTCACGTAAATGTCATCGAACCATAGATTGCTGCCATTCATCACATTGATGCTCCACAGAGGCGACTGGACCACAGAGACTAAGTTGTTAGACAAGCAGATGAGGGATGATCGACAGCCATCAGACCACTGGTTGCTCTTTCAAAGCTTTCCGGAATAGCGATCACTTACAGTGCCGGACAACCACGTCGCTGACGTTCCAAAGGACAAATGGCATTGGACGGCCAACCTGTGTGACGCCCTGTTCGACCGCATACCAGCTGTCTCCTCCGCCATCGATGCCGCCTGTCCCGTGTCCGTTTATTGATATTCTTTCGCCAGAGAGTACGAAGCCAGCTTGATGGTTTTGGAAGGCAATGGGATACCCATTGGCACGCCAGTACGTGAGGTTGGTGGAGAACTGTAGTACACGGTCAATACTGGGAGAGCCCCTCCGTGACCATATGGCCTGGATCCGGAAGAGTGCTCACCTCCCATACACCATGCCAGTGCACGGTTACGTCCTTGACAACTAGGTTGAGGCGAGAGGCTATGGTGTACCTCGCGCCCTTGGGAAAAACGACCGTGCCGCCGCCATCGCAGTCAGCAAACGCCTGTAGGATCTGAGGAACGTCATCCACAACAACAGCACCGAAGCCAGTGGTTTCGGCCTGCTGCCGGATCGGCGTGACAACACAAACTCTGCCATCTGCAGCAGGGCTTCGTGGCTGGAGCATCGCCAAAGGATGCAGACCTGAGGCCATTACGCCTAGAGGAAGCATCGTTGCTATCACAACTGCTGACGCAAGCATCGTGACCATCGTTCGTAGGGCTTGCACGGCGATCGTCAGACTTTCTGGTCACGAAAGAAAAATAATCTCATACCCCAGATTCTGTCCCAGTGGAGAGGTGCTTTTCGATCAAAGCAATGCAAGGCCAGTACCAGGCAATATCAAGCCGCTCGCCAAGCCACCGCCATCCCGTCGTCTTCCATCCACCTCTCGCTGTCGCTACATCTCTGACCTCGGACTTTTGTAGTCTCACTGCTACGAGAAACGGAGAGGATGAGAAGGGAGAAGGGAAGAAGTATGTAGAACAAATCTTGTACAGGTTAAGCTTCTCCACCTCACGGGATTTGAAGTGGTTTGCTCCTTCCCATCAGTATAGCCAATGTTTATTTCTCCGTCAAGGCACACGTGCCTCTCAATGCATTGTAACGCGACGCCCCCAAATTTGGGGATTTGGTTAATTCAAGTGGTCAAAACCCCACACAAAACCAACCGCTGCCGCCTGTGTGTGGTTTCAATGTGCCCACCACCTTCGTACCTGCCGAGCAACAACAGTACACACCTAGGCCACGCCGTAGCACCTTCCGTCTCAACGCTGCTGTTGCGGCGTTCATACTTGCCAGCTGCGACTGCCGTGGAACTGGAGAAACTCTACCTCTGTAGGCCCTTCGAGGTAATCATCCCGTCGTGCCTTCCCTGCGCATCATATTTTGGGGCTCCGTGGCTTGCTCTCCTCAAAGGTATTATTTGTGGGAAGGCGCGGTTTCCATGCGGCTGTCCCGTTCAAGAAGGAGAGACACACCAAGGCGATCCACCAAAGCCAAAGTACCCCTTGTCTCTTTTCTGTCTCTCATTCTCTGTCACCCAACCAACTTGTCTTCGTTTTAAACCTCTTCCATCTTGCTTCCCCATTGTATATCATACCGAGGCCGTCTAAGAAGCTCCGACACTGTCGTCCGTCTCAACCTCTGTACCACAAGTCCCAGGTCCAACGTTCTTCAACTCATATCCTTGTCGCCGCCCAGTCACGGAGTATTCCGTTCCTCCAAGACTCGAGACCAGCATCGAAATAGGCTCAAGTCGTGGCGATCTGGCGATCTGGCGATTTGTCAGGTTAACCTTTACGCTTTCATTGGCCATTGATACTCTCGGGGCACCGCTTTTGCTACCGAACCTACGATGTCCCAGTAGCGGTTGCACACTTTCAGGTTCAGGTAAGAAGCCTCATCCGTCTCTTATTCCCTTCTCGTCCATAATTTTCGACGCCCGTGGCTGCACAACATCATCGCCCGCTGGGCCCACGTATTCTTTGCCTCCTGCCTGGGCATCTACCACAGCGAAAGAATGTAAAGGAATAGGTGCCCAAGGCCAAAATGGGGTGACCGTAGGTATGGCTCAGTGAAAGAAAAGAATAAAGAAGATAGGAATTTAAGTATGCTTAAGTTCTCAAGACTTTCGCTTAGGCGACCGTTCTACGATACGTGGCCGCCTACGAAAGGATTCTTATATATTCCTTTTAAGTGAAGTTTGCAGAGTTTTTGCAGAGTTTTCTTAGTTCCGTCGCTCGTCGCTCTAAGGCGCGTCAGCGACAATGGAACTTGTTCCTTTTCGCCTTATGTACGATCGGAACTCTGATTGAGCTTTTGACCTACCTCGGCTACTTGGGTAAGTTTGATAGGCGAATACTTGCCGAATCTCTTTCTCCCTTACATTATCCCCCCCTTTCAATAATATCGTCCCGATATTTGAAAAAGGTCAAGGCTTCATTTGCCCTTGAGTCTGCGACGGGACTGAGACCAAGAGCCCATGCATCTGCATCAGAGCAGTGGCGTAGCTTGCGCATCAGAGCCATCGCGTAGCAGTTACAGGGTCCTACGTGGAGAAAACCTTGGTAAGTGCGCGTGCCCCTCCCCTTATAGTCGGCGACCCGACGACTTGGAGTCGTAGATGGATCGTAGTCAATATAAGGGATTTGTTGTGAACATACCGGATGCGGTAGTATTCAGAAGTGACTATAAGGTTAGGCGAGAGTGAGGTTAAAGAACGACGAAGGCTAGGCGAAGGCCTTACGACCGGCCAGGCGATAGGTATAAATACTCCTCGCGCCCCCCTACCTTACCTCCGCCAACTCTCCCTCTTACACACCACGTATCGACAATTCGGCGCCGGTGTGGCGCCTTTTCTAACCTCGTTAAACCACAACAACACCACTTTCGTCGTCTTTCACTCGTTAACAACACTTACATCCGTCGCAACCATGGCCCCGGGTGCCCTCTCCATCGACGGGGAGTTTAGTAAGGAAGAGGTGACCGCCGCCGTCACTTTTAATGAGGCTGCGGGCTGGCAACTGAAGCCTGGCCGTGACGACAAGGGTGTAAGTACTGAAAACAGTTTCTAGTTCGGCGATAAACTAACGAGAGGCAGGCGCCGTGTCTTCGTTGCGTGGCCCGGTCCGGCCAGGACATTACGGTCAAGTACCCGTGTGTACGGGCCACTGGGAAGGAGATTTGCGTTGGGTGTTCGGTGGAAGGCAAGAGTTGCCACCCAGTGAGTCTCAGACCCGTCTCCGATTGTTCGCCGTTATACTGACTGTCTCTTGCCAGATCCCAAGCGACTTGCGCGGGCTGTGTCAGCTCGTCTGGAACTCTCAACAAGACCTGCGATCGAAGTACGATGCATATAAGAACCAAAGCGGAACCATAACCAGCGAAGTTAAGGCGAAAGAGCTCGCTCTGCTCTACGCCAAGATTCTACTGGCGTCGGACACGCTTCGGCGTGCCACCGGCGTCTCGTCGGCTTCCTCCCCAAAGGTAAAGGATAGAGTTATTTATAAGGCGGTCGAGCCCGCCGTCCCCGACGTCGTGATAAATAACAGACTACTTCGCTTACAATGCCTCCTTACGTTGTCGTCAACCAGTCTTAACCTGTTCTCAGACGAGTATAAGTCGGAGGTCAAGGACCTCCTCAAACAAACTCGCCTCGTCAGCAAGTCCACTCCTACCCAAGAGTGGACCGACGCAGGAAGAGCTCTTGCTCGCCTCGTAAGTTTCGTCTCCTCATCTCCGATCGGTCTGCGACTTGCTTCTGACTATGTGTAGAAGAATAACAGTGCTCCGTGCGATAATTCGCGGCGGTTCGTGCAGGAGTTTATGAACGGCACCTTCGGCGTCTACGACGCTACGAAGGCGGTTAAACGACTGGTCGCAGTTCATGACCACATCGAAACCGGCCCTGCGTCTGTCCTTCAGTTCCCCGCTCCTCCCATTCCCAGTGGGAAGGGGACTCGGGCCGCTCGGCCCGGTCAGGCTGCGCCGTCCCGTCGTAAGTCTTAGGTTTGTAGGAGGTTGGCCGGCGCTGGGTAAGCAACTGGCAAGGAGTTTAGGTGTTTGGAGTTTGAGTTTAAGGAGGATTAGAGTATTGCCTGGTAGTGGCGACAGATTAGCGACAGGTAGTCGACTGGAGCAAGCCGTAAGGCTTAGCTGTGATGCATTTGCGATGATTTATTTGTTTATTTCGAAGATTTTAACCATAGTTTGAATCAGAGTCGTCTCTTTATCGGTTATCCGTCGCCACGTAATCTTCCCACTTCTTGTGCCTGTGTGTAGCCTTTTTAAGGTAACGAGAGAGAATAGCCTTTGTATTTTCAAGATTTTGCGTTGACTCCCACGTATTGTACCCAGCCGGCCAGCCTTTCCATTTCACAAGGTATTCGATCGTAGATCGATCGCCTCTGTGGGTAACGATATCCTCTACTTCCCATTCCTCTTGCTCTTCAACAAGTTCAGGCAGTGGCATTGAAGACTGGTAGGCGACTTCACTGCGATCCGACCACGGTTCTATGAGTGAAACTGGGAACACGTGGAGACGTGCGTACTTTGTAGGCATTCGTCGCGTTCTTCGAGACCGTCGGTTTGGGTGGGGTCGGCTTTTTCTCGCCATCTGATCCGTCGGGCCAAACTCGTGGTCGTGGTGAATAGGCTGTTCCAGCTGAAGACCCGGGACTACCAAGCCTGACCACCCGGCCTGGGCTGGGCCTCTCTCAATCAGCGTACCGCCCTGGGCACAAAGCAAAGTCCTTTGATCTCGGCTCTTGTCCCCACCATACCAGCAGACCAGCCCGCATGTGTTGCACCCTTCCCCTCCCCTTGCCCAGGCCCCATTACGTTTTTATTCACAAACAAGTGTGCTTCGACCGCCGCTTTTCTCTCTCAGATATGTATTCGCGAAACGATGTGGGTGTGTGGCTGCGCTCTTTTACTGACCAGGCATCTATGTATTGTTAAAAGTGAAGCACGACCTTTTTCCACTCCCGGTACCCGCGCGAATTCTCGTACGACATACGACGTACTTTTCCGACTTTTGCGCATCTCGAGGCTTTTTCTCGAGAATCGACTCTTCACCGTCAACAAGCACTCACAAAAAAATCTCAAAAACGCTGCTGCTCTCCTGCTCTTCTAAGACCTACTACTTTGTGTTTGGCAACCGACAGCGCCGGACGGCACCTTCAGCTCTCTGCGCTAACTCTGTCAGCCTTTATCGAACTCTCATTGGCCTCTCGTCGGCAACACTCTTGCACCAAACAGGCCACTTGAAATAAGTCGGCAAGTCGGTGGCTGTCTGAGAGGCTTATCTATTACCAATCGTACACTGTGAGACATTGTGGCTCTGGATACGTCAATTTCTCGCTTTTGTTCGCAAACATTGTTTTATTGGCAATATCATCATCCCAATACAATACCCCGGCTTTGAGGGACCCAGATTCTCGGTTCCCATTTGAACACTTTCAGCATTCCGGTTTGTCTACTCTTCAACGCCACAGCACTCTGCCATTTGAGCACCCCCCTTGTTTCACTTTTTTCTTGTCTTCTTTCGACATCGCACCACCAGCCCTTATGCATGCAAGTTTCTGCAGGTTTGCGGTCTTGACTCCGTTGTTGGTCGGCCGCGTTTAGCTTTGAGTTTTCGATCTTGTCCGTCGTCCAGCGTACTCTCCTCCTTGTGACGCCATGGGCGCCAACGACCCCCGACCTGCCTACGGACAAACGACAGCGCCGCTCCCGATTTCCAACTTCAACCCTGCAGTTCCACCATCCGCAATGCCCTCCGCCTCAGCCGCGCCTCTCTCGGCCGTCTCCTCACAGGGCGGGCCGGCGTCGGCACCATCGACTGGAGGATCGGCGGCCACACCGAAGAAAAAGTCGCGGCGCAATACTGACCCTGCAGCGCAAAAGCGACGGTGCGTCAGCACGGCCTGTGTCGCATGCCGGAAGAGGAAGTCCAAGTGCGACGGCGCACTGCCGAGCTGCGCGGCTTGCGCCAGCGTCTATTGTACCGAGTGCGTGTACGACCCGAACTCGGACCATCGGCGGAAAGGCGTCTATCGTGAGAAAGTGGACAGCATGAAAGCACAAAACTCGACCTTGCAAATCCTCATTGAGTCGATCCTCAATGCTGATGAGGATGATGTGCTTGCCATTGTGAGAAAGATTCGCACGTGTGACAGCCTCGATGCGGTGGCCGAGTCGATCATGAAGGACGACCAAAACAACAACGGAGACGGCGGAGATGACGCCAGCACCGTGTCAGACAATGCGACAGTCGACCCAGACCAATCAGCGGAAGGCGAGATCGAACTAGCCAGGAAGATGGGTGAATTGCGTCTTGAAAACGGCTCTGTTCGCTTCATCGGCGGCACCTCCCACTTAATATATATTGGCGACTCTCTAGGTGACAACGACGTTGTCTCGAGCCCCGAAAACAGCGCCGAGGGCGCTTCGGCAGCCGAGGGCGAATCTCAGTTCGAGTCACCGTATACCACGACCGAGGAGGCCATCAACAGCTGGACGAACGTCACCGCCGACACTTCGTTGATCATCCATTTGATGAATATGTACTTCAACTGGCACTACACATACTTCACCACCCTCTCCAAAAGCCTCTTTTACCGCGACTTTCTTCGAGGCCGGCCACTGGTGCCGCCAAAGCGTACCGTCTATTGCACATCGCTCCTTGTCAACGCCATGCTCGCCCTGGGCTGCCATTTCACCGGTGCCGTCGGGGCCTTTGCCATCCCTGGAGACAGCCGTACGAAGGGCGACCACTTCTTCGCGGAGGCGAAGCGCCTCATCGTCGAGAACGACGAATACGAAAAGCCGAAGCTTGCCACTGTGCAAGCCTTGGCTCTAATGTCGGTCCGCGAAGCTGGTTGTGCTCGTGAAGCCAAGGGGTGGGTATACAGCGGCATGAGTTTCCGCATGGCCCAGGACATTGGCCTCAATTTCGACTCCAGCCCCAGTACGGGCTCGTCAATAGGGGCTGCCGAACACGATGGTCATCACCAGATGGACGACAGTGAGATCGATGCGCGCCGCATCACTTTTTGGGGCTGCTTCCTATTCGACAAGGCGTGGTCCAACTATCTCGGCCGCTTGCCCCAGCTTCCAAAGAACTCGTACAGCGTGCCCAAGTATGATGTCTTCCCCGACGAGGATGCGGAGCCTTGGTCACCTTTCACCGACTCTGGCTTTGACGTATCGCTTCGGCAGCCATCCCGGACCCGCGCCATTGGTCTGCACCTATCTAAGCTGTGCGAGATCAGCAGCGATCTGCTCCTCTTCTTCTACCACCCGAATCACATCGGCCGTTCCAACGGCAAGGCAGTCGAGCTTAAGAAGCTCAGCGAACTGCACCGTCGTCTGGAGGACTGGCGCCGCGAACTCCCTGTTGAATTCGAGCCTAAAGAGGGACAGCTTCCGAATGTGCTGTTAACACAGTAAGTTGGTGCCATTGCTACCGGAGACATTCTGCCCAAAAATAAAAGATATGCTGCTTACGCGCATTCTAGCATGTTCTTCCATCTCCAGTACATTCATCTTTTCCGCCCCTTTCTCAAGTACACCCCGAAAGCGTCACCGCTGCCAGCACATGTATCTCCCCGGCGTATCTGCACGTCAAATGCCAGTGCCATCTCCAAGCTGATGCGCCTGTACAAAAAGGTTTACAACCTTCGCCAGATCTGCAACATTGCTGTTTACATGATCCACTCCGCCTGCACCATTCATCTACTTAACCTCCCCGAGAAAACAGCCAAGCGCAACATCATTCACGGTGTCAAGCAGCTCGAAGAGATGGCTGAGGACTGGCTCTGTGCCCGCCGCACTCTCAGTATCATCAGTGTCCTCGCACGCAAGTGGGGTGTCGAGCTGCCCGAAGAGGCCTCTCAGGTCTTACAGCGCTCTGATGAGAAGTACGGCACCTTCAGCACGGCCGATGTCCCGTCTCCAAACCTGTCTGTGGGCTCCGCCGTTGGTCCCCATGGGTCCGGCAACTCGCCACAGCACATCCAAGCCTTTGGAAGCGCAAACGTGGAAGGTGGTGGCGATACCTCTCCCTCGGCAGCTGCGCACAATGCGGCAGTGAAGTCGGAGCAGCTTGTCGCTGGTAGCCTGGCCATCACGGCCATGCCGGGTCTGCTGGAGCAATTCTCTCAGCAGTCACCGACGTACCAGGATTTTTCAACACCGGGTGTCACACCAGAGTACCTCAGCGGCCTCCCAAAGGCGAACTCTCCCATAACCGGCGCCGTCGCTCCTGTTTCGAAGCAGCCATCGTATTCGCAGAGCACGGCCGGCCCTTCTGCCGGGCCGTCGGCTGTATCTGTAGGCGGTTCTGTGCCCAATGTTAGTACCTGGTCTATGGACCCTGCTGTCACGCAGTCCATGCAGGGCTATGAACATGCACAATTGGCATACCATCAGCCGACGTCGCAGCCGGACATGCCGTCCAACATGTACGGTGTCGACGGGCAGGACTGGTTCTTGAAAGAGGGCGTCAGCTGGCAGCACAACTTTGAGACGTGGGGCTTCCCCCAGCAACGACAGCAAGGGCCCGCGTCCCCAACCAACCCGCAGCAGCAGCAGCAACAACAACAACAGCAGCAGCAATCAGATCGTGTACGGCAAGCACACCCGCAACAGCAAATGTCGCGGTCGCGTAACCACACCCCGACGAGCACGGAAAACAACAGCACGCCCATCTCGGACAGCAGTTTGTTTATGTTTCGAGGCCCGCATGGCTCCGATCTCGATATGACTTTTGACGGTCTAGCTACGACGGGCGGAAACGTGGATGGACTTGGGCCTGTCTAGATGCTCGGTCTTGCGGGCGGATATGATTGTACGTTTTGGGCTTGCATATGCTCGTACTTTTGCACGAATATATGTATATATATATGAAATCCGCGGAGACATGCCGCGAATTTAGATTATTTACAGGATTCTGTTTTTGGAAATACCGGCAGTAGGATGTCGCATGGCGTACCCGATTGGAGTTATTGCCGAGTTTACTATACTTTTGATGGATGCGTTGACTTTTTGAATATCTATGGCATTAAGAATTGTATCACGCTTTCAAATATCAACAAATGTCAAGATATGCTTGGTGCTTCCTTCTATTCTATACTACAGCCTCGGGCGCAGTCACCGGCCCAGCACGTTGGTCAGTGCCTTGCGGAACTCAGCCGCTTCCGCCTCCATCTCTGCCATGGTGCGCGCCTGGCGGTTGCTGTCCTCAATCTTGGGGAACTTGCCGCCGGGTTGTGGCCGGTCACCAAAGTGCGATGCATGCGCCGCCGCCAGCGCAGCGTCCCATTGCTGCCCGCCCACGTTGCCCGGCTCGTCGGCCATCTTCTCGTAGAGCTCGTCCGCCTCTGTCAAGGCGATCTTGGCCGTGGCGCCCCGGATGCGCGGCAGCACGTGCACGTGCACATGCGGCACCGTCTGCCCAGCCTCGGGCCCGTCCTGGATGGCAATGTTGAAGCTGCCCTTGTGGACCGCCTCCGTGTCGTGGGCGCGTGATGGCGTCTCGTCGAAGTAGTAGGCGGCCAGCATGCGCTGGACGACCTGCACCGAGGCAAGCAGGTCGAGGGCCTCGGCGGCGTCCAGGTCGGTCAGGCGGCGGTGCGGCTTCTTGGGGCAGACGAGGACATGCCCCGGCATGAGGGGCTTGATGTTGACAATGGCAAACGAGTACTCGGTCGAGTAAAAGACCTGGGTGGAGACGTCAAACGGCCCGAAGAGGATCGTCTCGGACGGTGCTGCTGAGGCCGACATGGTGCGGTCGGAGATGCGGACGGAAGTGCGGGCGGAAGTGCGCAAGGCTGTGACCAGCAACGACGATGTGGGCACAAAAGGCCGAGACGTACGCAGTTGTGAGTGGACGGTGGAGCACGGGCGAGGTGAGTGGGATGCAGATGTGATTGAGCGGACAGGGGCAGCTGCTGTTCTGGTAGTTGTTGTCGTTGTTTTGGTCGTTGTTTTGGCCAGACGCAGACAGGTGCGGTTCATTGTTCTTTCACAGGGCCGGGGAAAAGACAGAGTCAACTACTTGTTGGCGACAAAAGACGAGCGCGGAAATGCTACAAATGTTTGGTCAAGTGCCCTGAATTCGCGTCGACAGCGAGAAATGGTAACGTGAGCGTTTGCCAAGGAGATGGCATGGCCCATTTTACGTCGGTGATGCGCTCCCAGCCGCGCCAAACTACGTCACATATGGGGTTATCTGGGGCTCCGCCGGCGCATTTAGGCGGGGCAAAGAGTAAATACATCGTTATTATGTCGGGGCCGATTTGGAGTGGAATTTTGGCAACATGAATGTAGCCGTCGTATATTCACGTGACACAGACACACTCATGGTTGTTATGAGCTTCGTGACGCATGAATCGGTAATTCAATGATCCAATGAGGCAGTCATGATATTATTCTTTTAGTGTGTTACTTTTTTTGTTATGTCCAGATTTCTTTTGAGAATAGAAGACATTCTCTATTGGTGTTTTATCCGATTTATTTGATGGTTTTATGTTTTATATATCTCAGGTTTTGATATTATTTTTATTTATATGTTTAACCAGCCTTACATCCTCATCCCACACGAGGCTGGGATGGATCAGAACTGGACATACAAAAGAAATTAAACGTAAGAATAAACAGCAAGATATACGCGTTTCAAAAATCAAGAACACCCGTTCCTATAGGATCAACCTCGCCTTTTCCCAGACACCCGTCCACTGTGTGTTGCATTCGCAATGCACAAAACGTTGCCACGAGCTTCGTCCCGTCTTTGCACGCCTTTTTCCGTTTTATAACAAGAAACCCCGGCGTGGCCGTCCAGGGCACACGAACAAAAAATAGCAGAAATAACAACAAAAAAAAATGAAGTGAAGTGAGGGCAACAAACCAATATCTGACGAGGACCGACTACGAAACTTCCTCAGTCGCCACGCAGCTCCTTCTGGATACCCTCCAGGGCAGCAATCAAAGCTTTGGCGTTGGGAATGCTCATCTGCGATGGGGTTAGCAGGATGTTTGCCGAGTTGCATAAACAGGGGAAATGAAATTCACCTTGGCCTGCATGCTGACGGGCTTCGCTTCGCTGCCTTCAAAGGCCGTAAAGAGCACCGTCGTAGCCTTGAGCGTCTGGCGCTCCTTGAACTCGGTCGACGGCAGCACGGCCGTGTTGAGGATGACACGGTGCGTTGAGTCTTGCCGCATAATTAGCCGGACCACAGTGCGCCGCGGGAGGGCGGCGGCGCCGGTTTTTGTCTTGCCGTTGGTCTCCGAGACAGCCGCCTCAGCGGCTTCCTTGTTCTCTTCGTCCCCGCCGAGCGTCGACGCGTCAAAAGAAGCGGGGATAACGCTGCCATCGCGGTCAAACTCAACGCAGTGCTCGGGCACGTTGATCTTCAGCATGCCGGCGCCGCGCTCCTTCCAGCCGCCCAGATCCTTGTCGAGGTAGTACATGCGTGCGCGGACCTGTAATAATGTGGCCTCGCCGGCCTCGCCGTCGTCCACCGCCACTCGTTGCAGCTTTTGCTTCTTCTTGTCGGCGTCTGTTCCAGCCTTGGTCGGCTGATCCTCAGCAGCATCGTCGCCGTCGCCACCGCCGCTCTCGTCCTTGTCCTCGTCGCCGTTCTCGTCTTCTTCTGCTGCCGAGTCCTCATCGTCGCTTTCCTCAGCGTCGTCGCTCTCGGGCGCACCGAACGGTCGCGCCGGCTTGTCGCTAGTAAAGGCTGTGCCAGGCTTGGCAAAGCTGGTGAGTCCACCCGAGCTAGAGAGGGCCGCGCCAAAGGCACTTCTAGCACCACCGGCTGTAGACGCGTTGCCTCCGAACCCGCTGCTGAGACCGCTCCCAAAGCCGCCACCGAAGCTGCTCGTAGCCCCAGACGAACCGGCCGCAGCAGCACTGCCAAATGCGCTGCCGAACACTCCACCACTCGAAGCAGCCTTCGAAGAAGGCAGACCGGCAAACGGAGACGCCGTACTGCTGCCACCGAAGCTTAATGTAGGCGGCGAGGCCAATGCTGGTGCGGCAGGCTTCGTTGTTGAGGCGGATGTCGAGGCAGTTGTAGTCACGGGGGAAGCAGAGGCACCGCCCAGCGCGCCAAAGGGCGAGGCCGAGCCCGAGGACGAGCCGAACAAAGAGGGTTTGCCAGACGCACCTCCCGCGAGGTTGCCAAAGGGTGACGCAGTACTGGTTAGTTTGGCAAAGCCAGACGACGCAAAGGCGGCGGTGGAGGTAGAAGAGGCCGGAGCAGAAGCAGCAGAAGCAGCAGAAGCAGCAGAAGCAGCAGAAGCGGCAGGCTTGTCTTCCTTAGAGAGGGTGCCTGACGAAGAGGTTTCGGCAGACTCTCCGTCGCGCAGACGCTTCTTCTCGGGCTCGTTTGCACGTGGAGCATCGCCATTGGGGGCATCTAGAGAGGCGGTACCGGCTGCAACCGCCTTTCTGGCCTCCGCGTCACTTCTCTGTTCGTCCTTGTTTTTCTTCTTACCCTCGGTGGCCTTGCCGTCGTCGTCGTCGTCGTTGTCGAGCTCGTCGTGGGCACGCTTCTTTTTGGGAGACGACACCTGTTCCTTGAGGGCGTCGTGTTTGTCGGGCGTGGTCGCTCGCCGTGAGCTGGTGCTGTTGTCATTGTCTTTGCTGTCGTCGTCGTTGTTGTCGTCGACATTCGCATCCTCTCGCTCTGAGATCACTGTGTGCCTGAGCTCTTCCCGTGCCGACTTGGTTGCCGCATCCTCCTTAGGAGACCCGGCGCCAGAGGGCACTGCGGACGCCGGATCGGTGTCTGTCATGATTCGGCGGTCGTGCGGGTATTGTGTATGCACGTGTATGCGGTAAGAGTTTGTTCGTGTTTCCTGTTCCCCGAGGTCCGTTCGATTTCTTTGTTCACGTCGCGAATGGCTCCAAGGCGTCGTTTTTTCTTGGGCCTTTTTGTGGTGTGGCGGTTGCCGAGCAAGCGGGTCGTGCAGAGGCGCTTTGGCTGGCTGTCGTCGAGGCTCGCGTGTATGCAAATTTTCAGTGCCGACTGCAGATGCAAGACATATGCAGGCTTGTTTGGTCAAGGGGCTGGATCTGCCTCTGTTTGTTGTGTTGTATAGATTAAAGGTTGCGGGGGTTTGTCTTCAAAGAGCGAGCCCGAAACAATGGATGGAGAAATGCCCAAATGCGGCTGTTCCCAGAGATACGCAGCCGAGGCGGGAAAACAAATGAGCTACTGGCTGCAGGCTGTACCAGGCGAGGGTGCGGGATCAGGTTGGCGAGCTGGGTTGGGGTGTGTCGTGCAGGCGGGAGACGACGAGACAAAAAGGGAGAAAGAAAAGATTCGACGGCTCGATGTCAATATATTGCAATGGGGGATACGATATGTGAGACGGTTGACCAAAACGGCAGGACGGGGAGGGGATTGAGGTTGCTGAAAGTTTGGGAAGGAGCGACACAAATGCGCGAGCAGGCGAGGAGGGGCGACTGCTGCGTTTTGGTTGCTCAGTGGCTAGTGCGGGTCTGGGTTTTGCAGGGGAAGTGCGCTGTAGTGGGGCAGGTGCGACTCCCACTGACAAGCTGGAAGCGCGTGAGAGGTGAAGGAAAGAGCCAACGAAGGACCTATGCCAGCATGGCAGGTGCGATTCAGTAAATGGACAGCTTAGTAACGAAAATACCGAAATTAAAAAAATAAACAGTTAAATAATATTAACACACCCACAAATTACATTGGTACAGGAATACTGCACGATGCTGGGACAGCTCGTTTGCTGCGCAGTCTGCGGAGATTTGTTGGATGGCGATGCGCTGACAAGACGAGGCTGGACTAAACCAATTTAACATTTGACGGTAGTTGGTTGGCTGTCGTTGACTGTCGTTGACTGGGGGTCGGCAATATATGCGCATAATTGCGACGTAGTAATGGGTTTCTCATTTTATTTGTTCGCCATTGTGGACATGGACCGCCATTAAAGCACGCTGAGCATCGCGAACGAATCAAGTACTTGTAGTTGCTTCTTTACTCTACCGGGACATCTTACAAAAAAAAGCAGACAGCGCCCGTTAAAGATACCGTGAACCAGTGCCCAATTACCAAGGAGATAGAAGATGGCCGTGTGATACAGGCGGAAATTTAAAACAAAAAAGAAACATGGAAAATATCAGACAACGCGGTAGGTCGCTTGCTGTCCCTCGCTCGATTCTAACGTCCTCCTCTTTTCAGCTGTTGTCGACCCCCATCATACTGCTCGCTGTTTCAACAATCGACACGCCTAGCTGATGAAGCACAGGCAGCCCAGGCCCAGGTAAAAGACAAATAACGGGTATACGGCAATGCCCACGCGGTTCTTGACCACGCCGCTGCCCCCCAGGATGCTCACACCCGCTGCCATGGCCCACACCACCAGCACCAGGTACACGGGAATGCGCGCCACCGTCGGCAGGCTCAGCGCCGAGAGCAGCGCCGCGATCACAAGCGGGAACAGTGTGTAGCCGATGATGCAGACGCTCTGTGCAAAGGAAATGTTGCCGCCGAGCAGCTTGATCTGCAGCGTCACAACGGCCTCGCCGATCCAGACCATGGCAAAGACGCCCGAAAACACGAGCTCGCGCTGCTTCTCGCGCGCGTTGAAGCTCAGGAGCATGCTGAGCAGCAGGCAGAAGACGAGGGGGCCCCACAGGTCCCAGTCGCGCAGTCCAGGGGTCATGTTGCTCTGGCGCAGCAGAGACTCTGGGTCGAGCATGCGGCCGGCCAGGCCGGCCAGCTCGTCGCGCGTGCCGGCCAGGCCTGCGTTGCGCAGCGTCGCATAGGCACCACGGAGGACGCCACCGCCACTGCCGCCACTGCCGCCATTGCCGTCGGCGTCAAACATGGAGCCGCCAAAGAGGTACCGCGGGTACAGGACCTCGCGCATCTTGGCCCAGACGGCAAGCAGGTCCCGGCGTAGGGTCGCCCACACGCTCTCGTCGATGGTGTTGGTGGGTGCCGAGCGGTCTTCGCCAGGGATTTGGGAGGTCAGGTAATTTCCGCTGGTGGAGCGGCCGAAGCTGCCAGAGCCAGAACCGCTGCTGGGGCCTGCTGTTGAGGAAGAGCCGATGTTGCCGCGCAAGGGAGCTCGTGACGAGGACGCCTCGGGCGCCAAGGGGTCGTCAAGGTCATCGAGGTCGGCTGGAGTAGAGCACTGTTAGAGAGGTACGACTAAAAAATGTGCAGAGTAGAGAACGGGGAGGAGGGCGAGAAGGGTGATGTACCATCATCCGGATCGATGAGGTCGTCGTCTTCGATTTGCGGCGCAGGGCCATAGTCTTTGCGGTTGACGGACGCCATCGCGTGCAGTCACTCGTATACGTGCTAGGTGGTAAGAACAAGGAAAGAACTATGTCGGAAGAGAGGTAGCCCGTTTAATCGGCTTATGTAGGGAGTGGTCGCTGGTGATAGGCGTGCTCGAGAAACTGCGTAGTTACTGAAAGCGACGATGTGTTGCGATGGTGGAAAAGGGTGAACGGATTCAGAAGGAGGCCAGCTTGCCCTGGTGGACCTCATTGGCCAACATAAGTGCGATTTGGGGCTGCCGCGTCCGCGCCTTTGCCCCACAATTACTCTGTGGACGCCAACCTCTACGGAGAAATTACAGGCACCAGCATTTCAATAACACGCTCACACTCTATTTTCACCGACTTTCGACGCCTTACGAATTGATGGGACCTTCTGTAAGGTGCAGCGAATAGTGCAACGTCACACGTTACGTACCTTACAATCTGACCTACAAACGGAGAGTCTTATAAAATCAACCAAAATCGATTTCAGCTATCAAAAGTATCTGGGAAAAGACTCTGAGGTCAGGCCCGAGCCTTGGTGGGTATATTGTGCTGTCGCTATGCTGTTATTTGCGTTGAATATTGACAAAAAAAAAACCACCCCCGCGTCATCTGATGTAATTTCGACCAAGACGACGCAACCGTGAGAGCACTGGTTAGCTAGATAAGTGGAAATGACAAGAAAGGAAACATAATAATGTAAACGGAAACCGAAATGTCGAAAAGACGTTGTCAAAAACGGAGTGCCGGAATGCCGAAATAGAAAGGTTGCGAGGATGACAACCACGACTCATGATCTTCATGTTGTGACGAATTCAGTTTAGCGTCACCCGAAATGGCGATCCTGCGTCGAGCCGGTCGTGGTCGCGGAAGGACCTTGTGCAACTGGTGATCCGTATGACGGCGGCTGGTAACCGGTGCCTCTCGAAGTTGTATGCCGTCGGAACGGTGCATTGGGACTAGACGAGCTTGGTGGGAAGGACGAACTGTAGTTTTGAGGCAGTTGTTGGAGGTTTCGAGCAGTTTGGGGTTGCTCCATAAGAGCCGCCGTTGTTTCTGGGGAGTGAGTATAGCCCCAGTTCGAGCCAGTGGACGGCAGCAGCATCGACTGGTAGCCACATGAGTTGCTCACGATGCTGCTCCTGACTGGATCAAGGGCACTATGGCTGGCATCGGCCGGTACTCGCCTTGCTGTATAGGTGCGTGGTTGGCTCGTCGCTTCGTTCTCGGGAGCTTTTCCTTTGTTCTGCTTGGAAAAGGTAGCGGTGTTCGTGTTGTCATTGGTTGACCCATGTCTGGTTTGTTGACAGCCTGGTCGTGAGCCAGAAGTCGGTCGTGCCTCGCCGGACGGCAGGCCTCGGCCATACGCAGCCAAGGCTGGGTTGATGCCGACGACGCCCCATGCAAATACGGCCACATCGCGTATCGACCCCATAAGGGTGTCCAGTGGCGGCCCGCCGGCATCCTTTACGTTCTGTCGTAGGGGCATGTACTGCCGCAGTAAGGGGGCCCGAAATGTATACAAAGATTCCTTTGGAAAATGTGGCTGGATGGGCTGCTGGCCCCAGGGCGCGGCAAAAAGCCCGTCGCCGTAGTCGGGGGCCACCAATGGGGGATGCGCTGGTGGGATTGGCGGTCGCGCTTTTCTAAGAATGACCACGAGGCCGTCAGACGTGCAGGAGACCACGGCTTCCAGTTCGATCGAAGGCAGCCTTCCTGGCGAGTCGGATGTCGTAGCCTCAGACACAAGGGGCACAGAGGGCAAAGAGAAGTGTGCGTCATCGTCTACCTCGACTTTGATGTTGATTGCGTTAGCTTCATCCACATCCATGTCACTTGTCGCGCTTCCGGACATGGCCATTTCTGCGTCCTCGGCCAAGGCGGTATTGTTCACGTTGCTGTTGCCGTTGGCCATGCTTTCGGCTAGCTCGTCGTCCTCTCGTGGATCCTGGAAGAAAAAGCGTAGGTACGCAATAGAGTCGTTTGCTTTTGCGCTCTCGAGGCACTCGATCGCCTCGGATAAGCAGCTTTCCTGGATGCATCGGTAGAAACCTTTGTTTTTGATTTCGTGTGGCCGTAAGCCAAGGACGGTAGAAATGGACGTAGTGGCGAACATGACTGTGAGATTCCGTGTGAAGCGATTCAAAATCAAAGCGGCCCTTGGCTCTCGCTCCATTGGTGGCACTTTGAATTTTGGCGATAGGTGTTCCAGCATATGGTACCGTGGATCGCGTGGTGAACATGAGAATATGCGCCGGATTTGGGGAGCCTCAATGGCTCGTCCTAGCTGTGTTAGTAGTCACTCTTGATAGGGTAAAGTATTATTGACTACAAGTGGAAATAACAACGCACTCTCGCTCTTTGCGTTTCGCCGGTAGATGCTTATGGAGGCCACCAATACGTCATGGACAACGGTGAAGCAGCACTCGCAGCCAACCCAGCGCCCATCACGGGACAATATGCGGGCATAATGAAGCACGGCAGCCTTGTCCAGGAGCACGCCCCGGCTGACGACGGAGCGTGCAGAAGGTACCTCTTCGGGGTGAAAGAAGTCAAAGCATGACTTGCCCTGAACCTCGGCCAGTTGGTAGCCTAAAATGTCGACGATGGACTCGGACGCAAATAGAATGTTGGCATCTGGGCTGAGGTCTTTGTGACGGCGAAGGGGAAAAAAACAAGAGACGGCATGTCAGTACATCCCGTCATCTATCAGATATACCAATACCATAATAGCGGAATACTCGGAACAGAGGGGACTCACTGTGAATCGTCATAAATGTTTGTTCCATGGCAGGAACCGGCGACGTCGACCAGTGACGCCAAGTACACAACTGCAGAGCAATATTGTTTTACTCGTTAGGGCAATGGCGTCTTAAGTCATCCCGGCCTATGCCATGCGGCACAAAACGAGAGGAAGGTAAAAGAACCCAGAATAGACCGGCGTGCTAGTGATGGTTCGTGACGAATCTTCAATAAGGCGGAAAAGAAAAAACGAAATCGCGCAGAATGCACAAATGCAAGAATGCACGAATGCACAAACGCTCAGACAGGATAATCTTTGGAGGAGGAAGAGAAGAAATATCTAAGCTTCTGGTTCAAGAACATCGGGAGGCAAAACGTCAAGCAACGGGTAGCACGTACGGCGTAATTAGTGGGCAAGGAGATGGAACCGAAAATGGCCCCTGTTCCGAGAGAAAGAGTAAAAGAACGTGGTCAGAAATGATCGACTGAACGCCGGTTAGACTAAAGTAGCCCTGCAGCACGCGATGTGAGAGACCGTGACAAGAGACGAGGAAGCTGCCTGCAAGAAGCCGTTTTCCGAACACAGAAGATGGCAGAATAGCTGACAGAAAAAGCCAATGGCCAAAGAAATGAAAAGCTGCGGGGAGTGGGTGACGACCAAGCAGTTGGTGATGAACGGTCGGGTGCCAACGTTATGCCAGGCCGCTGGTTGGGACAACCCAAGTGGCATGCGAAGGCATGGGTTGTGAGTGGATAACTGGCCGAGCGAGTTGTGAGCTTTTTGATTTGTGGCATGTGAGCTGCCAGCTGTGGCTGTTGCGGCCGTGTTCGTTTCTTTCGGTGCGAAAGCAGCGATACACGAGAGACACAGAGCGTAACGGACACGAAAGAAACGACGCTGGAGGAGGCTGCACTGCAAAAACAGCGACTTTGCGCGAGCCGAAGGGTAACACAGACCCCGTCGGACGGGACCAGATACCTGGTCTCGGCCGTTGCAAAGAATGAGAATGGAGTGAATGGAGCAGAGTGAACGGTTATCACCCAGGCAAGGGAGGACCTGAAGGAGAAAGGATGAGCAAACAAGAGAATGAGGTAGCGATGAAATAACGAAGAAATGGGCCAGCAACAGGAAGAATAGGCAAATGTCGGGCCTGGCACAAATGGACAGGAAAAGAAATGAGAGACACAAAGACACGAAAAGCCGAAAAGACGAAGACACACAGGTAGAAATCATACCACCACGGAGATGAGGCTGTGAAGCAAAAGAAGAAGAGCTTCGAAGCTGTGGCAGGCCGTCAAGGTGTTGTTACCTGTGGCCCCCAACCTTTGGTTTGCTGGTAGCGACGTTGCGTTGCGTTCAACGGGCAGTCGTGTTTTGTTGTGTTGCGTTGCGTCGCCAATGACGGGGATTTGACTTTGGGATGGTGTATGGCGTACTCCGTGGGTGTACGAGTGTGAAGGGCGGCGGAGAAGGTGTGGGTGAGTGTGGGAAATGTCCTTGGGGCTGAAACTGGCTTTGAATTGGCTGAAATGAGCGAATGTCCAGAAATAGCGAGTGTCACTCAAGTGGCCCTGGCGTGGACGAGGCCGGCTGCATCGGCTTGTTGAAGCTAAAATTGCTTTTTTTGTTTTCTGGAAGTGTAGTCTTGTTTTGGCCGCCTCTTTTTGGCCGCCTCTTTCTCGAGATTTCAAAAACCCTCCTTGCCGTTTCCTAAAGCTCTGTTGTCGAATGCTCTTTCCCTGCCTTCCGCTCGAGACACCTGGTTCGAAGAAGAGGGAAAGAGCAAAGGATGATCAGAACATCAGAAGAACATAAGAAGGAACAAGGGGAAGCACGTCGTGCTGAGTATTGCTTTGTCTACGTAACACTCCTTCATTACTAGCTACGTGAAAGGTTTCACTGCATGGTTTTCGTGCGGCGGTTTGCAGTAGGTGGTCAAACTGGTCAAGCTGACCCTTAAGAAACGCAAGTTTCATCAGAAGGAAGCTACACATCAAAATACAAAATGCTCCTTCCCTCGACATCAGACCACATCCAAGGGGAGTCTGTTGGTGTTGATAAAGCTAGCGGTACATTTGCATGCTTTAGCGACTTGGACTAACGGGAAGGAGCGGGGTGCTTACTCTGTAAGGCAGGCTCAACGGAGGATAGGGCAGCGAAAGGGGAACAAGAGCGGAGGTGGTGTCAAGAAGGGAAACTAAAGGAAAATAACACGGGGAGCTTGGACGACTAATGCAAGTAGCTAGGCTTTGCTGGAGTCTCCATGTGTTCGAACTTGTAAGTTTCCTCCCAGGACTCGGAGACAAGCGATTGCAGCAGGTTTGCATGGCGTCTGGGCGGAGTGAACAAGCCAGTCGATTTTGCTTTGTACATATACAAGGCCGTGCCAAGGGGCGGTGAGGTCGGGATGACGGGGGAGGAGAGGTTGGCAGGCGCGACCTGTAGCAATGTCAGAAAGAACCACTCTTAAACAGGGAAGCTGCACATGGGACATGGGCCAATACTATGCAAGCCAGCCGCAACCGCTGGGTAAGATGGCGAGGAGGGGACGCGATACACAGTTTATTCTGCTGACAGATGGCAGGAGCAACCCTCGCTGTCGAAATGTTCCGAATGGGGCAATTGAGTCAATAACTACTGAGTACGGAGGTGTGCAGTCCAAGCAGGAAAGCGCGAACGAGATGAGAAGATACGTCAGAACCAGAAGCCACGCGTCGCAGAGAGAAAAGAAGAAGCCTACTTCGTATGCTATACGTTCGTACAGGCGTCGAATATCGTGTCTTCCCCCAATTCGAACTAGAGTGGTAATACGCCGTGAACCGACCTCCCGACGTTGATATCCATTCCATTTAGCTCAGGGTACCCAGAGACGGAACTGGACCAAGTTTCAGGGCGGGGAGTGTTGTTCTTTTTCCGTGTGTTTTTGTGTGTATTGTATGGTGTGTGCTGAAAAGGAAAGATCCCGCGCACCTGGTTCAGACGGGCAGTGGGGCGGAATGAGAAAACGAAAGAGGTTGCAGGACGAGCAAGGGTCAAAGTTGGAAGGTGCGTTCAGGTCACCGAACATCGTATTCCGTACTGCGTCGTACATTTACTTGTATAAAATGCAGTTTCGAATACTCAGTCAACGGACGGGAAGGCAGTCGCCGTGCACTTCTTGAGGGGAGGAGCCGTCTTTCTCCAGATCCAAAATACGGGAGACTCACAACAAGCCGCCTTTGGCATCCGGTTTTCAACCCATGGCAGTTTACGTCGATACCACGGCCCTTTCCACGTTCTCCCGGGCCAAATGCTTACGCGTTTGAATCCGAAAGACGAGCACAGAAATTGCAAAGGATTCCAAATGAACGCTGGTCGTGGGAGGGGCCGCATGCGAGCCACCGTGTCTCAGTCCAAAGGCCAAGGTTATGCAGCACCTCGCTTTCTTGCTTCTGGGCTGGATGGTTTGTCTGGCTTGGCGCTTCTCCCTTCATATTCGACATTCAATGCAAAAGACGGAGGGCTGTGGATTGGTTACCTGGCGGCCGGAACGCCTCTGCGGGCCCATGTTGCATTCGGCCGCCCCCCGACGTATTTGCAGGTTTTCAGCTCCAACATTAAAGAGGAAGGAGAGTAGCATTGGAACTGGGCAGGTGCATGTGCATCCCGACGTGGAGAGAGTATGTTGTATGCCACCAACGGAATGGAAAAGGGTCCAAGCCGGACTGATTAAACTTGCCCACTGTCCGACAGCGGACGAGTTGGGTAAGAACATCGATCTGGTTTGCTGCCCGGCTTTGGCAGTCTTTTTTACGTCTGTTTTGGGCCGGCGGTCTTGGACTTGGATTTACTCTTACATGCCACAAGCGTAGCCTGTCTATATCTGCGTGTCTGGATATATTAACATCTTGGTGCCTCAATGTCGTCAGACGCCCATCGCCCTTATTTTCGTATCTGGTACGGAGTACGTTGTAATTGCTCTGTATATCAAAACGCACCATCGTGGCTGCCACTCAAAACACGCCGAACCACACTTCAACCAGGGCGGTGTCTGCTGGAACAAGGCGCCCCCGGCAGTACTTTCATATGATGTGGTTGTCTGAAGAATCAAAAGGATAAAGGGATAAAGGGATGAGGGCCAAAGGACGCTAAATGCCCCCCGCTAGGTGCCTTTTGGTTGGGTCCTAATTTAAGGTGGTCGATCATGTCTGTTCGGCGTCCATTTTTACCGGACGCCCAGGCTCTCTCCCTTCACCCTAGCATACCTCCCCCTGCTCGCCAGGCACTATGCTGGTCAGGTGGCAAGCCTGTTTGGAAGTCTCATTGGAGGTCCGATTCATGAGGCTAGCGTATAATAAACATGCATGTAAAAGCACTGCGAGGTACGACGCTCGAAAGTTGCGCTATCCTGGGGCTTCGTTGTTCAGGTGTGATTACGACTTTCAAATATTCCGTATTCCAACGTGGCGGTAGCTGCATCCTGTTTGGCCCACGACTAATTAGTACGAGCTCAGATGGCAACTTTATGCGCAGGATATTGCAGTTTGGAAGTGTTTTGTTCTCCGCCCGTTACCTTGGTGGCTGATTTCGAACCTGTGGCACCAAGTATGTCTTACTCTTCTTCTTCTTTGTCGTCTCCCTCTTGGGTTTTATTCTTTTTTTCCTCATTCCATTTTTTCAAGGTACGCAGAGAAGGACGTCGTACGCATTAGGAATGTGTCCATGTGCAACTTGGGAAAACGGTACGTTCCGTGTTTGGTTTGGCTGCGGTTATCAATGACGACCTCCGCGCTCATCAGGAAGAAGAAAGGTGGGCAAAGATGGGGCGGCGAGTAACAGCAGGTTGTTTTTGCAATGATCTTGGGTTTTCGAATCTTTGTTCGTTGACAGTTTGTGGACCTCTTTCCGCGTTTATGAAATGTGTGCAAGTATACCAGTCCATGTGAGGAATTCAAACAGGCCAATTTGTTCTAGGCTCACAGAGGCATGCGCTTGGCACTGGACAAGGTCACTGCCAAAAAGAGGAGCAACAAGAAGAGAAGAAAGTGGAATTCGCTTCATGCCGCATGCACGACTACGAGGCATGCATGAGAGACAAGACGACGGACAAGGCAAAGCAAGACCGTGGATCCATTGACGAGACGGGGGATGTCAAGGATAGGAAATACGCAGGCAAGTGTGATGGTATACCGAAAACAAGTACAAAAGAACAAACTCCGTGCATGCAAGAATCTAAGCCTGTCTTGTTTCCTTGTTTCTTCTTCGTTCCACATCCTACACTTGCCACACTTGCCCATCTTCATTGATCCCTCTTTGCTTTTGCCTTGCCACTGCATTACGGAACCGCACTCGCGAGGTCCTTCTCAGCCCTGATGGATCTCCTTCCACGATTTCCCGCCGGCTTTCCGCCGGCTTTTCCGCTGTTCACTCTAGCTGAACAGACAAGACACAAAAGGTGTGTTGCTCGGTCCCCACTGGTTTTGGTCGACCGACGCAGCTCGCAAAATCATGTTTCTTTCATGGATCGTTGTCCAAGCCAGCCGGACCAGAAGCTCACAATCTAGAAGCTGTCAACGACAGTCAGTAATTTCCTGCCACCAGGAGTTATATGCCAGACACGTCCGCGGAGAAGAAAGAAGAACTCAAAACAGCCAAGAGAAGCCCAACGTATTCCGTAATGACAACGTAATTCCGACTTTTTGGCTTCTGGGCCTTCTGGGGTCTTTCCTTGCTAGGGGATTGGCCTGTACGCGGCAGGATTTCTTCTCCCTAGTCGTTTAAACCCTTGCAGCAATCATTCTCGGCGGTGTCTGTGCTGTGGTCCCCTTTTGTTCCTTTTCGTTTCTTTTTCTTCTCCCCTGAAACCAGTACTTTTGGGCGTTCCTTAATTGCCAATATTGCCTTAGCGCCGGGGCGGGTCTTTACTGGGCCCTTTCGCAGGGACCAAAAGGTGCTCCAAGAGGGGTGCTAGACATTGACACAACAAGAAGAGGTTTGTCTGTTGGGACGTGACAGCAGGCGCCAAACCAAGCGAAGCTGAGTCCAAGCTCCGAGCTGACCAGCGCTTGCCCCGCCTTTTTGCGTAAGACACCGTTTGGAACGACAAACTGCCATATTGTGTGTTGTATTTCGTATTTTGTACTCTCCTGCCAAATTGTGTGCTATTCTCACTGCTGTCTGCTTTTCACTTTGCTACTTGGCAAGTACGACCCATACGGATTGTTCGGCTTCTGCACCCGTTTGCACCTTCCACGGGCCCTAAGCAAGGCCCACTGTCCTGTCCAGCCCCATTACACTCACTCACTCCCTTCCTGACCCCGTCCAGCAAAGGCCAGCGTGGGCGCACTGCTCCTTCCTTGTGGAGTCTTTTCTTCTGGGTTTTAGGAGTCCCTGCCAGAACGAGGTGATTTGTGCTTGCCTTTTTCAGCTGCAGGCGGGGACGAACCGCCATGGGGGGGAAAGAGCAACTGGGGCCAACCGAAAAACATAAAGAGGAAACTGCAACAACGCAGGGCGGGCGTGACTGACCATGGCACCTGCAGTGCCGTCTGAGTGGGACATGCCGCGGCTGCGGTATTCGCTCAATTTCGAGGTAGGGGCCTCGCCTGTCGTTTTGCCTACTCCACAAGTCAGCCAAGCTGGCCGTTGGCTTACACGATGTTATCACGCTGCAGGATACCAAGAGCAATGCCGAAGATGCCAACTCGGACACAGGTACGGCGGACCGTCTGCCATTCAAATGCGCTTGGTCAACAGCTACTAAAAGACACAGAGTTCTTTGATGTCAAGTTTTATCCTTACAACCCGCCAGGCAGCAATCCGGTATTTGCTGCCGTGAGCAAACGACATGTAAGTATGCCATGACGACGAAATACGGATGTGTCGAGATGTCTGCGTCACGTTGGTATTAGAGTTTGAGTCGCCAACTTTCTTCAGATATTCGTCTGCCGACTCATACAGACCAAGGACACAAATCCCTGTGAGATCATCCGCGTGATCCGCGATGAAGATGTATGTTGCCCACCGGGAACTAGGACGAGCTTCTGGTGTTCCCCCCAGTCCACTGCTAATGACAACCAGGAGGGTGCTTTGAACTGCTCATGTACATGGGCACTAGATCCGGAGACCGAGCGGGCATTGCTCTGTGTCGCCGGCCGCGATGCCAAAGTCAAGGTCTACAATATACACGACGGCGAGGCAGTGACCGTATGTACACATCCGCAGTCTGCTCCGTGGCCCCTCTGACATCCATTGTTGCTGAAGCTGTTGACTAACCAGTTTGTACTTGTGTACGGTAGTCTTTTGTTGGCCATGGAGGAGTATGTACCCTACCACGGGCCTGTGTTGACTTTTCTAGACAAGGAAGGTCGCTGACACTGTTAGGAAATCAACGATCTTGCTACGTCGCCAACCAACCCCCATCTCATCGTATCAGCCTCGGATGACACGACTGTCCGGTTATGGAGCCTTGATCCTGTCCACAAGAAGCAGCCCTGTGTGTGTCTGCTCGGCGGCGAAGGCCATTCGTGGAATCTGCTGAGCGTGGTATGTCTTTTTATGTGGTTGACAGTGCTACGCAGCTTTGATTGCTATCTCTTTGCTAATGGATGTTCTCTTGTTCCTCGCGTATAGGCGTTCCACGACACCGGTCGCTATGTCATATCGGCAGGGCATGATCAAGTCATCAATCTTGTGAGTTGCAAACGGAATGGAAAGCCAATTTACCTCAGGCCTCGGTACTGACCTCACCCTAGTGGACACTGCCTGATATCCCAAACGAGCATGTCGAGGTCCCCATCATTGTCCACTTCCCGCACTTTTCAACCTCCGAGATCCACACCGGGCTTATCGACTGCGTCGCCTTTTACGGCGACCTCATCCTCTCTCGCGCCTGCTTGGAGGACGTCATTGTCCTTTGGCGCATCGAGGGTTTTGATTCCACGGCCGAGCCACCCTCACCTGAGCAAGCCCCTTCCAACCAGGACACCACCAAGCTCACGCGCTCCGCCTTCCACGTGCCACTTATCACGTCACCGTCGGCCGTTGCGTCCGCCAATGCCAACGCGGTGGCCAGCACCACGCCTCAGTACACCCGGCTCCTGCAGCTGCACACGCCCGGGTGCGGGCCCCAGTTCTTTATGCGGTTTGGTCTCTTCAACGTCGCGGGACACCACCCAATGCTGGCCTTTTGCAATGCCTCCGCCAAGATTTTTTTTTGGGACTTTACGTGTTTCAGCGCCTACCGGCAGTTTATGACGGCCAACTATCGGCGCGAGCGCCTGGGGGCACGGCCAGGCGGGGCCGAGCTGGATGAGGGGCCGGTACCACGCCCGCCGTGGATGCGGATTGTCGTGCCTAGGAAGCGACCTATAGGAAACGGCGGGAACACCAACAGCAGCGGTACGATCGGCACCAACAACCCAGGAGGACGTCGGCTTAGAGACGCCGCCAACGGTCCGGGACTGCTGGGTGCCGTGGCTCGGGACGGCGACGGCAGCGACCGCGAGTCGTCTGTCGTGTCTGGTGCGCAGGGTGTCCCAGGCGCAGCGTCTGCTGCCACACCAACGGCGACCAGCAGCACCAGTGCCGGTGCCACGCCAAAAGGCAGAAGTGCCGTCGGCTACCGCCTGAGCGACCTCTACAACCAGGAGACGTTGGACGACTGGAACAGCAAGTACAACGCCAACGACCCACACGTGCTCGTCAAAGCCCACAAGGCAGAGACCACCAAGGGCTTGTCAGCCGTCGGACGACAGGCGGCCTGGAGTCCTGAGGGCGAGTGGTGTGTGGTTGTGGGCAGCAACAGCCGCGTGATGATCCTGCAGCGGTGGGCGAACAGCGACCCCAGCCACCCTGTCGATGAGGCCGAGTAGGCCGTGGATTGTGTTATGAACGATGTGACGGCCCGGGATGATAAGAGTAAAAGATGCAGCAACGATTCTACATTTGATTTTTTTCAAGAACAAAACAGCATGGAATACCATATTTTTATTTTTAATCGTTTCCAAGTAACTAAGCGCCATTGGGTATCAAATTATGCAGAAGGGACAAAGGAAGGGAAAAAACAGAAATGAAAAAATCCGAAAAGGTATCATGGAAGCCTCCGACACGCTGCTACTGACTCCGAAAAGGCAGGGAACTAAAGGTCGGCCTGTTCATACCATGGCCGACCGTGTCGTCGTCCTCCTCCTCGCTACTACTATGGTGGCCATGGACGTCGCCTCCACCCCGCGCCAGACTTTGAATGTACGCATCCACCACCGTATCCGGCACACCTCCACGCTTGTGCTGCCGCCCGGACTGCACATCTCGGTCCACTTCGAGCAGCCGCGCAAAGCGAGCACGCGCACGCGACTGTTCTTGGGCACGGACGCGCTCGCCCTCTTGCGTCTCCGGCTGCGTTCGTGGCGGCGTTACAATGGCCAGGTCGCCCATATAGAGCGCCACCATGCCGCGCAGCCGCAGCATTTCTGGACTTGTGGCATACGGCGGGCCGGCCATGACGGCATCCATGCGGCGGGCCAGGTCGTGGAGCTGCTCGAGCGCGGCATGCCGGATGTCTTCGCGTGCCAGCCGGTCGGGATGGTTGCGCCGACGGCGACGCCTGTGGCCATCGCTGTCGTTGCTGTTTGCGTCTGGACTGTCGCTGTCCTGGTTGGCGTCCGCGTCCGAGTTCGACGTCGAATCTGAAGCGTCTTCAGAGCGGCTGCCATCCTCGCCGTCGCCGTGCGCCGCCCTTTCTCTCGTCTCTCTCTTCTTCCGTCTCTGCTTCGCCTTGGCATCCAGGCGCTCATTCGCCAGCTGCACCTCTGTGTGGATGTTGTACAGCTCGGTGCCGGCCAGTGCCGGCCAAAACGTCAGCGCGTTCACGGACCGTGGAAACAGCCGGTTGTAAGGGTGCTGCTGGATCAGGTCCTCGTAGAAAGCACGAACAGGCGGCATATTGGCCGCCGAGCCCCAGCGACGGGGACGTCCCTTGTCGCCTTCGTCTTCGCCCTCCCGCATGAGAAGCTCGGCGCCCATGGCCCACATGTCGTTCTTGCGCAGATCCACGCGCCGGCCCTTGACGTCGGTGCGCAAAAGCAGCCCAAATGCGCGCTTGGCCCGAGCCAGCCCAATCGGCGCCGCCAGTTGGCCTGCTTCGCCCGTGGCCGTCGACACGCCCGGCAGCGTGCCGTGCGCGGCCTCCTGCAGTCCCCGCTGCACGATTGTCGCCAGCACGCCGACGTTGTGGTCGTAGGCACGCTGCATGCGGAGTGCATTGCGGCGGCGGCGGGCCTCACGACGACGGAGCCGGCGCTGCTTGACGGCAAGGCGTGCTGCGTTTTCAGCTGGATCGCCGCCTCCGCCGCCGCCGCCGCCACCACCACCGTCGTCGTCGTCCTCTGTCGTGTCGTACAGGCCCGCATCGGAATGGATGGAGCCATTTTCGTTTTCAGTATCATTGTCCGAGTCTGTGTCAATGTCGTCCTCGTCGTCGCTGCCGTCGCCTTCGAACCCGAATCCAGATCCAAACCCATGCTTGTCTTTGTCCGCCTTGGCATCGTCCACTGCGTCGCCACCGACACCATCCGGCAGCGGCCGGTGGGGGAAACCTTCGACATAGTCGGACGGCAGACGATCTGAGTGGGTCAGGCCGGCGACGACGAGCTGTCGCCGCGCAGACGGGCCGTAGCTGTGCGGATCAATGGCATCGCGCGGCAGATGGGAGACGACGCTGGACGCCACCGACGCCGACCGGACTGAGCGCTTGCGCTTTCGGATGTTGGTGAGCGTGGGTGGCTCAATATACGACATTGCGAGGCCGATGGTCTTGGGGCAGTGAAAAAGCCATTACATGGTTGGAAGTATAATGTTTCGCTTCTATGTAAAGTTTTTGGTGAAGTGAGTGTTGGAGGCCCCACTCTAAATTGTATGGCTGGTTCGTAGAGTACGTTGTACGGTCTAGCATTCACAGCATTTAGAACCACCGATTATTCGTCTACGTAATCGTCAAGAACACGCAGACAGTTGTTCCTCTTGATATGCTGTAAATGTTTGATTGGGAAATCACAAAATATATACACAGCCTCCTCTGTAGTTGTACACCAGTCACCCTCTCAGCGCTCTTTTTTGTCCTTGGACTCGACTCGTCGTTTGGATGCACCTGTAGTAATGGAGTACTTCCTTGCCGGCCGTGCAGCAGGTTCCAAGCCTGAATCGTGAATTTTTGCGTTCTTACGTTCTTCGTCGGATATATCTCGCGCCATTTCGCTCGTCTCACCCCTTGTCTGGGCCCGGCAAAGCCGTCCTCTATGACTTGCGCTCAAAGTACTTCCACTGGCCCTCGGCGGGCTTCTCCTCTAGGCTCTCCCAACTGATTTGTTAGCAGGCGTCCATAAAACAGGCACACAGAATACCCACGTCGGCATCTTGCAATACTTACACCTTGGCCTTGATCATCACGTCAACGAGTCTGGCCTCGCCTTCAGCGACGTGGATGACCTCCTCGATCAGGCCGGCGCCGATCTTGGCCTCAACTTCCTCGATCCTAGAAGTATTTTGGTTAGCATGCCGTTCCATTTGTTTCTTGTTTCTTTCCCTCTCCTTCCCTCCTACTATACGTACTGATCCGCCGTCAGCTGCGGCTCTGGCTCCCACGTCACCGACGAGACCTCCTCGAGCGATTGCCGCGACGCCGACAGCGCCTGGTCCGCACGCTCCTCCAGCGTGCGCACGCCCTCGCGCTCGGCGCCCTCGTTCTGCTCGCCGTCCCACTCCTTGAGCCGCTGGTCCACGGCGTCCGGCACGTCCTGGATGATAAAGGTGCGGCCGTTCTTCTCCACGCGCCACGTCGCCTCGCCGTCCACGCCCAGCTTCGCCACGCTGCCAAAGTGCTCCGGGTTCTCAGCCACCGTCTTCTGTGCCCGTGCCAGCCACGCGTCGTAGCCCTCGGGCTTCACGGACTGCACAATCGCCATCCGGTGCTTGGTGATGGCCTCGACCGACTGCCGGTACACCGACTGCTCCGGCGCCGCCTTTAGCTTGTCGAGTGTCGTCGAGTACAGGAACAGAAGCGTCGACCGCGGCGTGTCGTGCGTGTAGAGGCCTGCGAGACCCGTCTGGGCGCCATTCTGGAGATACCGGCCCGGCTTGACGCCGGCCAGCAGGCGGAGGGATGTGCGCATTATGGGGCGGGGGCGGGCGTGGAAAGGGAAAACGAGGGGAGAAAAAAGGACACTCGATGTTCTTGTCTGCGCTTCGTCGAATCGGGTGTCCGCTGCAGCGATCCAATTGACCTCGTGTCGGCTCGGGGAAATGCGTCGTCGTTTGGGCGACTGGGGAGGATTTTGAGCTCAATTGTGGTCGCGGGCCCGGAAAACGGTAGTGCGAGCGGAAAGAATTGGCGTTTTCGTAATTCCTGTCACGTGGTTGGTTGTTTCCAGTGAATGATGACTAAATCATTCCACTTGGACAACCTCACCTCACTTTCTCTCCACTCACTCACTTCTGTCGACCAAAACGCAGGCAGGCCATCTTTGAGGAACGCCAGAATTTACAATTAATGGTGATGCTATGCAAACCCTCTATGATGACAAAATAGCACAAAGTCAATCACACGCTTTTTCCCGCCGCCGCCTACCGCCCCCTAGTCCAGCTTGATACTCCGGATCAGACCCGTGCTGATACCCGTGCGCTCGCCCTGGTAGTTGTCGCGGTCGACGGGCTTGTAGACGGCGCGCATGCTGGCCAGCTGCTTTTTCTTCTTCTCAAACTTGACGCGCTTCTTGACACGCGGGTTGTTCTTCTTCTCCTTGAGCGTCTTGTGGCTCAGGCCCTTGTTCTTCTCAATCTCCCACGTCAGCTGCCGCCGGCCGTCTTGGTCGAGCGACGTCTCGGGCAGGATGCGGTCGAGCTTGCCGGCCTCCATGGCTGCCTTGCGCGCCGCCTTGACGCCCATCTTTGCCTCGTGCGCCTTGACGATGCTGTTGTAGTACGCCAGGCTGGCCTCCTTGTCGGCCTCGTTGTCGTCTTCGTTGTCGTCTTCGTCGCTGCCTTGGTCGCTGCCGCCAAGCTCCTCGCCGGGCTGGATCGGCGCCTGGCCGCGTTTCGCCGCTGCGGCCTCGAGACGTGCCTGGCGGTCACGGAAGCGCTCACGGTAGGGAATGTCGGCGTCGCCGCCGGCCTGTCCGCTAGCGCCCGCGCGCAGGTTCGATTTTTGCATGATCTGCGACGTGTAGTAGCCGAGCGATTTCTTCCGCTTGAGCTTCTCCTCGGCCGTCCGCGCATCCAGGGCCTCCTCCTCGCCCAGGTCCGAGAGGCCATCGTTGCTGTCGTCGTCACCGCCGCGTGGTGCCGCGGCAGAAGCCTTCTTCGCCTTCTTGGGCTTCTTGTTCAGCAGCTCCGACAGGTCGGCCATGGACGCCTCGAGTTCTTGTGACGCGCCAGTGGCCCTGCTCTGCTTCTTCTTGGCCTTGCCGGCCTTATCCGTCTTGTCCGCCTTGTCCGTCTTTGCCGTCTTGCTGGTCTTGGCCTTCTTCTTGGTCTTGTCGACCGTCGCCTCAGCTGCTGCGGCCCGCTCTTGCGCCGCCTTCTCTTCCATCGCTCTCTCCACGGCCAGCGCCGCCGCCGCCGCCACCTTCCTAGCCTTCGCTGCCCGCCGCGCCTGCAGATTCTTGACGCGCTCCCACGTCGCGCGCGTGTCGACTAGGTATTGCATGACCTCGTGGTCGTGCAGCTCGTCGGCATCCATGATGTAGCGGCTGCCGCTCGGGTTGTCGCGTGAGGGAGACATGAACAACGAGAGGTACATGCAGATGGTGGCCACATAGCACGACAGCGCACGGAACTGCACCACCTCAAGCGACTCGCTGGGCTTGCCTTCGGCCAGCGCTTTGTACTCGTGCATCAGCGGCTCCAGCTCGACAAAGTCGTCGCACAGCGGGTCAAACTCGGGGTAGTAGTCTTTGAGAAACTTGGCCTTTTCCTCGGGCGTCATGGAGTCGATCTCCTCCTTGTTGGTCTTGGTTGTCAGCGTCACCGTGGGGCCGTCACCGGCAGCTGCTGCTGCGGTTGCGACAGCGCCCGGTGTTGTATCCGTCTTCTTCTCGGTCCATTCGTCCATGTCGAAAAAGTCCGACGCCTTCATCCGCGACAGCTGTTTCTTCTGCAATCGCCGTGCCTCGGCCTCCTCCTCCAGCGCATTGGCCTCGGTCTCAATCATCTCGCCGTCGTAGTACTCCTCCTTGGAGGTACCCCACCAGCCCTGGTCGCCATCCTCGTCGTCGCCAGTCTTTTTCGACGTGCCGTTGTCGTCGTCATCGTCGTCGTCACCCCGTCGTGCAGCCGCCGCCGCCGCTTTTGCCTTCTTTGCTGCGGCTTTCTTGGCCTTCGTCTTCTGCTTCCGGCGATCGCTCGCGTCCTGCTGGAACGCTTCGTTCTCCGAGTCGTCCGAGTCCTGGCCGAGCACCTCGTCCTCCGACAGCTCTAAGAAATCATCTTCCTGCTGCTCCAGCCGCTGGCGCTTGGTGCCTTTCTCGTCGCCCAGCAGAATCTTATCCTTGTCGAGAAAGTACTCCTCTTGCTCGTCGGCAATGTCTTCGTATGTCGTGATGGGCCCGAGCCGAGCATCTTTCGCGTCGTAGTCGCGGGGCCCTGAAGGTGCCTCGGCCACACGGCTGGCCTTTCTCTTCTTTGCCATTGTGCAGTAGTGGTCTGTGAGAGGTAAGGGGAGGGAAGGTCGGGAGGAGAAAAGCGTTTCGGCGGTAGACGTTGAAGTAAACAGCGTCAACGGTAGGCGCAGAAGATGAGATTTTGCTGGGTCGATGTCCCTACTAGGCGCAAGTAACTTTTTCTGCCAGATAAGAAAATTATTTCGCCTTATCGACTGGACCCATAAAAATGGGGGCCGTTTAGTTTAGGTGATCCTGTCAGCTGATCCTCACTGGCAACAAAACGTGGGCTCAGGGGATACAGCCTTAACAGCTGAGCGACCCTCACCTTAGCGCATTGCCAGCTAAACAGGTCCTAAACTGCACTGTAGTCGCCCCTAATTACAGCACCATCCGTCGCAAGTAATACGATATGGAATCACTTGCGGATCGACTACCAAGCACGCGTCCAAGATGCATGCTAGGATAGGCACTGTCCTTGAGCCTCAATCCATCACCCTGAACTGCGGAGGAAGTCTCAACCAATGTGAGACTGCTTGCAGTTTGACGCCGCACTTCTCACACATTCCGTGCACTTTTGGCCAGCGATATTGTCACTGGAGCTCTGGCGGCCCCACTTTTAATTACAGAACGTTCCTTCCAGTTAGTGAACCTACCACTGCTCCTGCCTGCCAGCGACATTGGGGGCTTATTAGGGAGTTTTCGAAAGACGTCAAGCGCCTGCGATGTTTGTCCTGGACATATAGAGAACGCTCACTTCTCACCCCTTTGTCCTTACTATCCCGTTTAAAGAACGACCGGCGGAGACGCAACTCGGACATGCCCAGCTCACTTGCTCTCACATCTGCAGGCATTGTCGGAGCTTCTGCCTTAGCCGCTACAACCATGGGCCTTTTTGGAGGAAACCAGATGCCGGTCGACGGCAAGGTGCGTTTTTACGTTTCGCAAACGAGACCACATGATTTTGGCTGACATGTCTTTTTTCCTCAGACCGTCCTGATCACCGGCGCCTCTGAGGGCATGGGCCGTTCGGCCGCCCGTCTGCTGGCCGCGCAGGGCGCCAACGTTATTGTTGTGGCCCGGAACGTCGAGCGCCTGACCGAGACCGTGGCCGAGATCAAGGTAGGTCCCCGTGGGTGATGGATGTTGATGAAAGACGGAGAATCCAAATCCACGCATCCTGCCGTTATAATGCCCCCATGCTGACCGTATGCCACAAGGCCGCTGCCAAATCCAGCACCCAGCGCTTCCACTACATCTCGGCCGACGTCGCCGTGCCCAACTACGCGCCGGCCGTCATCCGGGACGCCCTGGCCTGGAACGAGGACAAGCCCATTGACATTGTGTGGTGCGTCGCCGGCATGTCCACGCCGATGCTGTGGGCCGAGGAGACCCCCGAGGTCGCCTTTGGCGCCGGCCGCCGCGCCATGGATGTCAACTACTGGGGCGCCGCCGAGATGGCCCACGCCATCCTGCGCGAGTGGCTGCGGCCCGCGGCCGGGCCCTACAAGGAGCCGCGCCACCTCATCTTCACAGCGTCCGTGCTCGCGCTGTACCCCGTCGCCGGCTATGCGACCTACACGCCGACCAAGTGGGCGCTGCGCGGCCTCGCCGACACGCTGACGCAGGAGGTCATGCTGTACGAGCAGACCAACCCGGTGCGCGTGTCCGTTGTGTTCCCCGGCACGATCCTGAGCCCCGGCTTTGCGCGCGAGACCCAGACAAAGCCCGACGTGACGATCCACCTGGAAAAGGACGACCCGCAGTTCACGCCGGACGAGGTGGCCGCCAAGGCCATCAAGGGCCTGCAGCGCGGCGACCACTTTGTGACGGTGTCGATGCTGGGCGAAGTGATGCGCTGGGGCGTGCTGGGTGGCGCGCCGCGCAACGGGCTCCTGGACATGCTGGGCGCGTACCTCATGGCGCTCATTATGCCCTTGATTTTGTGGTGGTTCCACGGCGAGATCAAGTCGTGGGGCAAGAAGAACGGCCACCCGGCCACCTACAAGAAGAAGATATAGGCCTGGGTGGTGTGGCGTGACGTCTTTTGTTATAGCAACGTTTTTCTTTTCATCATAATTACTAGCGGCTCTGCAATACTGCATAAAAACGAGGACACAGCACGGCGTGTCCATAAGAAGAAGGAGCAAAACCTGTTTCCTGGCGTACAATGCGAAACCAAAATCTCAAATGTCTCTTATATGCATGAGTATATATACAAAGTATGCCCTCTTCCGCCTTACACACCCTTCCACTTGCCAAACTGCAGCCACCTGCGGTACAGGTCCTTGAAGAGTGCTCTTCCGCTGGCATCGACGGCGTCGTTGAGCAGTCGTCGCGTCCCGTCGGGGGTGATGGCCAGCACCGAGAACAGGCCCGGCTCGAGCGCCTCGCGCACGCCACGCGACAGCACGGCGCCGTCGATTTGCAGCTTGATGTACGTCATCAGCACAAGGTACATGTGCTGGCCGGCCGAGCGTTTTGCCGCATCCGTCGCAGAGTGCAGTGGCGCCGCCGGTATGCCTGTACTGCCTTTACGCGACGTTATCATGGTCACCGCCGCCGTCGACGGCTCGCAAATCAGCTCCAACAGACGGGAAAAGCGCTTGGCCTGCGCTGCCCAGGACACGGCGACGCTGTTTTTCGCGCTGTTCCGGCTGGTGCTGGTACTGTGGCCGGACTTGTGCTTTAGCTCATCTTGGTGACCGGCCGCCAGGCGGGCCAACAGTGCCTGCAGAGTGCCGACCAGCAGATGAAACCGGCCCTCCAGCCGGACACGGTGGCGCTTGAGGACGGCCTCGACGAGCTGGCACGCACCGTCGAACGCAACAATCGACGCCCGCACCATGTCGTTGTTGCCGAGAGCAGTGCCCGCACGCTTCAGGCCCACGACAGACGCCGCGGCACCCAGTGTCGCATCGACGTTCCACTGGCCCATGGCACCGGCGGCCTTGTCATCCATCAGCAGTGTGCGGATGGTCTGGGCGACGAGTTTGCACTCGGTGACACTGCTAGCGCGTGGCAGTCTCAGGGCCAGCTTGCTGTGGATGGCACCAAAGTGGAAGCCATCAGGGGTCTTTGCCGCGGCGGCGCCGGGAGTCTCAAAGAGGCGGACGAGCAGGTACTGGATCGCGAGGAGTTGGCCGATAGTCGACGAAGACGAAGACGAAAACGACGACGTCTCGTGATCGTCCTTCGCGTCCAGGGCGTCGATCAGTTCTGCCGTGTAGGACAGAAGCGATTCTTGGTCGTAGTCTGCCGTCTCGCCGGCGAGGTAGTCCCGGATCAGGTCGCCATCCAGAAGGACCGATGCAGCTGTGACAGCGGTGGTCGTGTTGGCAGCAACCGAGACAGCCTCGCCATTGTCGCCGCCCAAGAAGAGGCCCTGAAAGCGGACGTCACGAGCTGGCCGGCTCTCTTGACCACGAGTATACCGGGCAATGAATGCCTTCCACTTCCAGCCAATCTTCTGGTGGTTGGCACACAGCGCATCTGCCGATTTCGTGGCCTTCTTGATGACGGAGCTGAACTTCTTAAGCTCGACAAGCTCCGCCTGGATGTCGCCAGCCATGGCGGCGTCAAAAGTGAGCAGCAGCTGCAGCGGCAGATGGCTGGATTGGTCGGTGGTGGCATCGACTGTCCCCGTCATAGCCACGTCTTCCTCGTCTTTGCTCTCCAGCTGGTTGAGAAGCTGCTTGACGACAATCGATGCGAGCTGCTCCTTCGTCTTCTGTAGCTGTGCGGATCCATCTGCCACAACGTCCTTGAGGGCCACCAGCTTAGCACCGTACAGAACGAGCTGCAGATTGGTGGGGATCGTTTTGGAAATGACGCAGTCGTCTTTGTATGCCGGCGATTTTATAACAGCCCTGGCTACCTGTCGGAAGCGGTCGTAGACCCCAAGAGCCGACGCGGCATCCACGTTCTCCACGGTAGCGGCAACTGTCTCGCCGAAGTAGACAAGACGGTCAAATATGATCTCGCCAAAGGCTCGTTCGTGCGTGACTTTGGTCAGGAGGTCGAGGGCCAGGACGATCTCCTCCACGGTCCAGGACACAGCTGGTTTCCTGGACGGCGGCCGTAAAGGCAGCAAGGTGGCCACAATACGTTCTCGCTGGGACCGAGAGAGAAGGTGAGACGGGGTTTGCAACAAGGTGAGGGTAGTTTCTCTCAGGCCAGAGCTACGCTTGCCAGCGGCCTCTTCGAGACGCTTGACCTGGGCCTCTGTGGTGTTGCTCGTGACCTTCTGGTTCTGCAGATTTGTGACATTGTTGTAGACCAGTGTCGAGGGCGTGTTGGCGGCCAGTGTTGTATCGTTTTGTACGGTCAGGCCAGTCTGCCATGCCAGCAGAGCATCGAGGAAGGCAGACGGCTCGTCACTGCACTTGACCATTTCACTGGGATAAATAGTTAGCATCTATATAACGATGGGTGGCGAGAGGCACGATCCAAGGGCACCCCTCTCCCGCAAAAAAAAATACGTACTCAATAAATCGTGAAGAGCCACATAGCATCCACGTCAAATATGTCGCCCCAGCGGCCGTCTTTGTGTCGAACGAACCGCCAAACGACCTGGCAGCCCCGTTGACAGCCGTCGTCTGGCGTCCAACCTCCTGCAGAATCTCCATTCGGCTCTGGCTATCCTTCACCAGAACCGACAGCTCCTCCTGGAAAGGAGTGAAAAATGCCCACGTCATCTCACGGGCCGCCTGCTCGCTCTTGGCGTCAAACTTGACAGCCATCCACAGCGAAAAGCTGCATACAAGCGCCTCGAACTTGTCCTCGGTCAGCACAGATGCACTCTTGTTTTTGCTGCTACTGGCCGCGAGGCTCTTCAAAGATGCCTTGACGGCTGTCCAGATGCGCTCGGCATCCGAGAATCCCACCCAGGCGAGAGTCCGGCGCACCAGGCGCCACTGGATGGCAAGAATCTCAGGTGGCAGCGTGGATGAGGACGAGGACAGTTCGAGGCTCAGGATGGTATCAAGCATCTTGGTATGAACTGCGTCTTCAAACTCTTCGCTGCGGATGCCGGCACTGAGGGCATCAAAGATGACGAGGCGAGCCACCGCCTCCGCAGTCGCCGTGTCCTTGCCTCCACCGCTGCTAGACGAATTCTCGACCTCAGCAATCGCTGACAACAGCTGCTCCTTGGACAGGGCAGTTGGCATGGTGTCGGCCACCGCCGCCCGAAGGTCCTTGGCCAGCCAGGCATTCTGTACCGCTTGTGCCGTACCGTTGGCGAGGTACAGAGAAATGATGCCGGCTCGCCAACGTGTGACGAACCCGGAAAGGTTGCGGCTTCCGGCAAAGCCTCGGGCCAGCGAGATCAGGAAAGCGGAGGCGAACCGTGCATCGGCCGCCGACTGCGGCGCGGTCGACGGCGTGCTCAGCTGCTCGAGAGCGGCGTTGAGCAAGCTGGTGCTCTTGTCTGCCAGGAGGAACGCGTCGGCATCGCAGCGTGCAATGGATGCCAGTAGCCTCCAATCGGTGGCTGGTGCCGATTTCGGTAGGTCGTTTTGAAGTGCACATTTCTGGCACACCTGCTGAAGACTGTCGATAGACGGTGCCATGCTGTGTTGTGCGGCCATGTCGAGCAGGCCAGCCAGTGCTGTGTTCTTGCGCTCAGCAGACAGGACACTGGTGGCCATAAGCGGCTCCCGGATCGTCTCAAAGACGGTCTGCAGCCAGAGTTCGTTGTCCTTGCTGCTCGTGCCGCTCCCGGCCAGGAGGCGCGGTGCGTTGAGCGCCAAGTAGAAAAAGGTGGTGGCCCGCACGATGTAATCGTCAGCGTCGGTCTTCGCGGCGGAGTTGGACGTCGCAATCGATAAAGCGTTGACGTCCTTCAGGTTCACGAACAACGACCGAGCCGTGAGCACAAGGTTGTTTGTGAAGAAGCGCAAAAGGCCGGCAGTCCAGCGACGCTGCAATGCAGGGTCCAGAAGGTGCGCAGATCTGGTAGTGGTAGTGGTAGTGGTAGTGGTAGTGGACGGCACAACATCAAGCAGACGGCCAAGCAGAGTGAGGCCATCAAGCGACAACCGGCCTGCGACGTCAAAAGCGTCGTTGGGGCCCTGTAGACGCAGCTCCCATAGCGTCGAGAAGGTGGACATCCACGAGGCCTGGCCATCGATGGGTGTTGATGTACTCGACTTGCTGTCGTCGCCAGAGTCCCGACCGCTACCATCAACTCCTTCTTCAGTCGTCAGAGCCAGCCTGCATATCTTCAAAAGAGGTTCGAGCAGGGCGTTGGCGTCGGACGCCGGCACGTTGAAAAAGGACTTGATGTGCTCAGCTCCCATGTGATCGTACGGCGACAAAATGGAGGCAGACGAGGAGGCGCTCGCAGCCGTGCTGTCGTGGCCATCGTCCAGACGAGTCAGAAGAACACGCAGGGCCTCGAACAGAGCGCCAGCCGAGACGACGCAATTCTGCAGCTCTCGCAGCGAGGCCAGGTCGAACCGGGCGTCCTGTGACCGTTTCCGCTTGAGAGAGCTTTGGGCAGACGAAGACGACGCTGCATTCGGTGTTGCCAGATCCTTTGCGGTCTGCTGCAGGACAGAAAGAAAACGGCGGTCGGCGAGCGACTTGGCCAGCGAGAAGAGCGGGATGCGGCCAAAGATGCACGCCAGGATGCGCCATGTGAGGGGCCACCGACGCAGGGTCTCGGTCTCGGGGCTGACGGGGCCGGAGCTTGACGAGTGCATGTTCTTGAGAAGCCACCTGAGGGCAACCTCTTCGGAGGCATGGAAGCGGCCGGCGGCGGATGTGGATGTGGATGTGGTTGTGGATGCGGATGTGGCAGCCAGGGCGTCCCAGAGACGCTGCAGCTTGGAGACCACCGTCTCGGGGCCGCTCTGGTCCAACGACCGGGCAGCTTTGAGGAGAGCCTCCTCAGCCATGGCAGCTGTTCAGCAGAAAGAGAGAGTCGTCGAGGTGAAGGGCGAGAGGTGAAGGCGAGCGAAGCGTAAGATTATCACGACTCTATTCCATGCGGGAACGGCTGGCAAGGCACCAATTCGCTCTTGGCAAGCTAACAACAGCAGCTTTGGCCAAGCGGTAGGTTGTGTGGCGTCGTGATCGTGGTGCCGTGTGGACTGACGATGTTGTTTGGCCAAAATATGAAAGGGGGCGTTTCCTATGTTGGGTTTCCTCTCTTCATGCGTCTCTACGCAGTGGCTCGCATCGCTCCTTCTGATAGCAGAAAAAAAGTTATGCCAAAGGAATTCTGCCGGTTTTGGTCCTGCAGCGGCGACGAAGCTAACCTGCACTTTGTTTCACCGCCTTTGTACTTTGTACCTTCTCCCCTCTGGGTCCCATTCCTTCCCTACAAAAAACTTGTTAGCCGGTTTAGTCCGCGTCTGCGCGGAAAACACGAAATCGGCCTGCCCGCTCGCTGCGCTAATAGTTTCCCTGTGTCGCAAACAGCTCCAGCACTCTGTCTCGTCACGTTTGTCTCCATTGGCACAACATCCGTTTGATCTTTGCCCTCTGCCCATTGTCATCCATCGCAACCTCCATCACACCACCTACGTCCATCGACATCCATTTCCAACAGCGACTGCATCAACGTTTGTCTGCCCATTGAATTGGTTCTGCTGACAGCTTGCTGGCGGATTGCTGACCTGTTTTGCTTTGTCCAGCGCATCGTTTCCGTTCATGACATTGAACTGATCCCGGTTTCCGGCTACCTCGACTACTTTACAGACTCCTCCCTTCCTCTCTTCCTCCCCTTTACACACCATGTCCGACGCATCGGCTCCGGCACCATCACAGCGGGTGGTCGCGCGCCCCGTCAGCGAGGCGCTGCTGAATGAGAAGGTGGGATGCCCATGAGCTCCGTGTGGGAGTTTCTCTGTCTGTAAACTCCTTACTAACTGACAGCAGTGGGACCACTGCCTGTCCAACCTGGTGATCAAGTCGGGCCTCGGCCTGGGTTTCGGCGTGGTGTTCTCGGTGCTGCTGTTCAAGCGGCGAGCGTGGCCGGCCGTCGTGGGCCTCGGCTTTGGCGCGGGTCGGGCGTACGAGGAGTGCAACTGGACGCTGAAGCAGGCGGCCAAGGACATCCGGACGCAGGCGTAAGGATTTACGAGGAGGCTTTGCTTAACCCGGAGCTGGGGCAGAGAGCAGCTCTGCATGTAAAACAGCGAGACGAAAAGTAGTACCGGTATGATGATGGCAGAGAGGATGTCACACCCTCTTCTCTTTCAGACACCGCTCACTTTTCTCGATTGTACAAGCCCACCGCGTACCTTTGTATCATCCATTTAATAACTTTGTTACATTTTATTTGTCTTATCTAGCTATACAGGAGACGGACGGAACAGAATAGAAGGCACCCGTTTACATTTATACAAAGGAACAGATTCATGAAAATGAGATCTATGTAAACAATATAACTACATGTTGCAAAAGCGCCCGACCGCGGGGCCGATCCAGTGCATGACAGCCCAGGAGTAGCTGCTTTGTATCGGAGCTTTAAACCCCGGCTTTTGTCCTGGACGTTATCCACAATTGTGTCCAAGGAAATATCCCAAGAGAAATAGGGAAAATAGACGGAAAAGATTGCCAGTATATAAAAATGGCGCACGCCCAATAACACCACGTAGCGACCCAACAACGCTTACGGTTGCCCACACACCAGGCAAGCTCACATGATCGTACAGCAGTTCTTGAGCAACCGCGGCAAGCACTTGACCACGGCCTGCTCGATCTGCTGCTCCATCTGGTCGTTGTTGTTGTTGTTGTAGTTCTGGTGCTGGTTCTGGTGGTGCTGCTGGTAGTGCGGTTGTTGCTGCTGCTGGTACGGGTACTGGTTGCCGTGCGCCGCGCCGGCGTAGCTGTTCTGAGGCTGGCTCGGGTAGCCGCCGCCGCCGCCGCCACCACCATGGTAGCCGCCCAGGTGGCCCGACGGCTGCGGCGGCAGCGGCGGCGCGCCGTCGACGGCACCGCCCTGCAGGTTCACGTAGATGCGGCCTTCGTTCGGCTCGGTGGCATACTGCAGGCCGAGCTCGCGGCACAGCTGCTCGACGGCCGGCTTGATCTTCTGGATGTGGTTCACGCTGTGGTTGCCACGGCCGACAATGACGTGCAGGTGGTTCTGGCCCTGGGACTGGGCAGCCCGGATGCGGTCCGTCAGGATGCGCTCGGCCTCTTCGACAAACTGGCCGTGCAGGTCAATGGTGTCGGCGGCGACGCGGCCGACGGCGTTGTTCTCCCGAAAAATATAGTCGGACGCCTGGCGGTTGTACATGTCCATCTGCGCGGCGTGCTTCTTGCCCTCTTCCGACAGGGCCTTGGCGCCGGCGCCGTCGCCCTTTTGGTAGGCTTGGTGGGAGCGGTCCATGCAGGACGAGCGCTTGCCTGCCTCCTTGCGGGCGAGGTCGCGGAGACGGTCATACTCGGCCTCGGCGTCATTGCCGGCGCTGTGGTTGAATGCTGACTTGTTAGCAAGAGGTGCACGGCTGAGAGAGAGCGAGAGAGAAAGAGAGCAAATGGGGGCGAGACGTACACCGCTCGCCGAGATGGGTCATGTGAATGGCAGAGGAAGCCATGGCGACGTCGGAGCGCAGGAGGGCGTCACGGGGTGAACTGTGGTGCGCGGGGCGAGGGAAGGCGGCGCGTCAAGTTGCGACAAGCAGGCGCGATGGACACTGAGAGGATGAGGTCAGAGCCAGAGTCGCCAAGCGGAAATTGCGACCGTAGGGTAGCACACACAAAGCCCGGGGGAAGGCGCGGTTCGGGGCGAGGAAGTTGCGAGGCGGGCACGAGGCTCGAGGAAGGAAGACAGGTTGAGGCGGCAGAAAAAAATGGTGGTGAAGCCGCGTTGCTTTTAGTGAGGAAGGTACGATCTGTCGCCAAAGCGCCAGTACGATCTACGGGAACATCAACAGACGACGCACAGTCGTTAGTTCATTTTCGTTTGCGCGCCGGTTTGCGAAATCCTTTTTGCAGTTCCTGAGAGACCAAGTGGATTTTTACAGATGAGGTACGGTTGGTTGCTTTGAGCGTCCAATGGCAGTCTGCACTAGCATAAACCACTGCAATCCGCCAGCAGTCCGTGATTTAGTGGCCGATGGGCGATGCGACGAGCAGAAGAAGAAGCAACGAAAACGGGAAATTGGGCTAGGCAAGCTGAAAAGCGCGAAGTGTAAGTGGGAAATGCCGGTGTCAGAGAATGAGATGACAGGTGCAAAAGATACCGAGTAATTCAGAAGATGATTGAAAAACACTAGCGCAGCGCCGAACCCAATTCCACTTGGTGCTCCGCGTTGCCGAAAAGAGCAGGATCGGCGGCAAGTATCGAAAAGGCAACCGCACCAGGCTGGCGTACCTGCCGCTGGAGTGGCCATGGCACATACATTGTATTTGTGTTACGATGCAAATCGACCACCGAGATGCACATGAAATAATACGACATATGCGTATATATATTTGGATATGGGCCTGGGAGCACACGATGCGTTCTGGTTATACGTCGGTGGCTGCTCTGTGCGCCACGGCGGTCCCACGACGGTGGTGTGGGAGGACAGGTTGGGAGGACAAATGTAGAGACAACGAAACTGACACCAGAAAAGAGCTGGAGAGCCGCAGAAGAACAGCCGACGAACAGCATCGGCGGACAACATCCAATGGACACCAATGCTCTCTAACACGACAGGTGGATGGCTGCACATGGCGGATGTCGTTGTCGGTGAGGCTCTCCCCGTCCAGTCTCAGCCATTGGTGGCAAGGTATGGTGGTATTTGCATCTTGATACGGCGTACGACTATGGACGGCTGTGGGTGACCGGGTATCCCGCCTAGAAGAAAAGAAGCAAAGATAAACATAAGAACAGAGAAGCATAGGACGAAGCGGGTGAAATATGACAATGAAATATGACAATATGCGGGCAGCCGCTTCCCGAGTTGCCCAAAGCCGGTCAGCGGGCTGGAAGTGTTCTGCAGCAGAACTTTGGTTGCGGGTGGCATCCAGAGTACGTCGTAGGCCATGCATATTGCGGGTGAAAACCAGTCATGTTTATTTCATTTTGGCTGCCCTGGGTTGGGAAGATTTGTGGCGTCGTGATCGTGGTCTCGATGTCCAAGGCTGTGAGAAAAACTCCAGAGAGTGCAAGATAGTGCAAACAAGGGAGACAGTGGCAGTGTCTATTTCTCTGTTCGAAATTTGTCCGAATAACAGATACAACCCTGACAATAGCAAAACGACAAGACGCAAGGAGCATCGTGAGGAAGGGGAAAGGAAGGCCTGTCAGGGGCATGCGGTACTTCATCCTTCCAGAACTGTTCACCTCATGTCCAAGGATCCTTCCTCCATATTCAGGAACCACAGAAACTGCCCCAGGCATGCAATTCAGGACAGGGCACAGGCTAACAAGCTGCACTGGCCAGGCACAATTTGATCCTGATTCACTGATTCTTCTGCATGTGCCTGTTAGATGCAACGTCGACGCACTCCCAGAGATACGACGTAATAGCGGGGGCTATAAAGTGCATAAGACTGTCCACATTGTCGTTTTCTCTGCAATCTGATGAGCCGCCGTGAGTTTTATGACCATGCCACTTTTGTGTTGAAGGCTTGCACCCGTTTTCTGGAGAGCCTTCACCTTCAGCCTTCACCTCGTACATGTGGCACATTACCAAGCATGCCCCCACCGCATCGTACTTGGCACGCACAAAACACATTTCGTTTTTGACCAGGATCAAGAAACGTGATGCATCAGTCCGTCATTTCAGAAGAGGCATAAGATCCATGAGGTTGACAGTTTATGCCCTGTGTAAGAGGCAAGGGAGCACTCTCAACGCCAAGGTGAACTCCACCCAAAGCGTACGGAGAGCACCCCTTTCCAATCGTGGGCTTCTTTACCTCTGTTCTGTGGGTTTACTCCGCCACGACGTCCAGCGATGAGGAAACTAACCGACTGTGGTCCCAATATCAGAGGCTTGTTGTTTCGTGACAAGACAATACAAATGGGGTGAGAGGTAGCGCCGTGAAGCAAAAGAACTTTGGGGAAGCAAAGGGTGGATTTCTTCTTCCCTTCGTCTTTCAGACTTCAGCGTTCAAAGAAATAACAGACAAGCTACCGGTCCAGCCCGGCCGTTCGGGGCGGATTGAGTGCTGGGTCTGCTGGTTCGTCTTGCTGTCGGCGTCCAACACCCACAATCTGCCGTCGAACGACCGCTTTCAGAGGACGCTATGCCGAAAGTTGAACTAAAAGAAGGGGGGACAAAGGTGGCGAGAACCCAGAAGAAGAAGAAAAACTGACTTTGTCCACGGAGTGGGTTCGCTGGCCACATGGCCATGGCCGGGGATTTCGTTAGATTTGAGGCCCTCCCTCATCCCGTTAGGCAAAGATGCATTTCGCTTGGAGTCCTGCCGGTGTCCGCAATGTGCCGACGTTGGCATTGCCCCTCCCCCCCCCGGGATAATGTGCTGTGCTGAGCTGTGTCACAGTGTCACAGGGCATTCCTGATCTTGAAGAATACGACGTAGGTCCTTGCCCAACCTTTGGAACCATCCGTCTTGTCAATTGGTCATCTCATCATCTCGTCATCTCATAATCTTAACCGGTCGTTTTTCACTACTCGGGAAAGACGATCACGTCGGGATCCGCATTGAACCTGGCTGTGTGACGAGCGGAGAAATATGACAAAAGAGACGTGCGACGAGACAAGGGGGAAGGAAAGGGTCGCGCCTCTTTTCATGAGGCTTACATAAAGTACTGTCCGAGGGAAGAATTCCAAACAGGATGGATTCCGTACAGAGCCGGACCAGTCAACTGTAGCAATGGGCGCGCCCAGCCGATATCCGGAATAATAGTGGGAAACTCCTCGTCAGTGATTACGAAGTAGACGCTCGCTGTCCTGCAAGATTGTCTGCAGTCTCCAAAAATAAGGTCCGCACTGCGGCTAAAACAGGCTGTTTCAACCATGAGGGTGTGGTGGCAGTAGCGCTGCAAAAAGAAAGACAGGAGTAGGAGGAAACTCTGTATTATGCGCAGTAGCGTGTGGAGGCTGGGTGCCGAAAGGTGAGATAAAATGGAGTAAGAACAAGAAGAGTGACAAAAGAAAACACAATGCCGCTGGGAAAATCAATGACTGATATTCAGGGGAAAGACGATGGTCGACCGCATCCAAAATAGCACCCCGAGCCCGGTTGGTAGCAACATGACCAGACGGGAGGAGACGAGACGATGATATGAAACTGACGGACAAGAGTGCGAGGTACGTCGCAACGCGTACGACATACGACATATAGCTGTGCCAAGGGCCTCGTTCATCGGCCACCGTCTGCGGCCTGGTTTGGGTGAACATATAGAATGCGTCGTCGTCATTGTAAGATCACAGTGCCGGCCGTCTTGGTCGTTGTCGTCAATGAACCGCCATCAATGCACCGTCGACAGCCTCGTCTCATTATCGACAGCTTAACGGAAATTCGGCTGTCACATCAAACAATGTTTCTGTTCGTCCACCATGCATCCACTTGACTGCAGCAAAGGCGAGATGTCGTCTGGGGCCCGGCAGAGTTGTCTCGATGTCCTCTCCATGCTTTAAAGGTGCTGTGAAAACTGCGGCATACTCCGGAAGTAGTACGCTGGTTCGCTGCGCTTGTTCGAACATGCGCTGGGTGCATACCCCTGTATTTGTCTCACAATATTGCCGAGAGACCTGTGCTCGAACAGCTCGAAAAACGGCCAGCGCGAGACATTTCAAACCTAAATGGGTAACGATGTCGAAAGGATAAGCCAAAAAGGCTACCAGAAGAGATGCCAGAAGAGGTGAGGAAGGGCATGCACCTCGGTGGAGCCTTGTCTTGGTTGTCTCTCTTGACAGCCAGCAAGCGAGACGAAGTATACAAATAGTGTGCGAGGCAAGGCTCTCCTTATTGTGGGTTCTGGGCGTTCGTTCGCGTCGTCTCTTTCTGCTTTTCAGCTTTTGAGGTTTTCAGCGTTTTTCGGCAGCGTCAGGCATTTTCTTCTTTGGCATCAACACTGGTCGTCCAGCACTCACCGCTGCCAGCCGCATCTGGGCTCCTGTCGCCGCCTTGCCTCATTTGTCGTTTTCGATGGCGATACTTCTCCATACCTCGCGCCCCCGCATCATTCCCTCCTTCCTCCTGCTCAAACATACCCCATTATCCGGTCTCCGTATTGCCTTTTTTGTTTCGATCGACAGTCGCCCGCTTGCCTTTTCTTGGTCCTCTGTGCGGCTGGATGAGCGGCCAGGCGGCTTGTGCGCAAAAACAAAGTGGGAGAATATGGAATAATCAGGACACCAAGACGGCAACAAATGGCCAAACTGGGCACCCGCGACCCCAAATAGAGACAAGAGCCGTCACGAAAGCAAGATGTGCCGCCTCCAAGCACAGGTCATGCCGCCGGGGTGCAACGGACACCTTTTTCACCTCCTCGTCATGCTGTGAACGATTACCAATTGGGAACTGAAGTGTCGTGAGAAAAGTGCTTGCGAGCCAACCAGGTGTCGATTGGCCGCAGGCTCTGTGTGTGCCTGTTGTTCCTGTTGCTCTTCTGTTCTGTTCTGTGCTGTGTTTTGGTGTGTCTTGGAGTCCATCAAAGGTCAGAGCGTCGGGACACCCTGCGCAAGTCACGTCGCCTCCTGTCGCTCTTTCTGGCCGCTATGTCTTTTGCTTCTTGCCTTCTTCTGCTCTCTCTTTGGTCGCCCGGTTGCTACTTCCATTCTCAGTCTGCGTTCGTCTACATCCTGCCGTACAAGCGCATTGTTCTTGCCATTAATGCTCCCGTCCTCCAGAATTTCCAGATTCGCTCGTCGTTTTTCTCCTTTGCTCTTTCCTTTTTTTCTACCACCCGGGGCCAAATGTACATGCATGCTCGTGCTACGCTTCACAGCCTGCCACACCTCTTCTCCCATCGATTGCCGGCTGGGGGCCTGACTTTCTGGGTAATATTCCCCTGGTCTTTCGTTTCGCCTAGTGCCGAGCCTGTGCATGCATTGATTTTGCTGCTCTTTTCCTCACAGGGCCTGTCCATCTCTAAAATAGCGGCCCTAAGGTATGGAGCAAGGGGGATCCACTTGCTCCTTCTGGCCCTGGCTAAGTATCTCGCGCTAGTCCCCTGCTCCCAGGACAGAAAGAGCCAATCACAAAACGGCCCGTTAAGGACAGAGCATCGAAGGGTTCGTCGTCAGATCAATGAATACTACTTACTTCACGTACGCCCATCAAAACTCCTGATCTCTATGTTGTATGCCAGAATGCGATAGCTGGCCACTCGCTGTGCGTCACCGTCGCCCTCTTTTCGCTGCATCATGCGAAGGTATGCCTGCGCCATTGTAACGAGAATAAGGAGCTCGAAAGAACGACAGGCACCTTGTAGGCCGCAGCAGGTGTAATCCGGCCCTTTTGCACCTTCCACTCGCTCATCCTTCTATCCACCTAAAATTTAGCGCATTAGAGTCTCGTTGCATTGTGCTGCTGCCCTGACTCGCCATGACGAGCCTTCCGTCACCCCCCCCCCCCCCCTTCCCCCTCGAAGCAGTCCCCGAATTTATCTGTAAGTCGTAAGGTGGCTCCCCCCTTTTTGCTTTTTACCGGCAAGCCCGCTGGCCACCCCGTTCCTTCCCCATCTCAATACCCATTTTTGTGATTGCCCATTTACTGCTTTCCTGCCGGTCGCACCTGCCCAGCTGTCTGGGGCTGCTGCAATTGTCGATACAGGTACCCATCCATCGTCAGCTTCCCTGTCGCTCATCTTTCCCGCCACCACTCAATAATCTCCTTCTCCTCGCCCCTCGGGCCCTGTCTCCTCATTCCTTCCGTCGCCCTCCATTTCTTCCCTCCTCTGGTCTTTCCATCTCACCACGATTGCAACCCCCAGCACTTACCCTTCCAGCGCTCGTTCCCCCCAACCTCTTTTCTCACTAGTCGCATTTCGTCTCTCTCCTCTCCTCACTGCTCTCTCCTGTCGGACCCATTCCCTTATTTTATTTCCTTAGCTTACTTTGGGGTGGTACTTTCCTCGCCCACTCGGATTTTGCTCCTGTCCTTTTTCCTCCCCCTTTTTCCTGATCCCGCCGATTTTCGACCCTTTCAACATCGCGACACCTCGACCGCTTTTTTCTTCTTTGCAACTACGCCTTTCGTTACCGTCGAGCTTCTTTTCGCCGTGAGGTTTTCTTTTGCTGGACAATACCCCAATACACGGCCGATTCGACGGGTAAGTTTTCGCTTTGATGTTTTCTCTTCGTTTTGTGTGGTTTGTCCTTTTGTCGCCTCTCGATCTGGCCCGACGCTCTCGACGCGATCATCAAATACCGATTCCGACAATCAAGTGTCACGCCTGGGGCCTGTTCATTTCATCCCTTTCTACACTCTCCGGATTGAGCTTCTCATTTGAAGCATACCAATTTACGATGCCGGTCTACTGGCGCTGTCGTCTATTGTCGACCTACTATTGTCGTCTTTGTCCCGCCAATGCTCTCTAGCACGACACTCGCCTACAATCGCCACCACTTTTCAACCTTTCCTGTTTCCCGACTCGCGTGACAGCTGCAACAAAACAAATATCATCCTGTGCCGAAATGCTAACCATGAGTCAATCCAATAGAACCACGACTGCTGTCTTTTCACGAGAAAACGGCCGGTTAACCAGATTGTTTTGTCACCCTTTTTACGAAACCGTTTTCGAGCTCCCGTGCGAGTCACCAATCAACCAAGATGGGTTGCGGAATGAGTGTGGAGGAGAAGGAGGGCAAGGCCCGGAACGAGGAGATTGAGAACCAGCTCAAGCGCGACCGGATGCAGCAGCGGAACGAGATCAAGATGCTTCTTCTAGGTATGTCACGGCGTCTCTCTAGGGAGAAATGATTGCGGGGGTGCCCCAAAACGAATGTGTTCTGACAAAATAATCCAGGTGCTGGTGAATCCGGAAAGTCGACCATTCTGAAGCAGATGAAGCTGATCCACGAGGGCGGCTACTCACGCGACGAGCGTGAGTCGTTCAAGGAGATCATCTACAGCAACACCGTCCAGTCCATGCGCGTCATCCTCGAGGCCATGGAGTCTCTGGAGCTCCCGCTGGAGGACCAGCGCATGGAGTACCACGTCCAGACCATCTTTATGCAACCCGCCCAGATCGAGGGCGAGGTCCTGCCGCCTGAGGTTGGCAATGCCATTGAGGCTCTGTGGAAGGACCGCGGTGTGCAGGAGTGTTTCAAGCGCTCGCGCGAGTACCAGCTCAACGATTCGGCTAGATAGTGAGTGTCTGCTCGCCTTCCACCTTTTGTCTCAACTTTATAGACTAACAAACAAAAGCTACTTCGACAACATTGCTCGCATTGCTGCGCCCGACTACATGCCCGACGACCAGGACGTCCTGCGGTCGCGTGTCAAGACGACCGGTATCACCGAGACGACCTTTATTATCGGCGACCTCACTTACCGCATGTTCGACGTCGGTGGCCAGCGGTCGGAGCGGAAGAAGTGGATTCACTGCTTCGAGAACGTCACGACAATTCTGTTCCTCGTCGCTATTTCCGAGTACGACCAGCTTCTGTTCGAGGACGAGACGGTCAACCGTATGCAGGAGGCGCTTACCTTGTTCGATTCCATTTGCAACTCGCGGTGGTTCATCAAGACGTCTATCATTCTGTTCCTGAACAAGATCGACCGGTTCAAGGAGAAGTTGCCCATCTCCCCCATGAAGAACTACTTCCCCGACTACGAGGGAGGTGATGACTACGCCGCCGCTTGCGACTACATCCTGAACCGCTTCGTCAACCTCAACCAGCACGAGAGCAAGCAGATCTACACACACTTCACCTGCGCTACCGACACAACACAAATTCGCTTCGTCATGGCGGCTGTTAATGGTGAGTATTGGTCTTATTGAGCGCGCGGTGCATCCAAGGTACTAACTCGCAATAGATATCATCATTCAGGAGAACTTGCGTCTATGTGGTCTTATCTAAACACATCAGCGTCTACTTGCTTTTTCCTTTGTCGTCTTCCAACAGTCCTCCTATATACCCGAACGACAGTGCACGAAATGGGATCCTGCTGATCGAATTGAGGTTGCATGCACGCATATTCACAGTGCTGCTGCACGAAATTCCTTCCTCGATAACAGCCTATCGACTTTTCGACTCCTTTCCCTTGCCTCACTCGAATCAATTCGGATCGACTTGCATTGAAACGAACCGACTCGACAACGGCGGCTACCAATCTCATTTAGCGCCCTAGTTGTTCTATTACCGCCACATCATCAATCTTTACGACAACAAGCTTTGAACGTCTATTTTCCTCTTATATTCTCTTTTTTGTTCTGTTATCTCGCTTCTTTTGCCATGTTACAATCTAGTATCTCGTTATTTTTTGTTCCGGCGGTCTTCGGTTCTCTGTTTGCTATTTGCTGTTATTTTACTATACTTGTCGTGTTCTTGTGTGTTGGTTCGGTCCGCCGTTCCCCAGGTACAACGAACTGTTGCGGACCACACCACCGTAACGGGTTTTGAGGTGCCTTGAGGATGGGATGGAACGAGAAGGGGTTGACCGTGTGCCGAGCAGCTTGCTACTGTTGGGTGCAACTGTCCTGTCTAACTTTGTACTACAAAAAGAGAAGAGTTTCCTTTACTCCCAGCCGGAACGGGACGCGGGATGTTCTGAACGAGAAACGAGTTCCGGTGAGACACGGGAGCTCCTGTGTCGTCATCCTCTTTCTCCTCTGGCAATGTTCCGTTTTTTTCCATTTTACTCTTTCCTTTCCCTACTTGTTCATTATTTTTCTCTCTCATTTTCTCGCATTTTTCAGGCTGCAAAATGGGCAAGGGAAGGCTCGATATCTTGTTTAATATGACAATACTTTTCAAATCAGTTTGCTCCTACAATGTGTGACATCATGTGGCATGTTCATTCCCAAACAATCACTTTGCGTATGTCAGCAATAGAGATAGGTATAGAAGTAGGTTATACAACAGCAATGATGTTCGTAGTCTATTATGTACAATATTTCTGTGCATACGAAAAATAACCTTTTTGTCCTGGATATCAATGTTTCTCCCGTAGAAAAACTCCGCGTGAAACCCAGCCTCCCAAACCATGATAAAAGCCCCAGTCCCGTTTACACTAGCCACCATCAGTCTGCGTGCTCCCTCTTTTAGTACTGTCAAAACAACACTTCGTGTGCGTGACTGTCCCGTGAATTATATTATAGCCCAGCTTTATGGAAAGGCAGAGGTTTCTATTCGGCCACGTCAGGCCCTGTGCCATCTTTGTTGCTACTGGACGCAGCGTCGCCTTTTGCCGCCGATGCACCATCACGCACAACAACAGAAGCAGCAGAGCCATCAGAAGGGGCACTGCCTGCCGCCCCTGCTGTTGTCGCCGCCGAGGCGCCTTCTCCATAGCGGACAATGGCCAGCGCCAGCTGCTTTGCGGCAATCTCCACAAGCATCAGATCACGTCCCCGCTGGTCGGCATTGCGCACCTCGGCCAGCGCCTGGTTGATGACGAGGCTGACGAGCGGAGCAGCGTCTGCGGTCGCCGTTGCCGCTGCCGCCGTTCTTTCGTGGCCACCCGGGCTGCTACTGAGAAGCGCGGAGACGAGGTCCAGATTCAACGGTGAGGGCAGGGAACCGTCACCGCTACGACTGGCACCACTTGTCCCGTTCGTTGCTGCCGCAACGCCGGGAAAATGGCCGCCGTTGCTTAACTGCTGGACGGCCACAGCCGCAGCGGCAGCGGCAGCGGCTGCCTGCTGGGCCGGGGCAGCATGCGGTTGGAGCTGTTGGAGCTGCTGGTGTTGCTGGTGCTGCTGCTGTGCAGAAAAGGGGTGGTGTACGTTGGTGCCACCTCCCAATGGCGAGCCGACCGTGTAGGCTCCGGCCGCCGCCGCCAGTTGCGGATCCAATGCGCTCGGCATACTGGCGGAAGGTGACGGCGCAACTCCGCCGCTGACGGATGGCCGCGATGGGTGGCCATGGAGGTGGCCCTGCAGCGGTGTCGCTTTCGTTTCTGTAGAGTTAGAAGTCTGTTTGTACAAACGTGGAAAAGGGGCAGCGCCTACCATGAAATGAACAGCGCGCGCCCGAGGCGTTGAACCAGCAGTTGGCACAGCTGCCACACATCTGCCCATCGACGACGACACACGCAGTCCAGGGCCCGTGGCCCTTGTGGCAGTTCTTGCAGGGCACAGCAACCTCCGCGCCGGAAATGTGCGCAAAGAGGGCCTCGACATTGCTGCGGCGGCCCAGGTTCAGCTGCTGGTCGGGGCGGCGCTGCTGGGCCGGACGCAGGCCGACCTCGCGCGACAGGCGCTTTGCGAGTGCGCTCTCGACGACAAGATGGTCGTAACCCGAGTCGCGTGCCAGATCTGCGGTGCTGGATCGTGCTGGCGCTGGTGCTGACGCCGTAGGCGCGGCAGGGTCGTGTTTTGGTGCTTCTACTGGTTCAGTCGCTTCTTGTCCCGACACTGTGTCCAACGCAGTATTCTCAGCCGTAGATGGCAGACTGTGCTGGGAGTGCTGTGGGTGCTGGGCGTCGGACATCTGTGCATCCGGCACCTGTGTCGGCGAGCTGTAGTCGGCCGTTCGGGCATGGAGCTGGTGATCGATTGTGTGGTTCTGTCCCGACGTCGCCAGATGCGAGGCCGACGCCACTGCCGCCGCTGCCGCCGCCGCCGCTGCAGCCGCAGACAGGTCCATGTCGATTCCGTGGCCATGGCTGTTGCCATTGGATGTTGTCGCGTTGGACGTCGGCTGCCCTGCCCCTTCGATCGTTCTCGGCGGCATACCAGCGCCGTTCTCTCCTGTGTAGCTGTTGACAGCGTCGCCGACCATCTCACTCATCTCTGCCTCGTTGATGTCGCCACTGTGGCCACCACTGGCACCACTGGCACCACGGTTCTCGCCGCCGCCGTGTACGTCAAGCATGTCGCTATCGGCGCTTCCTCGGCCAGGTTTGCCGCTGTTGTCGTCTCGATCTCGATCTCGATCTCGATCCTCCTCGTGATCGCCGTCGGCTGTGTCGTCGTCGGTAGTATGCGCCTGGCCGTGGTCTGGATTGTAAAATGGCCCGTCTTGTATTAATGACTGGGCCTGTACTGGGGAGAGGTGGTCTGCTGTTTCGGTTTCTGTGGGTGCTGCTGTCCCATGCTGTTCTTGGCCCTGCGGTTGTCTTTGCTGTCGCTGTCGGTCCTCAAATAGTCCTCGCTCCTGCAGCTGCATGTCGAACGCCTGCTCAAAAGCAAGTTCCCGGCGATCGGCCGCCGTGAACGAGGGAGCAGCGCCGCTGTGGCTGCTGTTGCCGCCGCTTCTGCCACTGACCGCGCGCCTCGTCGTCGTATTCGTTGTCGACGTCGGCGGCGCTGCTGCTGGCGGTTTTGTGACTTTGCTTGGACGCCCACCGCGCGGAAAGCGGATGATGCCCGTCATCTTGGCTGTCAATGCGCTTGTCCCGAGTCGCAGCGCAGCTCAATGGAAGGGCAAACAAAAGACAACGGGAATGCGACGCTATGCGCTTGCGATTCTGCAACGGGAGTCGTGAGAGTTGAGAGTTGTTGGGTAGTCAAATGGTTGTCGTTGACGTCGATGTTGATAGAAGGAGCAGGGAAGTGGCAAGCAGCTGGCAGGCAGCTGGCCGCTCCTTTGGGGCTGTTTTTTGCGGGTAGGAACTAAGCAAAGTCGGCAAAAAGGCGGAGTCGAGGGAAGGAACCACAGTGCTGCTGGGATGCGCCTTCCAGCACGAATTCGTCAATGGCGGTCACCCTTAATAGTGGGTCCGCTTTGCCCGCCAACCGACGACCAGCCCTGGTCTCCAAGTCGTCGCCAAAACACACTACCAGCTTCTGACAAGGCTCACTCACACGATCAGCACAAACGTCGTACATCAGGGCTCGACGCACACCTCGGCAGTGTCTACCCTGGCCATACAACCAATAGAGTACCTGCACCTATCAACGTCGATACACAATTCACGAAAAGGAAGGCCATGATATATCGCTCTATACAACTCCATTTACCACACTCTGCTGCTCCTTGTCCGCTCTTCTGTTGACATCGCCTCTGCTACCGCCTCTGCTCCCGGCTCTGGACAATCTCCTGCCACTGTTGTGCAAACTCGCGCAAGCCGCCCTCGCCGGCCATGCTCGCGTCCACAACTTCTTTGGGCAGCTTGTGGGCCGAGTACGGCGCCGAGCTAAAGTTCATGGCCGCCGGATCGTCCTCGTCGACGAGCCGCAGCTCAGTGTTGTAGTCGTCGTCGTTGTCGTCGTCGTCGTCGTCGACGCCGCTATCGTCCTCCGTCTCGTCATCCGCAGCCTCGCCGTCGACACCGTCGCCCTGGTCGCCGTCTTGGTCCTCGTCCGCCACGCCGCTGTCGCCCACGATGCCCAGGAACGGCGTCGGGATCTTGAGCTCCAGCAGCTCCTTCCAGTCAAACAGCAGCGTGTCCGTGCGCGGGGCCCACGGGTTGATGTCGATGAGGCGCGCGTACGACAGGCGGCCGTTGGGGTTGGGCGCGTCGGCCTCGTTGTCGCCGACGTCGCCGACGTCGTGGCCGCGCTTCTCGGGGATGTAAATGTCAAAGACAAAGTTGCCCGAGGGGAAGGTGAACTGCAGCTTGCTGTGGAAGAGCGTCTTGGTGCGCTCGAGGATGGTGCTGCGCAGGCCCTCGAGGTAGGGGTAGTACTTGAGGTCGCGGGGCGTGACGGCGACGAGGTTGCGCTGCTTGACAAAGCAGCGGAACTCGAGGGCCGTGTGGATGTCAAAGTAGGCGCGGAGCACCAAGACCGGGTGGAAGCCGAGGGCTGACGATGACGTGGGTGTGGACGCAGATGCGGATGCGGATCGAGACGGGCCGGACGTGGTTGGCGTCGTCCCGTCAAAGGCGTGCTCGAGGTCGTGGCTGACGAAGTTGGAGCTCTTGAGCATAAAGTAAATGTCGTCGGGGGTGCGGCACTTCATTGTGTTCTTCTGCTCCATCAGCTCGGCCGCGTCCTTGGGCGCGCTCCAGTTCAGCTTGGGCGCCACAACGCCGCCCAGCGCCGCAATCTCGTCCTTGATCCGCTGGTGCAGCTCTGGGAAGCGCTTGTTGGGCGGCAGCCTCACAACAGGCGGCGCATTGTCGTCGTCGTCGTCGCTGTCGTCGGCGTCCAGAAACACGTCGTACTTTTCCTCGTCGGCTGACTTGTAGTGCCGCATAGTAGGGTTTGAGGGCTCCCAATCGTCTTCGTCGTCTTCATCCTTGCCCTTGGGCGCCCCATGGCTCTCGTCGCTCAGGATGATGCTGTCTTCGCGAAGGTACTCGATAAACTCGGCTGGCAGCGGGATGATGCGTGACTTGATGCACACCTTGCGGTATCTGTCTGGTCAGTGCCTGAGTGCCACCAAATGTCCCACGCCGTCCGTGGTCGTGGCTGCACTCACTTTGGGAACCAGTAGTCGTATGAACAGTAGAGAATGTGGTCGCGACTGACGGGCGGAAAACGGATCTCTTCGGCAGCCTCGTCGCTGGCGGCGGTCGCCGGCTGTGGTGCTGAGTGGAATTCGGGCATTGCAAGGTGTGTGGAAATCGCCGTAATCCGGTGTATGAAACTGTGTATGCAAATCGTCGAGATCGTGAATGTAGTTTGTGAATGGTGTCCGTGAACAAAAAGTCTAGTCGTCAACGACGCTGAAGTCTTATATTGAAGCTAAACTTGGGAGGGGCGAAAATTGTGCGTCAACCCCACAGGCTGCTGGCGCATGCTGCAGTTACACTGTTACAGGGCACCTGCTGAGAGTTACAGGCACCTTCCAGCCGTGTTTTTTTCTGCCGGGAGAATGCACCAGAGCCTTGCCGCAGTCGCCACACCGCCTTCTAGAGCGAGGCTAGAGGAAAGCAGCGACCATCACGCCTAGCCCACCAGTTGAACCTGCTGAACGGAAGTAACTTGCAGTCGACATAGAGCTTATCACCGTTTTTCAGCCTCACCTTTTTGGGGACATCCAACCGCCCTCGCCCACATCCATCACCCACTCTCCTTGTTGGCTTCTCCTCCGGCACCAACACCCAACACCAACATGTCCGACAACGTCGGCCTCTCCACGCCGCGCGGCAGTGGCACCTCCGGCTACGTCCAGCGCAACCGCGCCTTCATCCGCCCGCGCGACAACGCCTATGGAGGGCCACACGGCAACAACCCCCGCGACCTGTTGGCCAGCCAGCAGGCCAGCCGCCTCCGCCAACCCGACCAGGGCATCCTGGAGCACGACCGCAAGCGCGCCATCGAGGTCCGCGTGTTTGCCTTGCGTGACGAGCTCGAGGAGGAGGGCAAGCTCGACGAGGATGCCATTGACGAGCGCTGCGACGCCCTGCGGAAGAAGCTGACAGACGAGGCGGAGCGGGGCAGCAATGGAGGCCGCAACGACCACAGCAACAACAACAATAACAACGGCGGCGGGCCCCAGCGGTTCAAGGCCCACCAGGTCCACGAGCAGGCACGTGCCAAGATTGTCGAGAGCGAACGTCTGCGCCGGGCCCTGCGCATCAACAAAGACTACCAGGAGGGCGCTCACTGGCGGAGAAAGGAGGAGAAGCAGCAGCAGCAGCAGCAGCAGCAGCAGCAACAACAACAGCAGCAGGCCCAGAAGCGCAAGGTGGATGACGACATTGCGGCGGGTGGTGCTGCCGCGCACGACAAGAGACGGCGGTACAGCGACGACAGCCGCGACGGCTACGAGAGCTACGACGATGGCGAGGTGGGCGCAGGACGGTCGGGCCGCCGGGCGTCGCCACCTCTCAAAAGCGTCGAGGACGATGGCAGCGACGGCCAGCAGAGACGACGCAAGGACAGCGGCCGGGGCGGCCGGTACCAAGACAGACAGCCGGAAGGCCGCCGGCGGGACGACTACAGTGACATGAGCGAGGGCGAAGTGTCGGAGGACAGCAGAGGCCGAGGGACGGGGCCAGCACGGGGTCGGGCGCCGCGCGACAGCCGGTCACCACGCAGCGCGAGTCGCAGTCATAGTCGCAGCCTCAGCCGGAGCCGAAGCCGGAGTCGTGGCCGCAGCCAGAGTGACAGCAGCCGCAGCCCAAGCCGAAGCCGCAGCCGCAGTCCTGTCCGCCGTCGGAGTCGCAGCGACAGCCGTGACTGACGGGAGACAAGTGCGGGCGTTTTCTTGGTTTTTTGAGGCGTTTGTGGCGCAACATGGCTATTTCCGTAGTAAAAAAATGGTATTTTCTTTTCTATCTCGAAATAACGATTATTATGACTTGTGCAAGACGATCCATCTAGCTCTTTGGTGGTCCTGGTCTCTCCTTGGATCTCCTACATTTGCTGTCGCAGACGCTGCGAAAACGTTCAGGCCGCTTCCCCTGTTTCTTTCTGGTCGTGTCTCCTTCTCCTCCTTTGCCCAGTTCCCTTCCGTTCCCGCGTCTCGTTTATTTTATTTTCAATTTTTGACAACGTGCGCAGTTTGTGTTTTGAGTGTTCATCTACATTTTTCTCACTATACTTGGAGTACTCTCGTTTCCGGGTAATTGGCAAAGGCCAACCACGCAAGAAAAAGGAAAGAAGAGACAGCTTCATAACAGAAGACAAAAGCGTTTGGCATTTCACACCGTCTCATCGTCTTGCAATTCCACAGTCAATTTCGTCGCCCAGATACAGGTCACTACAAGCTTGCAGAACCTCGAAAATGGACATTTACAAGGCCAACCTCACGGGCCTCGTCGGCCTCTGTGCCGCATTGTACGCTGGGCAACAGTTTTGGCAGAGCCCAGCCGAGCAGGACACACAGGACGACAGCAACACGTCCACGGGCGACTCGAAGAGCACCGGCTCCGCCAAGCAAGAAAAGAAGGCCCTGCGGGCCAAAAAGGCGAGAGAGGGCCGCGAAGCGGCGGCGGCAGCACACGCCGCCCGGGCGTCGGATTTTTTGTCCGTCTATGCCCTCGTTATGGCCGCCGACTGGCTCCAGGGACCTTTTCTCTACTCGCTGTACACCGACGAGCACCATGTTTCGCCAACCCGCGTTCCCTTGCTGTTCGCCACGGGGTTTGTGGCCGGCGGCGTGAGCGCATCTGTGGTGGGCGGCATGGCAGACCAGCACGGACGCAAGCGGGCATGCTTGGTGTTCTGCGGCACCTACGCAGCGTCGTGCGCATTAACAGTGCTGTCGGCGTCGCTTCCAGTGCTGCTGATGGGACGCGTGCTCGGTGGTGTGAGCACGAGCCTGCTGTTCAGTGTGTTTGAGAGCTGGATGGTGACGGACTTTTGGGAGAATGAGAAGTTTGGGGCGGCAAATATCACCACCGCCATCGACATCGACAATGATCGCGCCGCCGGCGCAGACGCCGACGACAAGAAAGAAAAGGACGAGTCCGAGCGGCAGGCGTCGGCTCGACTGTCGCATACGTTTGGCCGCATGGGTACGCTCAACAGCCTTGCAGCGATTGCCAGCGGCGTGTTCAGCGAGTTGGTGGTGGCCGCGACGGGTACGCGCAAGGCCCCGTTTGTGGCGAGTGCAGTGTTGCTGGGCATCGCGGCATGGCGGATCGTAGGCGCATGGGAGGAGAACTTTGGCGAGGCGGCCACAAAAGACCGAGCGGACGGCGGCGGGCGCGTGCTGGCGGTGCTGCGGGATCCGGTGGTGCTGGTGCTGGGACTGGCGTCGACGCTTTTTGAGGGCTCCATGTATCTGTTTGTCTTTTTCTGGACGCCGGCCTTGAAGCAAGCAGCAGAGTCGTCCTCGTCCGCATCCTCGTCCACTTCCTCGTCCCCATCCTCACCGTCCCTCCCTTATGGCATCATCTTTGCCAGCTTCATGGCCGCCGCCATGGCCGCAACGCTCGCATTCAACGTCATCACAGCCCAGCTGCGGCTCATGCGATGTGCCACATTGCTGCTGGCTCTGCTGGGGGCCGCCGAGGTCGTCTTCTACCTGCTGTCATCGTCCTCCTCTAGCCTCTCGGAGCAGTCTGTCTTCTGGCTGTTTTGCCTTTTCGAAGCGTGTGTCGGCACCTACTGGCCGTGTATGGGCTTCCTCAAGGGCCAGCTTGTGCCCGACGGCGCACGGGCGCAAGTGTATGCGTTGCTGCGGGTGCCGCTCAACGTGTTTGTCGTGGCTGCGCTTCTTCTGACGCGTGACGGCACCTATGCGGCGGTTTTTGGTGTGTGCTCGACGTTGCTGCTGGCGGCTATTGCCGGCGTAGTGGCCATGATGCTGAATGAGCCGGATCTGCCATGAAAGATCTTGTATACAAACGGGGTGAAGGGTGAAAGGTTGCGGAGACAAAGGTAGCAATCTAACGTTGTGCAACATTTGCTGAAAGAAATGAGATTAAAATGAAAACACGCTGTCGTACCGGTCCAAATCATTCCTCGTGTTGCCGTCGTTCGCCCTTTTGACCCTCTACGCGGTCTCGAGCGTGCCAATCACGGGTTCCAACAGCACCGGCAGCAGGTCGGCCGCACTGGCGCCAAAGGCCGGGCATTCCGGATCGGCAAAGTCACCTTGCGGAGCATAGTCGCAGAGGTGTTCACGTTTGCCGCCACCACTTCGACCGCGGTCCACGTTGACACACCGCATGCCAAACAGCGAGCCATGCAGCCGGCGCAGGCTCGCCGGCGGGTGGTTGGCGCGCAGACTCAGTCCGTCCACTTTCTGTGTTCTTTCTGGTCAGGCATCTCTCGTTCTGCGGGTTTGGTTGGAGCTTGGCATGCGATGCATGGTCGAATGAATGATCCTACAGTTTGTCCGGCTCAGCAGATTGGTGAAAGATGTGGAGTGGGATACGGAGACATTCCTCTCACGGTGGTAGGTAACCATTTCCCTTCGAACCCCATTGCTCTTTCTTTATATACGTATTTATTTTATTTTGTCTTTCGGTCTCGCCTTCCTAATTGTGCTGTTGCCTTGTTCTGCCTATTGGTGCCTGTCGTGCCTGCCCTGTCTTCCATGCGCGGCCGGCCTTTCTTTTCGGCAAAGAGCCAGTAGGAATGGTTCTTTCCATAAGGGTCATTATTTATGCTACAGCATATATTGACATGGCCCAAGAAAATGTACTCCTTTTGTCGTCTTTACATGAGATGATTTTCAGTCTCTCAGCAATCGACCAAATCCGAAAGATTAACCTGGGGGTTGTTTAGGGCGCGTGAGAGGTAACAGTAGCCGGTGTCGGTGTATCTACGTTTTATCTTTTTGATATAATAATATCGACGGTTATAAAACTCCACTTGTGATTGTAAGTTTAAATAGACTGCATTTGTACAGCATTGGATTTCTATTTTTGTATTGTATTCATACATATATTTTTATTATTCTGTTTTTGTTCCCCTTGGTCGCCGTTAATATATACATATACATATACATACACATATATACATATATGTTTAAAGAAAATAATCCAGACACCGTAGCATCCCGAGGCAGCAATAGATATACTATGAGACTCTTTACACATGTATTCATAGATTAAGAGCATATTTGTTTCTTTTACATTTATCGTGACATACATAAGCCAACTTGCAACTTCGTCAAACGCATGTTGTGTTACTTTGACGCCAGTTCCTTTGTACTTTGTCAGCCACAACCTTCGCTTTCTACTTGGATACGTTGAAGTTTTATTGATTAAGGAAATGTTTGTACGACAGACGATCTGATTACTCCGTATTCCACACACCCTCGGAATGGCTCCGACCGTTGACTAAACGCAATTCAATTCGACGGTTGACCTTTGGCAGTGGGCAACACGCCATCCGTCTTAAGCGAAAGCCGTACGGAGCGACATGGCAATATATTTCCGCTTTCACTTGTGCGTCTTGACCGGGTATTGGGAGTGGCTGTCAGCTACGCCAATCCACGCGATCGTCCACACTTTCAGCAGCTACTGACTCCGCTAGACGGGACATTCATTTTTTTTTTGGTGCTTAAATTTTGCCTTTTTTACATAGCGAACCAGTAAATTGTATGTTGTACTGGCATGAGACTATCAACGATTGTCCTCCACGAACGCAACTCAGGCGGCAACGGACGGCAGCATGCGAGCGATCTCGCCTAAAGCAAACGAGCTCCAAGATTATGAGAAAGAGAGAGACAAATGGAAAAACACACCCCCACCTCAAACAAAAGCCGTTAAAAGGCGTGCGCAACGTAAAATTGCAATTGGAATGCCCGTGCGGAGTCATTGCCAGTCGGGACAAGTCCCATTGCATGTTTAATTTCCCGTGTTTTTGTTCCTTCAAGTCGTCGACAGGGATCGGCAGGGACCCTGCACGCATTGCAAACCCACTCACTCTATTTGTTATTATGTGTACAAACATATTTTGTACATGTACTGCTTTGTGTGCATGGGTTATGGCGTGTGTACCTGAGCGTGGCGTTCTTTTCGTCCCGGTTTATTAGCTTTCTATATCGGGGGTAGCGCTGCAAAGGTAGGCGAGGGACAAAATGTAGTCATAGAAATGCAAAAAGCACGACAGGTGAGGCTCTTGTTACGACTTATCGTAATTTCAATGGGGTGCGCAAATTAACAATGTTCAAGAAAACCAAGAAAGCCCAAGAGTTGGCAAGAACGCCTAGAGAGCCTGCGAACCACCCTCACACCATCCTAGGGACACCCGAGAAAACCACCTAAAAGGGCCAAGGCGTGAGCGAGCCTGGTATTTTCTAGGCAATGACCACCGGTTGTTTCGTAGCCTGGTTTTTGTGTACTTCTTGCTGGCACATTCTTGGGCTATCGTTTCCACTACCATCAAGCAAAAGTTCTTGATGACAGATACTATGGTCTTGGCATGGGAAGGGGTTTGTCTCAAAACAAAACAAGAAGGTACGCCGTAATGAAGATGAAAAGAGTCGAATTAGAACGTCAATATGTATTAAAAAAAAGAAAGAAACCGACGATTGTCATGATTATTCACTCCATTAGTCGGTTCACTTGTTCTTTTCTGTCATTCGTTTGAACGCCAACAAATCGCCAAACATGATTCCTTTGGCAAACCATGAGACAGGTAAAATATGAGTAAACAAAAAAAAGGTATATAATATATAAAAAAAAGATCATCCAAAAACGAACACGGGGTTCGTCCCCTGTATCTTATCTACAACAACAATACTCTTCTCCGTGACAAACTCCTCCACATTATTCTGTCCGCAAACAAAACGACTCCACTCATTGCTCCCTGCTTACAGAAGAGCAAAGGCAGCGACCATGGCAGCAGCAGCGCCGAAGATGTTGACAGCGACCTTGGCGACGCCGTTGGTGTTGACGGTCGTGGCGGAGGGGGTGGGGCTGGTCTGGGAGTGGGTGGTGGCCGTGGTGGTCTTGTTGCCGGAGCCGACAGCGGTGGTCGGGACCAGAGTGGTGGCGGTGGTGTGGGCCTTGGTGGTGGACTCCTTGGTTGACGACGAGGTGGTGGACTCCTTGGTCGAAGTCGAGGTAGTCGAAGCCTTGGTCGAGGTGGTCGACGCCTTGGTCGAGGTCTTGGAGGTGGTGGTCTCGGTGGAGTTGTTGTCGCCGTCCGTGCTACCGCCAGTGTTGACCTTGATGCTGCTGTAGGTGCCGCTGGTATCGGTGTACGTGTACGAGGAAGCGCCCGAGACGCCGTTGGAGCGGTCCGTCACCGTGATGCTCTTGTAGTAAGCAACGTAGGGGGCGCCAGAGCCGGGGCCGAAGGGAGTGCGGCCACCAGCCCACTCGGCGGTGCCGTCGGGCTGCGAGGCTCCTCCGGCATCCCAGGTGCCGAGCTTGATCTGCATGGGGGTCTGGGGGTAGGTGGTGCCGCCCTTGGCGTCGTTGTAGGTCAGGGTGCGGACAACGGCGCCGTCAATCGACCACGTCAGGGCCTCGGGGGTCCAATCCAGAGTGTAGTTGTGGAACTCGGACTGCGGGTTGCTGACCGGCGAAGTGCCACCACGGTCGTAGCTCGAGGTGTCGCCCTTGGAGAAGTAGTTGGTCTGAACTTGGGCGGTGTCACCGCCCAGCCACTCCCAGTCGACCTCGTCCAGGTCGTCGGACTGCAGGACGAATGAGGTGACAATACCAGTGCCAGGGGCAACCTGGATGACGGCCTCGACGGTACCGAAGAACAGGTACTTGGTGGACGTGATGGTGGGAGCGTTGGTGTCGGCGGCGATGCTAAATTCGGCGCCCTTCGACGGGTCGTAGTTCAGGTCGGTGCCGTCGGCAAGTTTGAAGTACTTGCTGGCGCCCTTGGTGAAGTCAATATTGACGACGCCGCCGAAGGCAGGGTCGTCCGGGCACTCTGGAGGTTGTTAGTACGACGAAACAAACTAGAAGGAGACTGTGCAAGATTTGCATAAGTACGGAAAGCCGGCGGAAAAGCCGCAACTGAATTAGAACATACTCTGGCCCTTGACAGGGTTGCACAGAGACGAGGTCTGAGCAGTGGCCATGCTGGCCGACAGCAGGACGACCGCGGAGGTCGAGATGAGCTTGGAAAGCATGTTGACGATTGTTGTTGTGGTTGTAGATATTAAAGCTCGACGAGCATATAGGTAACGAGGGCCAGAAGTAAGAAAAAAAAAAGGAGCAAAAAACAGACAAGGGAAAACAGTAGGATACAAGCGAGTGTATGTATGTCGAACGAGTGACTGAGAAGAAGAATGAGCAAAAAGGAAAATATCCAAAAGCGAAGCTGGAGAGCAAAATAATAAGACGAAGAAAAGGAGAGAGGAAAAAAGGGGAGGGAAGAGAAGAAGTAGAAAAGGAAAGAGAAGGATGGGGCTGAGGCATGCTGAGGATGGGGTAGGAATATATGTGGTTTCTGGTAGGGCCCTAAAGCAGACCAAGGGAGGGGGGTGGCTCTGTTGCCTCTTGAGCCAAAAATCTTTGTTGCCTTCATCTCGCCTGGAGCTCCACCTGCAGGTGCAGGCCCCTCGAGCCTTCCTCCCCAAAACCATAGAAACCCGTCAACCTGCCTGTCCATCACGAGAAACATGCAGGCGCGCGCCCCTTCTTTGGAACCTTTACGAGTGAGACGGGCAGGTACGAGGCACTAGCTCCACACCCCTGCTCAGGAGGGTCCAGCCAAGGCAAATGGATGGGGCGCATCTTATGAGCAGCGTTGGCAGACTAGTGTGGTAGCGCTGGCGGCCCCCAGAGGAAAGAGGGATGAAAAAGAGAGAAAGAGAGGGAGCGTACAGGGTAAGTGAGGCCGACCGAGAGGGAAGGCGCATCCAACAGGTACGCAACTGTTTTTGCAGGAGCCTGTTTGTTGCACGACAGCAGTCATAAAGTCTTGCGGGGACCGTGTCCGTTTCTGGAAGTCAGTGCCATGTTGGTGTTTGGTCGTTGGATCTTGTACTGTGTGTATGGCTTTAAATTTTGTTTCTTTGCTTCCAGGGGCGTCAACGACGTACCCTCGTACGAAATCGTGCAGCACATCGTAAATCGTGCAGCACATCGTAAATCGTGCGCCTGTAGGTGGTGGCGCAGAGACACAAAAACAGCTGCGACAACTTGACAGATACCAAAGTTGACAAAGAGCACAAACGTCACCGTATTACTCTGTTGAAAGGTGCTGCTGATGGGAGAAACATTTGTGCTATTTTGGCCCTGGAACCCGGTTGAAACCGGCGCTGGGGCTTGGACGGCGCGACTGGAATGGATCGTCTCTCATGGCAAGAAGCGAAAGGGCACAATGGCATAAACACAAGAGGAAAACACGTCTTTGGGCACCACGATGTGCGGAGTAGCTTTCCCATATTTTTGCCCATTTGTCCATTGCCCATAATTGTCCGTTTTTTAACCCATTTTTTTTGCACTCTGGGCTTGTTTTCTCTTGTCCATTCTGAAACTATTGAGCCGCCAGTGAGCACGACAACGAGCGGCGTGGTTGACTAACGCGATCACGAGGCGAGTTTCTGTGGTGCGCGTTGCTAATAATATCCAGGCCGCAGAAGACCGTCCGTACTTTTCCTTTCGCAGCTCTTTTGCCGATTCATTGTCGCGTGAAAAAACCAGGTACGCGGTCGTTGGAAAACGGCCAACCCGGCGCGGGTTCTTTGCAGGCGATTTTCAGGCACTGCCCCCCGTTGACTGGCCGAAGCGGTTAAGCGGTTGCCCGCCAACCGTCGCCAAAGGGCCCCTAAAGTTCTGTTAGGGTCCCTCTAAGGCCTTCCCTGTTAATAGCGCCAAGGTAGAGCGACATGCTGGTTCTGGCTCCTTTGCTGAATAAGTATCAGCCGGTTTGGCAGTGGATTTGTCAACAGAGCCAAGCCTGTTGGCCACCTTGTTGCATTCTCGTCGAATTTTGTTACGGAAAGACAGACGAAGGAAACAAACAAACAAACAAACAAACAAGCGTATGCCTGGTTGAGCTTCTGAGCGATGTACTTTGTAAGATAGCAGGAAAGTTTGAAAGGCTCTCCACCTCACTAAAAGTTGAAAGAAAGCATGGTATGTTTTCAGCCGCTTGGTACTATTCGGTGGAGAGGTATTCTGTACGGCGTATTTCAGTTCAGGGAGGTCTAAAGGTTCACAGTGAAACGGGGCTGTCTTTGTGCCTCAGCACACCAAACGAACAAATGCAAGCACCCCTTCAGGGGCTGAGATCCACTTCCCACGGACGCGATGGCCCAAAGCGGTCTAGGCTTTTCGGGCCATACGGGGAGACATTCGAATACGAGGCCGGATGCAAAGACAAGAAACAAACAGCCCGCATTTGTTGACTCTTTGACTTTTTTGTTCGTGATTATGCAAACATAGCCTCGTTTCGTGTTCTTTGAGACGGAGTAAAAAGAAGGCTCAAAAATGTGGTATGTAGGATGACGGCAATCAAAGGATAGGCCGGAAAATAACTGTTGGGGTAATGGGCAGAGAGTGGAAACGGGCGGAAAACGTGTGGGAGAAGGATCTCATTTTGAAAACGAGTCCTTTACTAATTACAGGTCTCATGCGCCAGTCGGTGCCGAGAATACGGGGTGATGCACTCTCATATGTGGGAGCCAAGTGACAGTATGACCTACATCGTATATTACTGCGTCGCCATGTACGAGGATGTTGGTGAGAGATCGCCGTGCGGTTTGGTTGATGGTCAGTGGGAATTCAGCGTGTCTCGGGGCTCCAATTTCCCGTGAAGGCTCGGCGTCAATAAAACCTCGTGAGCTGCAAAGAGGATCCTAACCAAAGAAAACCAGGGTAATTCGTAGACTGAGACCGAGACCTGTCTCGGGGGCTGGGCGCTAAACCCAGAGCAGGGCAAATGGAAACATTTCCTCTTGTTGCAACGAGCCAACCAGGTGTGAGAAGAGGACATTAGAGGACGGGCTCGTGAAGAGGGACTTGAGAGGAGAAAAGTAAGGTGGCCGGAGAGCAGAAGCGTGGAAGGCGGGAACATACAATTCGTACAAGCACACAGAGTACAAACAATGCGAAACATGCACTGCCCGTTTTGCTTTGGCGCTTTACTTTGCCGCCTCGTTTTTGTGGGCAGGAACCGAAGTTTTGCATCTGCACACAGACACACACAGAGCAGAAACATTCGCACCAAAGATGCCCAAAATGTTATATCCCCGAAGGATCCTCTGTACTTCCCGTACTGGTAAATCTCTTGGCATTTTCTTTTGCTCTGGGTCCTGGGGTACTTGAGTTTTTGGACTAGAGTCTTGGGCTGGTCGAATGGATCTGAGGAACCGCCATGGACGGTGGACTACTTGAGTACTTCGTATGCTATGGCCACCCCCTAATTTCCCGAATTGGATAGCTTTGCGGCTGTTTTATTATGCCGCTCTCCTGCAGGTAGCGCTCATTGATCCGCCCAGAAGGAGCCTTACGGGCGATACTCTCTCAGGGACGGTCGTTGACAGCGCACTTGATGTCGACTGTCCATTCTGCTTCGCTAGAAGGCTTTCGTGACATTCTCGGAGAAAGGTGTCGCCAGCTTGCCAAGGGAAAACCAGGAGAGCCTCGACGAACCCACACAAGGCACGTTCCAGCAGTCTTGGCGATGGATTTCAAACAGGAGACAAGAAGAAGGGGTGGCGAGTGCCCACTGGAGAGGGGGCAAAGGGGGGCTACAGCCTGCAACACTGTGTATGTCAGCACACCGATGCTCTGGTCGTGCTTGAGTGGTTGAAGCCAAGTGGAGGATGTTGCAGGCTTGCCAGGATTTCAGGTTGAAAAGGGCGCTGTTTTCAACGTTGACTGGACAGCCAAGGCGTTTACGGTCGCTGTTGGACAGGAGACAGCGGGACTTTTAATGCGCTACGGGACATAAGCTAAACCAGTGATGTAATGAATTGTCACAGCGTCCTAGCGTTTCCTCCGGCGTCGAGGGACGGCTGGGACGAGGCCGGACGGAGGCGCACATCGAATGCATGAATTTCGAGGTGGAAAACGATCAGTGACACCACAACACAACATGGTTGGCGGTGGCTGTGTTACGGCGGATCTGGCAGGCCTGGCGAATAAGCTTTTGCGAAAATGCCCGTCGAGATCGACGTCGATCAACGTGCAGTGAGGCGAGGCACAAGCACGGCCAACATCAGAAGCCATATCCTGCAAGATGCTCGCCCGAGAGAAGGACGTGGGGATGTGAAGATGTGAGGGGTGTGGACGGCAACGTTGCTTGTTGGGAGTGCTCAAATTGTTGTCTTGGTGCAAAGGCGTTGTTTGCCTCACTGCCTCCCGTCATGAGCTTGAGGTAGATGAGTTAGAAGTGGCAGTGGCAGAAGTGGCTGGACATGTGACTGGTTGGGAGGTACAAGACGTGAACGTGAACCGAATCGGGAAAGAGAGAGATAGAAGGAGAGGCTCAGGGATATTGCCCAAATAGGCAGTAGTCCAGGACGATTCTCGAACGATTCGGATACGAACACAGATGGCAGGAGTGACACAAAGAACGGGCCGAGCTGAGGGGACGCCAGCGTGGACGAACACAAGAGGCAAGAGCCGTATGCGTCGCTTCCTTTTTCCGTGCTTCGTTCCTCTTCCCATTTTTTCTCGTCAGTTGTGCCGGGAAACCAGACTTCGTCAACCAAAGTCATCGCAAATGGTAGAAAGAGCATCATTCGAAAACAAAGAAAACCGAAAATCACACCAAAAAACCGCCACTCTAAATATAGACCCGGAGCTACCGCACGTTCGGCCGTTTGGCCTAGGCCCTGAAGGCGCTGCCACGCCGGCCTTGGCCGTTTTACAGCCTTAATTTTTTTCTTTTTGTCTTTTTCACGTCTTTGCCCACTTTCTTTCTTTGTTCTCCTCACTCTTATGACGTGAGCCACCGGTAGCGACCGAAGCGCTTGTCTCTTCTCGTCATTCTCGTTTCTACCATCGTCGCCACGTCATAAGGCAGAGTGAGAGTCGAGACATGAGCGGAGGAAGAGAATGGCCGAGACAAGATGCCGCCATCCTACCAAATCGCATACCACCGTGTCGTGGGGGCTGACTGCTGACGGCCTGCTGCATACGACGGTCAAGAAGACGAAGATTGGCTGGATTTATGCACAGCTCTACACCAAACTCCGCCTTTTGCGTTGGCTATGCTGCGTTGCATAGCGACTTCGCATCTGACCCAGGTCATAAACAAGTGAGGTTGGGTAGCAGGGTCGGCGGTCCTGGTGAAAATAATGAATGAGAACCTGAAAGGTCGACGGAAAAGAACGAGAAGAATAAAGATTAACGTTCGATGTACGTCGTGCTATTGCTAACGCTAAGCTTAGACAAAGTCGACAAGGCTACATCCACGCAAGCACGAACACACTACACCCACACACATCACCTGTTGGCCATGTCCACGTGTATGCTAAAGTGCCTGCTGGCGTGGACATTTCGCGTCCTCTCGTGTGCTTGCCTACCATGTGGCATGACCGTGTGAAATGTGTTTTCCACGAGCTTTGTGATCTGTGCTCAGTTCTCTGGTGCGTTTGTGGAGGGTGATGATGCGACGATGCGATATCGCAACAACAATTACACCCCAAGTACATCCTCGTGCACTGTGGACGGATATCACGCAACATATATCTAAGCCATTGTGCAGGATCTTCTGGCATCTGGGTAGTCGGGCAATGTGCTCAAGTTGTTTCATCAATATGGCACGCTCCCAGAGCGTGCTCTCCTTTGGTCGCCCTTCTTGCTCAACTTGAGTTTTCCGCCGAACCATTTGTTTTCTCGGATAATCTGACTTGTTGACCACTTGTCTGCTCGTATCCTAGTGATACGCGAGCAGATGCATGCCCTACAACACGCCAAAGCACACACGGCTGACGATATACGGGCCATGCACCTCTTTCGGAGTGAGTGCGAGCTTACGAAGATCGTGAATTTGAAAGAAAAAGAGCTTGAACCGGAGACACGGAGGAAACATGTGGGAGCAGAGTTCTCGGAGCTTACGAGCCGAGACGGAAGACGGGACCCGACATATCCGCTCTTCGAAGCGGCTTCTTGCACGGAGGTCATGGCCAAGGCGGTTGCCACACCCGCAATCAAGCTCCCTCGCCAATCTCCGCGCCTCCGCCTTCCACATCTGCCCTGCCAACTCGGACAGCCTTGGCGTGCGTTCCCGGCCCCGGATCGGTCGGGTCGAGGCCTTGAGCCGATCTCCAACACGTCGTGTGTGCAGGACAGGCGGCGATCGTATTTTTGTGCACGTGGAGAGTCACTACGACGTACACGTGCCATTGAACAGGATGTCTGCTCGTGTTGCAAGACACACGCTGACCGTTGCGAGAGGTCCTGGCTTGCATCGTTCTCAATGTAAGAGCCATCGCACAGCCACACCGTCAAACTGTGCAAGACGGTACCCGGTCGGAAGAGATCTTGTTCGCTCATCCCCCCTCTCTCTTGGTGACCGACCATAACGCGAGCCAGTCGTTGTCGAGCATGTCTTCCAACGACGTGTCGAGCTCGTATGTCCGTTTCCTGCGAGAATGGGACTCTGTAGCAGCCGTTGACCGTCGATTGGATCTTCTCCCATGCTTTGTCCTCCTCCCGAGTGCTCCGTACCCCTTACCCGGGTCTCCGCATTATCCCGTATCACGGCACGTCGCCGCCCGATGATCCACCGGGACAACATTTATGCCCTTAGTCTTTCATAACGGTTCCGCAACGAACGCTCCCATGCCCGTGTATTTGTGTATAGGCGCAGGTTCCTGGAGAGACAGTCTGTGCGAGCCCAGCCCCTGCTGTATGTTGTCAATGAAGCCCGAAAGAACCCGAAAGATCAAACGGCTGTTGTCAGCGAGTTTCCTCCAATCGCTTGATTTTAAAATGCAAAGCTTTGTAACGACCCAATTGCCGTGGAATGGGGCTCGGAGAACGACCACCGAGAGCACATCCCACGTTCTATTTGTGGCCGATTCGTCCCATTAAACTACGCGTCGTCTATCCATCGGGTTTCTCTTTCGAGCCTAGCGGGCTAGTTGGATCTCTTGGTGGCGGCCAATGCCTTGCTTTCCCCGCAAAAATAGCGGCCTTGCAGCACACGACCGAGAGGGAAGCCCACTCGCTAACAGCGCATTTTCCGCAAGATGTCTTCCTTATTTGTTTCTAGCGCCACATCTCTATGAAGAACGACGTCAACAGTAAAAAAGTGCACCAAAGGAGTTCAAATCCAAAAACAAAGACCAACGAGTGAGATTTCTACGGGGCACAGTAGGCGATTACAAACTTCACTGGGAAAATGCAGACGAGTGCCAAATTAGGGAGAAGAGAAAGAAAGAAAGAAAGAAAAAAGGAAAGGAATACGACGTTCTGCAGGCAAAAGAACCGACGATCGTAAGATCTCACGGACTGGTCGTTTCCTCCAGGCATTGTCATGATAGAACAGGTCGCCGCCAAATATGTGTCTCGCACACGGGCAGACGGGCAGACGGGGTACTCCCTCACTCCGTACGTCGTGATTCGTACATGTACGCCGTACTCCGCGAATCCACGCTCGACCAGTCTTGTCTCCGCCCTTGGGACGATCTCTGTTGCCCCCGCAAGAGTGAGGGGGACCAAAAGATGAAAAACAAGTAAACGGCGTGTCGATCGTTGCTCCGTATGATCGTTATGTCCCGCATGTCGGCTGAAGTTTCTTCTGTTCCCAACTTCGCCTCCAGTCACCTCCATCTTCCTCTCCTCTATCTTCTCCCCGTGCCCCCCTTTGATAGCCTTCCATATTCGTCACGAAGTGAGAGCGTTTTTCTTTTTCCTGTGGGGATGTAACCTGCCCTCCACAAGTCGTGATTACTTGGTACTGAGCGGCATCTCGTAGAGATGTGCCACTATGCCCACGGCATGGTCACGTTGTAGATGCCACCCTTCCGTCATTCTCTCCTTCGTTCCTTCCTAAATTTCCCGCGATTGCCAACCGTTGTCAGACTGCCGGTCGCTCTTTCCTCGCTCTTGATCCGCTCTCCAGCCCCGTGCTCTGTAGTTTTTCTTCTTCTCTGGGACATCTCCAGATTCCCCATCCCCTCTCCGCATCGACGCTCACCGTCTCCATTGTCCCCATCTGCAGACTGTCTAGTCCCCGCTGGCGTACTTTTGTGACCTGCGCTTCTTCGACTTGTCAGGCCCTCCCCTCTCCTCTCTTACTGCCTCTTCCCTGCCACGCACGCCCACATACTTCGTAATGTTTTGCCCTCCTCGTTCCTGATCTGCAAAAAGGGCCAACAAATCGCCGTCCGTGAGATGGACGATGCCATGGCGTTGCACCCACAGACTGTCGCCTTTGATTATTATAACAGAGTCCCCTCCCCCGAACCCTTGTCGTGCTTGAGCTCTGCACCCTTGGCACGCAAGGCAAGTCTGGAGATCAGAAGACTGTTGCACTGCGATATTTAGTTTCAACTCTCCCTTTTCCAGTTCTTTTTCTCGTTCTCTTTTCTCGTCTCCTTTTTGTATTTTCTCTTTGGTTGTCCTTTCTTCCACTTCTTGCTCGTTACATCCGGCACTGCTCCTTTTGGCCGACGGTCTTTCAAATAAGCTTTTACCCCAAGCTTCCTGCAGTCGCCAAGCTCGCCAAGCCCGGCACTCTCTCCAATCTAGCTACCCTTCTCGCCTCAACCCCTGCCGCCACATCGCTGTCACTGCCAAATACCGCGGCCATAATGCAGAAGCCGGCCGACGCTCAAATCGAGAACGGCGCCGATGTCGAGCGCGTCGCGACGGCCGTAGACGGTCCCGCCGCCCCCGTCGTCCCCGAAGGCTACCGCGCCGTCGATATCGACCCGGCCATTGAGAAGCGACTGCTGCGCAAAATTGACAGCGTGCTCGTCACCTTGGTCTTCGTCAGCTACCTGCTCGGCTTCCTCGACCGCTCCAACATTGGCAACGCCCAGACGGCCGGCATGGGCAAAGCCCTGGGCTTTGACGACGCGCAGTACCAGTGGCTGCTGACCATCTTCTATATCCCCTACATCATCTTCGAGTGGGCCGCCATCTTTTGGAAGATCGTCCCGCCGCACATTTGGGCCGGCGTCACCGTCCTCACCTGGGGCATCGCCTCCACCCTGCAGGCCACCGCCTTCAACTGGGCCGGCCTCATGGTCTGTCGTTGGTTCCTCGCCATGGCCGAGGCCGCTTTCAGCCCCGGCGTGCCCTACCTGCTCTCCTTCTTCTACAAGAGAAACGAGCTCGGCTTCCGCTGCGGCATCTTTCTGTCGGCCGCGCCGCTGGCCACCACCTTTGCCGGTGCCCTCGCCTACGGCATCACCTCCGGCCACTCGTCGCTGGCCAACTGGCGCCTGCTGTTTTTGGTCGAGGGTCTGCCCACCATTGTCATGGCCGTTGTCATTTTCTTCACCTTGCCCGACTCCCCCGACACCGCCCGCTTCTTAACCGAAGAAGAGCGCGTGGTCGCCCGCGCCCGCACTATCATGCAGACGGGCCAGGAGGGCACGGAGCGTCTCGGCATGAGCGGCATCAGCGTTCGCGCCATCCTTGATACCTTCCGCCAGCCGCAGACTCTTGTTATGCCCTTGATGGTGAGTTCCAGCCTTGTCCTTCTCACAGTTTTTCTTTTCTTTTCTTTTCTTTTCTTTTTTTTGGTCTGCTGACACCTCCCCCCAGTACTTCTCCTGCAACGTTTCCTTTGCGTCGCTGCCCGTCTTCCTTCCCGCCATCCTGACCACCATGGGCTTCACCAGCATCGATGCCCAGGGGCTCACTGCACCGCCCTATTTCCTCTCGTTCCTTGTCTGCATCGGAACCACCTACCTGGCCGACCGCGTTGGCCAGCGCGGCCTCATCATTGCTGCTCTCTCCATCATGGGTGGCGTCGGCTATATCTTGCTCGCCACCGTCCACACCGTCGCCGTTCGCTACCTGGGCGTCTTTTTGGCCGCTGCCGGCGTCTTCCCCGCCATTGCCAACATCTTGCCGTGGGTCCTCAACAACCAGGGCACCGACACCAAGCGCGGCGTCGGCATCGCCATGCTCAACATCATTGGCCAGTGCGGCCCCATCCTGGGCACCCGCGTCTTCCCTGTCAAGGAGCAGCCGTACTATGTCAAGGGCATGGCCATCTGCGCCGCCTTTATGTTCTTCAACGCCTTCCTCGCGCTCTGCCTGCGCCAGTACTTTGTCGCCCAGAACCGCAAGCTGGAGCGCGCCGAGGCTGCGTCCGCTGAGGCTGTCCAGCAGGAGCAGACGGGCCACCCCGAGAAGGGCAATGCTCTGGCCCATGTTCAGACCGAGATTGAAGGCACGTTCGGTTACCGCTACTTCCTGTGAGCTGAGAAGTGAGAGGTTCGGGTTAGTAGCAAGATTTGCAGTGTATCAAGGCGAAGACAAAGAAAGAAGCGCATATACAAAACAAGTTTTTATAGCTTTAGAGCAGAAAGACGGAAGGACGCGAAAGAATATACGTGCGAATCAATAAACAATAAATTATCGCAGGAGAAGAGCCACACTGAAAACCAGATATTAAGGATGTCAAAAAGGCACGAACAGCAATGGACGGAATGGCTGCCAAATACAAACGGCAACCAAAAAGAGAAAAGAAAAGAAAAAAACAGAACCTCAATAGATAATGTCCCGCACGTGTAGCATCACACTCGTGTGGTGGCCATATCGAGGAAACGCACTGTCTTGCGCTGCTACATCCACCAGCAGTCGCTCCTCGGATGCCGCCATCTTTGCCAGTTCCCACCACGCCGGATAGAACCCGCACTGGCCCCAGCCAAGCACCCCCACAATCTCGGGTACACCGCCCCCGGACGGTCCCGTCCTGCGAACAAGAAAGTTGCCGAGGCTGAGGTTGGCATGTTGCAGGGGATAGGTTCCTCCCGAACTTGTGGAGACCGTGGACAGCTGGTCGATCATGCGGCTGACAAGATCGATGCGGGCAGCGCCTGTGCCCCGGCGTTGGAGTGCCACGCCGACCGAAGCAATAAATGCTGCTTCGGTGGCAAACGGTCCACGCTCCATGGGTTGCCAGATGTGGTCAAACAGCTCGTCCTGGACGCCAGTGGGCAGGTCGCCTCCAGCTCCATGAAAAGTGCATCGAGCACTCCAGGCTTCATCAATGCTGTTGTCGCAGTTCTTGGCATCGGTGTCGTCCGAGATCTGGCAAAAGTCGACGGCTTGTATACACCGCCCAGTTGTTTTGAGAAGAGCCCGACGCAGCGTCTGCACGGAGTCTACAAACATCTGCATCTCGCCGGTACTCCACTCGCAAGCCGCCTCATCCGCTCCAATGCCATCGATGTACTCCATCAGCATACAAAAGCGGTCAATCCCAGCAGCACTGCGAAGCTGCCGTACCCCGTACACGCGCGGAACCGGTATGCTTGGAGTGGTCTGCCGGATGTAGGCGAGTATGCGTGCCTCATAAAAAATGCTCCGGTGTGGCGATACTTTGATCACGCGATTGCTGCCAAATCTGTAGCTGATGCACTGTCGCCGTCCAGACGCACCAGGGAGCTCCTCAAGGGCCTCTATATCGGACAACGTAATATTTTGGAAATTGGTCGTCGGTGTTGGAGTCACGCTCCCTTCCCTGGACATATTGCTGAGATCTGTGCTGGTCGTGCAGCCAGAGCCATTCAAGGAAAGCATAACCTGGACGTCGAGATGTGGAAGCCATGTGCCACGTGGTGTATGTTCTGCAGAAGTTGTGCCACATATGGATGCATTGCGAGTGTCGTTATCGTCTGAGAGGTGCCCATTTCGATTATACAGTATAGAGGTGCTTGTTGCATAGGATGCGGACGATGATGGCGAAGAATGAGGAGAAGATGCAAACTCAGGTGTCATGGGTGGAGATGCCGGCGAGAACGAAGAATCACCGACAGCCCAGCTGTCATCCGCTAGGACATTTTGTGATAAATGCATTTCCCGTACCAATCGTGTCGTGTATGGTGTCGGCTTCCTGGTACTTATGTGGCTTAGCATGAACTAGGGCGTGCGAGGACGATTTCGAGAAGAAATAAAACAAAAGAAACCTTCTCTGAGATTGTGAATATAAGTATAAACAGTTGGACGGGAGAGGGAAGACAAAGAAGAATCGCATCGTACGTTCTGCCCCTTCCATCTTTAAGTACTTTTCGTGTCCTATACTCTCACGTCCGTTTTCTTTTCCCCATTCGTATCAGTCCCCTTTCTGGAACCAACGTGCACTGCAGCGAGGGCTACCACGCGGCTGAAGACACGGCACCAAGACACCAACAAAGAGACACACGAACGAGACATTCGTAGCGATACTCATCTGCAAGGAACAGAGAAGTGGCGGCTATGCTGCAAAGCCAATCAAAGTCATTTCCACGTTTTTTGAGTGAAGGTAGCAAACACACTTCGCGACGTGAGACGGCCCAAAACGGCCGGTTCAGGAAAAGTGAGAAAATGTGGTGGTAGTAATGAAGGTCCGCAGTACAGCCGCGAAGCATTGGTACTTTGCATGCTGGATAACCGTAAAGCAACACCAACCCATGAGCCCGGTCGATGGCACAAAATAGGTTGTTTATGGTAAATATGTATTAGCCGGCCGCTTGCTAATGGCCTTCTCTACCCTCTACCTACAACATGAAGTCGTAGCAAGTAAGCACGTGAGAGGGTCGTTTTCGATACGAGAGCAGTTCTAAGGGCCATGCAGCCATGTAATTCGAAGGATGGGACCGTTTTGAGCAGCAAAACGCCCGTGTCGTGCTTCTGGTTTGTTGCTCCTCCGGAGACCTGAGGTTCCGAGTTTAGCTTCACATATCCCACGTGGTTATAAGACCTCGTGGTTTCTTCGGAAAGGCTTGCCTTGACGGATGGAACACTGAGATCTGACAATTTCGATTAGCCTAATGGACCAAAGGCGTCTATTGTATATGCTGGGTTAGAGACGATGATGAGTGGAGCAAGGGACAATATTTTGCTTGGCAGTTCCAACATGTATAGATGGTTGACAACATCTCGGACCGGATTATAGTGAGGGCATTCTGAGAGCCGTCAGCCCTTTCACTGAGAAAAACGCGGTTGTCGTGTTTCTGATACAAGAAGCGGACCCTCGCCGGTTACTTCTATTCATGGCCGCACGTTATGGATCTTGCGGGTAGTCGGCCATGAGGCGGTATCCCATCGTGACCGACGGCTTTTAAGTGAGCGCGACCGACATCATGGTGAGTTTGCTTGATGGAGACGATATTTCTCGTCCGGTTAGATGACTTTGTTTCGTCTGTTTTGAAATAAAAAAATATCGTGCAGCCGCAAGCAGGGAACATCGTGCGAACAACAGGATCTCACAGGATCTCGCGGGATCCCATAGGATCCGCATAATATGAAGAAATGGCCTGGAGGTAGGGCGACCTGTGGAGAGTGCAATAAGGCGCCAAGCCGCCGGGATTGAATGCGCCTGAAAAGATGGGATGAAACTTGAGTCGGGCATTAGATACAGATATTCGAATCTGCGGCCTGTTGTCAGCAGGCGTCGGAGACCGGAGTCATGGATTCGGTGACCTGCAAAGGTTTCATCTGGAAGCATTTAAAGAGCAGGAAACAAAACTAAGCGTTGTTTGGTACGACCCATGTTTGTTGTGCGAGAGTCATTTTTAGCCGTAATTTTCAGGGGTCTGATCATGTGCGATTAAGAGCAGGTCGATCGTGTTTGTTATCGTGGAAGACTGGGGGAGAGTGGATGGTAGCAGCTGGAAAAAACGAAGAAGATGTAAAGGGAGACAGAGCTAAAACAGAAAACAAAGAGGTGTTTGTCGTATTTTCTATAAGTTCGATGGGGAAGCCACGAGGCGTGTAAGAAGACGAGAAATTGCCAAATTGGGAAGGGCTGAACAGTGCCAGCAGGCACGAAGGTCGCGTGCTATTCGTACAATTCCGGAAACCGCAGCCGTCCCCTTTGCACAGGTTGGGAAAGTGCAGACCGCAAAGAAGTTGTGAAGAGAAAGGGCACTGCAGGTGCAAATGGCAAGCTGCTTCCTTCCTTTGGCTGGCCCGCTTTTCCGCATTCAGCCAACCACATGGCGCAGTTGCACCACGCGTAGGCCGCAGGTCCTGATCTCTAGGCACTTATTCCAATCGCTCATGTGCACTCGCACTCGACGCCGTTCTTTGCGCGTCGCACGGAGTACAGATCTTGTCGTACATGTTTTCCATGACAGTGAACGACTGCGGGCCGCTAGCATCCACCAAGGGAGTCACCAAGAGGACCCTTGCGCGTTGTCTCCGTGGTCGATCTATCTGCTCTTTCGACGTTTTGTCTTGTTGACGTCGGCCTTTCGACCTTTTCAGCCTCTGTCACGACTGGAGGACACAGCTATTCCATCTCTGCGTAAGCACGAGCTATACCAGCAGCTGCGGCACATTAGCAGAGCCCTAATGTGACGACACCTCACAAATGACGAACTGAAGCCGATAGCAACTTCGATGGCGAACGGAGCACACACGTCGGGGCGGCACTACACGGACGATGATACAATACACAACGGCAGCCTGGGCGATGGCCAGAGCGACAATTCTACGGAGATGACACCACATCTGCCGAGCCAGGGCTTGACGGCAGAGCAAAGCGAGCATTTATTAGGCGGCAGCAGACATGAGAACCTCATCGACGACGACGAGGGCGGCGATAATCTACATGTCAAAGAATACGGCGACCTAAGTGACGTGCGCCCGCGGCCACGACGAGAAGCGTGGTGGAGGACATGCATCTTTTTATGTGCCGTCCTCGCGAGTACACTGTCGCTACTACTGCTCGTCAAGATTGCATTCTTTGATGGCGCTGCCGTTCGACCAGAACAGACAGAGCAAACAGAGCACGCAGAATATACCGAATTGGCAATGACCTCGGTCGTTCCAGTGCCAGAGGTTGTGGCGACGACTGCACCAACCCCTGCAACAACGACGGAGCCCGTCGGCTATGAGGCGACGGAGACGCCCTCATTCCGCCGGCCCGAGTCGGACTACGTCCTGGACAGAAACTGGGACTACAACGCGCCTCCAACTGTCCGCGAGTACAACTGGGTCGTGCAGAACATCGAGGCCAACCCGGACGGCATCTTCCGGACGATGATCACCATCAATGGGCAGTTCCCCGGCGAGCTGATCCGCTGCAACGAGGGAGACACAATTGTGGTGAACGTGGAGAACAAGGCTGCCAACGCCACGGCCATCCACTGGCACGGACTCTTCCAGAACGGCACGAACCACATGGACGGCACACCAGGCGCTACCCAATGCCCCATTGCCCCCGGGCGCTCGTTTCGCTACGAGTTCACTGTTAGAGGACAGTCCGGAACGTGTACGTACAAACACTCTGAAGATGCAATACCTGCATTGTAGCGTGCCCAACTGACGAGCCAGACTTCTATCACGGCCATCAAGGCGCAGAATCCCTCGACGGGTTGATTGGCCCCATGGTGATCCACTCACGCGATGAGCGAAAGAACCAGGTGCTACCGTACGATACAGACCGCGTGGTTCTTGTACAGGACTGGTACCACGACCTGTCGAGCGGCCTCCTGAAGGAAGCGCTCGCACCGGGCAGTGAATCGCCTCCGCTGCCCAACGGCGCCCTCGTTAACGGCGCCAATGTGGTCAATTGTGACGCGTATCCCGACCGGCGCTGTGACAACTCTACCGGCGCGCGTGTGCCGGCACTCGATCTTGAAGCGGGCGCCAGCCACCGCCTGCGCTTCATCAACATTGGTGGATTCGCCTGGTTCGAGGTCAGTCTCGACCGTCACCTAAGCCTGCCGGTCACAGAAGTCGACGGGGTCGACGTCGCGCCTGTACTCGAGAAAACGCTTCTCATTGCGCCGGGCCAACGGTACAGCGTGGTCCTTACGACCAACGAGACAAGCACGCCGGACCGCGCCTACTGGCTGCGCGCCCGCATCGCCACGCACTGCTTCTCCGAGTACACGCTGGCTGGCAAGGACAACCCACAGGCATTGGCTATTGTACGCTACACGGATATCGGCGACAGCCGCCACAAACAACAGCAGCTCGACCCGGCCCGTATTCCGACAACGAACAGTGACAGCGGCGACTACATTGTCCTCTGCCAGGACATGAACACACGCAAGCCCCCAAACGTCTACCATCCTGTACCTGCCGTTCCCGCGCCCGCATACGCCGACCATTCCTACTACATCCGTCTCAACATCGAGATCCACGACCATCAGCTGCAGCGGGGCTACCTCAACGAGTCATCGTACCGACCCAACCTGCTGTCGCCTGCGCTGCACCGTGCCGTGGATGGCTTACATGAAGGAAACACTTCGTACATAGGCGCCGACGGCGCAGGCACGCTCGCTGCCTTTGACACGCGCTCGGAACTGGTGCTGGCGCACAAGGACGTCAAGGTCATTGATCTCATCATCCAGAACTTTGATGAGGGCAGCCACCCGCTGCACCTGCACGGGCATGAAATGTTCGTACTGGGATCAGGACACGGCTACTTTCCGGGCTATGCAGCGCTAGGCCTGAAACCAGAGGGCAAGGGACTTTTGAACCCGCAGAATGCGAGCGTCATTGCCAGTCCAGTTCGGCGTGACGTCGTATCTGTCGAGGGGTTCGGATGGACCATACTGCGCGTGGTCGTGGACAACCCGGGCGTGTGGAAGTTCCACTGCCACATGATTTGGCACGGGGACGGCGGCATGGGCATGTTGCTACTGTCGCGGACGGACGTGCTGCGGGACATTGTGATACCCGAGGCAAACCGGGCCCTCTGCGAGGCGAGCACCGCCGAGCTGGAGTCGGGTGGAGCGCCCAAGGACAGCCTATGGTCGGGGCGGTAATTCAGCATCACTGCATGTAAAACAATGTTAAGACATAGAAAGCATTAATGAAATAAATAATGACAAATGCAGATTGCTAAGGGACAAAAAGGTAAAAGCAAGATAACAATCCCAAATCCCATGGTTTTCCTTGCCGTCATCCTATGCATGATTATAGAACGATGGAAAAGGAGAAAGAATAAAACTGAACGGCATGATACAACACTGCTACTGCACACTGTACCCCCCTTTCCGTTTGTATTGCATTGGTCGTGCGGACGTGTTTGTTTCGTTTGACTGTCGCCTCTCGGTCACTTATGCCGCCGTTGCGCTGGGCTTGACGCTGAACTCGGTGAAGAAGTCCTTGTCGCTCTCGAGCTCTTCCTTGATCTGGTGAGGGGGTTAGCAACGGTCAAAGAAACACAAGACAGGACAACTGACACGTAGCATGGGGGAGGGCGAGAGGACTCACAATGTCCAGACCACCGACCAGCTCGCCGCGCATCCACAGCTGCGGGTACGTCGGCCAGTCGGCAAACTCCTTGAGGCCCTGCCGCACCTCGTCGTCGGCCAGGATGTTGAAGAACCCGTACTTGACGCCGTGCTCACGCAGGATGGCCACCAGCCGCCGGGAGAAACCGCACTGCGGATCGCCCGGCGTGCCCTTCATGAACAGCATCACGGGCGCCGCCTTGACCAGGTCGCCCAGCCGCTTGAACAGCTCCTCCTTTTGCTGTGCCGGGTCGGGCGTCGCCGCCGCAATGGGAGCTATTGCCGCGCCGGCACCGCTCGACTGTGCCTGCCCCGCTGCCGCTGCCGCTGGCGACGCCGATGTGCCGCCCGCCGCCCCTCCCTTGGCGTGCTGCTCAATGGCGGCGCGCACCTTGAGGGCGCTGCTGCCGCTGACCGTCTCGAGAACCTGGCCGTTGCGCAGGAGCACGAGGAACGGCACGGCAGTGACATCATACTGCTCACTGACGTCGCTCAGGTCCTCGGCGTTGAGCGAGACCCACGACGTCGTCGGCGGCGTGGGTGTCGGCGGGTATTCGTCGGCCAGGGCCTGCAGGACGGTGGCCATTTGGGCGCAGGGGGCGGCCCAGGGCGCATGGAACGAGGCGACGAGGAGGGTGGACGGGTCGAGGGCGCGCAGGTGCGCGTCCCACTCGTCGACGGACTTGATCTCCTGGATAGTCGACATTGTGGATGTGGAGGCGGGAAGATCGTGTGGAAGGAGGAAGAGGGTCGAAAGGGATATATCAAAAGAGTGTCGAGGCTGAGGTGATGTCGAGACGGAGGTCGAGATGATGTCGAGAAGATGTGATGTCGAAAAGTTAAAAAGTTATCGAGGCCGGAATCGATTACAAAACAAGGCTGTGCGTTGGCCGTGAGAAACGGGCGGTTGTGTTGTCACTGTCTAGGGTTCAACGGGCACCCGCTGACATATTGGATTTCGCGCTCCGATGTACGGCTGTGGTGGTGCTATGGCAGGCCAAAAAAAAGGCAGAAAGAAAAAACAAAGAAAAGAAAATGGGTCCGGAAAATGCCGACCATAGTATTGTGAATTGGCTGTGGTCTGCTGGAAGGAGTGAGTTTTAGTGAGCGCAAAGCAGGAACTGCCCCGCGGCCGACGGCGAGAGTCAGACGAGCACTGTTGTCCCATTGGCGGAGGCGGTCTTGCATCATTTGGAGCAGTGGTTGTCTTCCGTTTTGCGCCTGGCCATGCCACAATGACGAATTAGAGAAAGAGCGACCGGCGGAGTCTCATGTGCACCTTCCCTTCTTGTATAAGTCTAAGTCAATTTATTCCATTGTAATCCAATCACATCCGATATGGTGTAATGGTCAACATCCGACGCTCTCACCGTCGAGCTCGGGGTTCGATTCCCCGTATCGGAGCTTTCAGCTTATGATTTTTTTTTTTTTAACTTTTTTGTCTTCTTGTAAAGTTGTCTTACGATGAATTTTTATTTTACCATCAGAGCTGTCAATTACATGCCCTTTTAAATTGTCCACTTTAATATTTTGGACGACATACGCTTCATATTTTAAAAATCGGCTGTGTCAATACAAAACCAATGTCTTAATTTTGCTAGTCAGAGTCCGATAAGCGACAAGACTTTTGCTCCCGGCGAACTAAAGTCCTCAAGGTCCGCCTATGCAATACGGCCTTCTTTCACTGGCCGGTCTGCTGTCATTAACCTTTTTGAAGGCTAGACTATTTATAACCGCAATGGAGAACGCAGATTGCCAAGAAGTGCCTTTGGTAGAATCAGGGGCTGTGTGCAATCTGTGGCGCGCACACGCTTCGTGCCGCAGCCCATGATGCAACAAGGCAGGCATGAAGATCGGCTACGGAGGGAACGGATGATGCCGCTGGTAGTGCAAACTGGCTTCTTGGCAAAAGCGACCCTTGTGCAAGGCGGTCAGAATATTGTTCTTGACTTTTACCATCGATAGTATGTAAGCATTCGGGTATTTTACTCCGTATGCAATATGCTCTGTTTGTGTAATTCGTCATGGCCTTTTGCAAGTATGGGGTATTTGTTGAGTTGGCGTTTCTTATTTGCTCTGCCGCACACCGTCCGTCTTTCAATAGCCATAGTATCATCAACAGAAGCGTCTAGACGGGCGGCGTAGCTCGTCTGTTGTCTCTCTCCGGTCAGAGGCGCCTATCGTTTCGTTTCGTGTTCCTGGTTGCCCTATGGTTCGGCTGCGGTGCTAATTTTGCTTTGGCGCTCCTGACAAGAATGTATAGATTTCCACTAACCAGGCGATATGCGCCGGATATGGGTCGTCTGTTGCAGTCAAAGAGAAGGATTCTGAAAATAGGATTGAATACGGGAGGGCCGGAACAGCTGTATTGACACAGGAACAGCAGGGCCGTAGCACTCACCGTGCCCTGGAGAATTAGAAACTCGAGATGTGTCAGATCAAGCGCCCGGGAAAATCAGGATCAGCAGCCAGCGAAAGCCAGGCCCAGGCCAAGCCAAGACCGCATCGGCAGCCAAAGTCGTGGCTTTCTCGCTTTCTCGCCAGATGACAGCGCAGATGCAGGGCCATGTCAACGACTCTGTCGAGTCTGGTTGCTTTTCATCTCCTCTTGTTCTCTCCTAAAACAGGATCAACTGTATCGAAACCCAGACCAGTTGCAGCCGGAGTGCGCGTCGTAATAATACGCATGGGCGCTTGGCCTGCCCGGTGGAGGCCCTGGGGCCTTATTTTGGAAACTCGAGAACATTATTGTGGAGTGTTAGCGTGCACTGAAGGTAAGGGGGCCCGTAACATCACGCGGGTTTCTCACTCAACACGTAAGCCATAGAGGGTAAAGTTATAATGAGCGCAGAGAGGGTGTTGCGTTGAACTGTAAAAATGAAGAATACGAGAGGCTACTTCTCGTAGACGTTTGAGCCCAAGTGGTTTTGATCACATGGAAGGACGTCCAATTCTCCCAGGCCGTCGTTCTTGCCTCCGACACTACGAATTACCAGTCCGATCGAGCTACAACACGCAAACCAGTTCCTGCCGTCTTTCTTGCCACTAAACATGGCACTAACGCGCCAGCGCCAGCAAAGGAGGCCGCCACTAGCACGAGAGCGTCGTAGTATTTGGTAGCAACTCCTGTATTGACGACGCCTCTCTGCGGCAGAGCCCAAACGAGCAAGGAAAGAGCGCTAGGTCCAGGCCAGCTCCTGCCACCAGGTCCACTAGACTCCATCCATTCTCAACCCAACGCCGAACAGCATCACCAAAACCACGCCAGCGCCAGTGGACGCGTCTGCGCCGTCGTGGGCTCCCGAAATCCCCCTCAGAACTGCTGGTGACCTCAATGTATCGGAGCAGAGTTTTATTTTGCCTTTGGTTTTTTTTTTTTGGCTTTTGCCCTCTTGGATCGCCGTTCCGCCTTTCCCATTTCTGCTATTCTGCTTGTCCGTCTCGTGGGTCGATGCCGGCACTATTCGTACTGTACTCCACTGTCAGGCCCCGGTTTAAAGAAATTTAGAGGGTAAATGTGCAATAAGAGGATTCGCAGTGGGATCGGAAAGAGCCCGGAAATGGTCTGAGCCTGCAGAGAAAGCAAAGCCACAACGGTTGCTCCTTCTCTTGCACTCGCAGGTCGACTACCCCATGCAGCAGACGCCACACACCACTATATTTCGCGAGCCCGCCTCCCCCTTGATAGCAGCCTCTTTCGTTCCTGCCGCTGTTGGTGCCCTGCCCTTTTTTACATTCGACGTGCGGAGTTTGTTGTATTCCGTACAGTGGCACACCCTGAGGAGACTGAAGACTGGGTCATCCTAACCCCCGACTGCCCCGACCACGAGCATTAAAACCATTCCAGCCCCTTTGCTCTCTTCCTTCCGCAGTACTCCTCTTTTTTCCTCTCCTGCGACAAAAAGCGAAATCTCTTTTTTGTTAACAACAAAACCGGCGACGTTTCTTGCATCCATCGTCCATCACCACCACATACAAAAGCATTCCCTTCGTTTTCTTCAAAAAAACAGCAAAATGTCGAACCAAGGGTACTACAACCAGGGCCCCCCCCAGCACTACGGTGGCCCGCCGCCCCAGGGCTATCCCCAATACCCTCAGCAGGTAAGGCTGTTTCGCACCCACACCCCCATTGTCCCTCGTATTTCGCACTGCAGGGCCCTCCTATCACCCGGCGATGGTCGCACGAATCCGTCCCTCTTGTCAACATGCCACAGATCGTCGACGAGGAAACCGCTGGGAAGACCACATAACGCTAACTTTTGCTTCATAGGCGTACGGTGGTCAACCACAAGGCTACTACCCTCCCCAGGGCGGCATGCAGTACCAGCAGGCGCCGCCGCCCCAGAAGCAGGGCGGTGGTGACGGCTGCCTCAAGGCCTGCTTGGGTGCCGCTCTGTGCTGCTGCATTTGCGACGAGTCCATGGACTGCTGTCTCGACTGCTGCGCGCTGTGTTAAAGAACGTAACGGGACGAGGGCGAAGCAATGTGAGGACAAAGGTCCATCGGACCTGGGCCGGCGATGAACCAAACGGCTGTGATGTATCGTTACCTTGTTCTTTTTTTTGTTTCCACAATCCCAATTCGAGCCGGCCACCCATACAAAAGCACGACACACATGGGCTTGCGAAACCTACCTCGACTCGGCGCCCTGTTGCGGCGTCTTCTCGACCCAGCTCACAGCAAGGACAGGACAGACAGACCAGCGACAGCGACGACAAAGGCAGCGGTGGACGAGCTCGTGCATGGCCGAGCGCGGAGTGGTGGTGGACGGTCGACAAGCGGGCGGGCGGTACTGAGAACGCGTTTTTACTTCTGTGCCTACTGTTATTTGCGTTGGTTGTTTCCCAATCTTTTGCTTTTTGTCTTTATCTCGCATGAGGTCTTCCTATTTCCTATGTACTTCTTGCCCGTTCTTATTTCTTCTAACGTCGTCTCTTTTGTGTTCCCTTTAATTACTTGCTCATTGTGTGCTCTCAAGAGATCTTTTGTCCTTTGCGACTGAGTGTCTCTACGCGCCCTTTTCCATGTCTTGCCAAGCATTTTGCTCAGTTTTTGCCGTTTGTTTGTTCCAAGCGCGTATGCTTGTTGCCTCTTGCATACAAAACATCAACTCGGTAATATCTGCTCAGCCACCGCATTGTATCTACAAAATATAATTCATTTGTACCAAGTCGACCATCAACAATGACCGGATGCTCAACTTGCTACCATCACTGGCTCCCGCCCTACTTCACTCTCGCTTGTTGACACCGGCTATATCCATCCAAATAGGAAGATGACCGGTTCCTTCCCTTCATATTTACATACGTCCCATTCGCTCACGAACGCCGGCTGTTTTGAGCCAGGCTCTTTGTTTGCCATTGCTGCATACAGAAAACTGCCAGCCCATCAGAGCCCCCTTTGTCCATAATCCGTCTTCACACGTCGTCGTCGGCATCTCCGACAGTGCGCCGGATGTTTTCATTTCGCTGCACATATGTATGCCCAGGTTGCACATTGTCACCCATTGCTGGCCCTGGTGATTCCGGAGTGAGATTTACAGCCCGTTGCCAAAGTAGATGTCTGCCAAGAGGCTACGAAAATGACCGACTCACATTGCGGGCCGCCCAGAGGAAAGGTTTCCAAGAGAAAGCCAGCACCTTTTAGGCCTCTGCAGAGAATACAGGATGCTCTGGCACACTTGTGTCTGCAAATGATAGGCAGAATGAGGTAGAGATGCGCCGTGTACCGTGTGAAGTGAAAAGGCTATGCGCCACACTGTAAGTCCCATCGTAACAACGAGACGGGGGACAGTGAAAAGCTTTAGGCTGCCTCTTGCACGCCTCTCGGCCTCGCCTTCCCAAGTCTCAATTGATCGCAGCTCGGCGCAGTTTGCCACTATTTCCAGCTCGCGACTGTTGTACCTTGCCAGGGGTGCCAGGCTGCCGAGTTAATTGTCGATGAAAGGACACGAATGCCTGCCAGCCAATGGGTTTTCATGGCTGCCTCTCCATATTCCGCTGCCTTGACGTAGTTGGGCCACCACGCACCCTCGCACCACAGCCCAGCCATACGTCTTGCGCGGCTCGTGGCAAGAGCCCCGCCTTTTTGTTCTGGCGCTCATTCCATCAATGTCGGCTCGACACTTCCCTACCCCACCACAGCAAAGGCACAGCCTCTGCTGCAAGAAGCTGGCCCTCCCTGCTTCCTTCCTTGTCTTTCGTTCTCTATTATGAGAATATAAAGCTCGCTAGGGCCGTCATAGCAGTGTACAGAAAGAGAAAGAGCTGCCCTATGCATTGGAACCCACCACTCTCGTCAGGGCCCCATTGCGCAGTGTGTGTCGCCGTTGGAAGGTCCGATTGTCTCGTTTGCACCTTCCATCGTTACAGAACATTGAGCACGACAAAAAAGAGATAGGAAAGATCCAAGCAGCTCTTCCCTTGTTCTCGTCCCGTCTTGCTGCTCATCGCAGCTCTGCCTCCTGCATTCCCCAATAACAGACGTTCGTGACGCCTCAGCTGGCATCTTTTGAGTTTTGGTCTGTCAGATCGGTTCTCGCGTCAACCTGTCACCCTCACCTCTGACTGCCCTTTTAGTGCGCTCTAGCTTGCTTTCCACCTGTTCCGGGCGCCATTTTGCTGTGCTGCCCCCCTTTTAGCTCCTCTCCATACCTCAACCAGCCTCCCCCCTCCTTTCGTTACCTTGATTTCCCCTCTCTTTTGTTCCATACATCTTCTGCTTGTTCCTGTATCTCGGTGTTGTCTGTCGTCCCTGTTGCTTCATTCAACTCCTTTTCCTTCCGTTCTCTCCCTCCCCCATTCTCCCCGCTCCCCCCTCACTCTCCTGGTGAGCGGATCGACGACCTACCACCTGTTACTCGTTCCTGCGAGCGTCGAACAACACCACATACACATCCCTCGACAAACCGCGCGCCATGACCTCGCTCAACCTTTCCATCAACGGGCCCTCCATCCGGAGCAGCTACGACTCTGTCATCAAGGCACCCAATTCGACCTCCAGCTCCCCCACCGACGTTCGTTGGGCCCTCTTTTCTGTCCAGGCACCCCTCGCCAATGCCTTCCAAGACTCGGGCAACAAAGAGAGCGTCCTCAAGGTCGACGGCACCGGGTCCGGTGAGCTTGACGAGCTCATTGAAGACTTCAGCGAAGGCCGCATCCAGTTTGCGTTTGTCCGCGTCAAGGATCCCAACTCCGGCCTGCCCAAAAATGTTCTCATTGCTTGGTGCGGTGGCGGCGTCCCCGAGCGCACAAAGGGCTATTTCACGAGCCACCTCGCTGCCGTGTCCAAGGTCCTCCACGGCTACCACGTCCAGATCACCGCCCGCTCCCAAGACGACCTCGAGATCGACAGCATCATGAAGAAGGTTTCCGACGCCTCCGGGGCCAAATACTCGGCCGGCAGTTCCGGCGATGCCGGGCCCCGCGCCGCACCGCCCCCGCTGGCCAAGAAGCCCGTGTTTGGCCCGACCAGCAGCTCGTCCGCAGCCCATGCGCCACTCGTTGCCGCCCGCAACCGGCGGCAGGAAAATGTCGACGCCGACGGCTGGGGTGACGACGCCCCGCCCGTCACCCGTACCCAGATTGAGAAGGTCGAGTCCGCATACAAGCCTGTCAAGGTCAACATGGCGGAGCTCACCAAGCAGAGCCAGCCCCAGCCCCCTCGGGCTGGTGGTGGTGGCGCTGCTGCAAGCCACAGCAACGACAATCCTGACGTCATTGGCGGCGGGTACAAGCCTGTCGGCAAGGTCGACATTGCTGCCATCCGCGCCGCCGCAAAAGTATCCCGCGACGACCGCCCGACCATTGTAAAGGGCGCCTACGAGCCTGTTGGTAAGGTGGACATTGCTGCCATTCGTGCCAAGGCCCAGCGCCCGACCGACGACGACAGCAGCGCCCGCCCCTCGCCCCCTCCTCCCTCTGCGCCGGCCGACGACGAGCCGGAGCCACCCAAGAGCCTCGCCGCCCGCACCGCAATGCTCACGCCGTCCGAATCCGATCGCCTGACCTCCCTTCCTAAGCCCAAGATAGCCAATAGATTCGGCGGCGCCCCTGCCTTCTCCGGTACGAAGGCTCCGATTCCCGGCAGCGGCAGCCTCGGCCTTGGCGCGCCCCGTCCCCCCAAGCCCCCTCCGGTTGGCTCGGCCAGCCGCACATTCGCCGACCAGGGCGGTAAAACGCCCGCACAGATCTGGGCGGAGAAGAAGGCCCAAGGAGGTTCCGGTGCTGCGAACCTAGCACCGTCCGGTGTCACATCCCCGCCTCAGGTGGTGTCGCCTCTGGGTGCACAGAAGAGCGGTGGCGAGTGGAAGAGCGGGTACAAGGGCAAAAGCTGGGGCGCTGTGCAGACGACCAACTTTGGCCGTGGGGGTGCCGTTACCGAGCAGCGCACTGGTGGGTCGGTGGACGCCAAGTCCCAGGACGAGCCGCCCAGCTCGCCTGGTGGTGGCGTCTCGGCGCTGCGAGACCGCTTCAAGGGTGCCCAGCCCATGGGCCAGCCGGCTCCTTCGGCCCCCGCTATTCCTACGCACACTGGCGACAACAGCAGCCGTGGCTTCGACAACAACAACGATGATGATGACGACTCGGCCCCGCCCCCGCCTATTCCCTCTGCCTCCCGGCCTCCTGGTGCCTTCCAGCTGCCTGGCTTGCCATCACGGCCACCGCCGCCGACGGACGAAGACGAGGAGGAAGAGGAGTCCCACGAGCGTGAACAGTCGCCTGTCCGCCTGGCCGTCCCTGTTGCTCGTGCGCAGGAACCGGAGCCAGAGCCAGAGCCCGAGCCCGAGCAAGAAGAGGAGCCTGCGCCCCCCGTCCCCGTCGCACCACGGCCTGTTCCCCCGCCGGTGCACGACGAGCCCGAACCGGAGCCTGAGCCGGCGTATGAGCCCGAACCTGAACCGGCTGCTGCCCATGCTGGCGGTTCCGGCGGCAGTGGCCAGCGTGCGCTGGTCCAGTACGACTACGAAAAGGCCGAGGACAACGAGATTGAGCTGGTCGAGGGCCAGTACGTCACCAACATTGAACAGGTCGACGAGGATTGGTGGATGGGCACCAACGAGCACGGCGAGACTGGTCTGTTCCCTAGCAACTACGTCGAGCTCGTGGACGACGACGCGGCTCCTGCCCATCACGACCCCACACCTGCAACGGCGACGCACGTCCCACCGCCGCCACCAGCCGAGGAGCCGGAGCACGAGGAAACGGGCGGCAAGAACCTGCCGTGGGCCTATGCCCAGTACGACTACGAGGCTGGCGAAGACAATGGTAGGTCGCGTCACACATGTCCAACTACGCTATCTGAATGCAAAAGTATCAAGGTTGCAAATGCTAACAACCCGCTGCAGAGCTGAGCTTCCCTGAAGGCGCCAAGGTGACGGACATTGAGTTCCCCGACGACGACTGGTGGTTTGGCCACTACCAGGGCCAGTCGGGTCTCTTCCCGTCCAACTATGTCGAGCTGCAGCAGCACTAGACACGACGACAGGTGGAGTCGAAGGTGGATGCTCGATGGGGCAAGGGTTGTCTTAACGTCTTGCCGCGCAGCGGCCACACTTTGCTTTTCTTTTGTATGCATGCTTCGATCGCAGCTTGACATGATTTTGCCTTTTCTACACGTCGGAGATGGGGGACACTGGCTTCTGCTTCTTCTCTTTCCTATTGTTACGCGTTTATTATCTGTCAAACATTGTTTCTTTTGTCAAAATTTCATTTCGACCGGTCAATTTTTTTTTTGTTTGCTCTCTTCTTCGTTCCGGAACCATTTGAATGGAGAATGCTTTGTTGTAGACAGACGACTTATGGTGAGGGAAGGCTTGGTGGCTTAAAAAGGTGACTCTGTGGATGGGTTATTTGACAATTAAACTCGGTTTGTTTTGAAGACGAGCTGTCTTAAAATGCGCTGAACAGTTTTCATTTCGTGAATGTGTCATTTTTCAAGTGCAATTTTTATATAACGGAATACATAAACCGTTTTTTTAAACAAAGGTTTAACGATAGGAAATGGACGAACCGCCTATCCCCTTCCACAACAGAAAAGAAAAGAAAAACAACCTTGTGCCTTATATTTGTCGGTTATTCCCCCAGTTGAGATGCACTGTTGCTCCATTATCAAAGAAAGTCTTAATTTAGAGGCAACACTGTCTAGTGCCAAAGCAAGCAAGCCGAGGCTTCCCTGTCCAACAGCTTGTGATTCATCACACTAGAGCACAGAGCTCTCGTTGTAATCGCTGCCCCGTTCCTTCCCCGCAAAATAGCGCTTCGAGATGAGGCGAATTGGTCCACAGAAGCTGTTTTTGGGAAGAAGTAAAAGTTGGCCCGGCGGACCACGGAGAAGGAGCAACCACGGAGTTTCTGTAGTCGGATCCCACAGTAGTAAAACTGTGGAGACTCGGCCATGTTGCTTTTAGAAGACTGAAGATCTGTAGACCCGTATCTGTGATGTAGATTGTACAACACTCTTTTCGTCGATACAATACAGCGGGACCTCGAAACTGTATCTCTTGAAGACCGCTGTTTACATCTATTTACTTCGACGGGTTGTACTCTGCCGTCCTAGTACGACAGTAAGCCAGAGCTCGAGTCTCTCCGGAACGCCCAATCAAAGAACTAAACGAACCAAAAGGGTCAAAAGCGCCAAACAAGCACCCAGCACAACACATATCACGGACCACAAAACACGGACAAGTGCCAAAATGGGCAAAGACACAAGGCATTCGGCCGGCACGCCGCATCCGCCGCAGCCGCCCATCCGCGACCCCCCGTACGCCGACTACCTCTACGACATCTACCGCTCCCGTCTGCTTGCCAGCCAACTGCCGGTCGCCACCACGGACCCCTATGCGCTGGAAGACGAGGCCCGTCGGGTCATGTCGAGCGAGGTGAAGCCCAACGAAGACGGCGAGGGTGCCATTCCTGCCCGGCCTGCTGCCTTTGGCTACATCGCGGGCGGTGCCGGCGCTGGCACGACTGTCGAAGCCAACCGCCGCGCGCTCGACCACGTTGCCCTCGTCCCGCGCATGATGCGTCCCGGAAAGGTAAAGGCAGGCACCGATGCAGCGACGGCATCGCTGCGTGACCTGCGCGTGCGCCTCTTTGGTGGACCCGGTCGTGGCCCGCCGGTGGATCTGGCCAGCCCTGTCGTCATGGCGCCCGTCGGCGTCCAGTGCGCCTACCACCCCGACCGCGAGGTGGGCGTTGCTGGTGCCTGCGCCGAGGTGGGCGTGCCCTTTTCCATCAGCACGGCGTCGTCGTCCAGCATCGAAGAAATCAAGGCGAGCCTTGACGACATGTGCGTCGAGGACAGCGCCGGCAGTCCGGCACCCGCACCTTGGTACCAGCTGTACTGGCCCCAGGACGACGCCATCACGGCCTCGCTGCTGCAGCGTGCCCGCGCTGCCGGCTGCCGCGTGCTGCTGGTGACCGTCGACACGTTTACCATTGCGTGGCGGCCGACGGACCTGGACGCCGGGTACCTGCCGTTCATCACGACCAACGAGGGCAACGCCATTGGCTTCAGTGATCCCGTCTTCCGGAAGAAACTGGCCGAGGGCGAGCCGGGCGCAGAGGACGAGGAAGGCGATGGCGATGGCGAGAGCGAGCCCGCCACTCCCGAAAACAACGCGCTGGCTGCTTCGCTGCGCTGGACGAGCGAGGTGTTCCCCCGTCGTGCGCGTCCCTGGTCTGACCTGGCCACACTGCGCCGCCTCTGGGGCGACGACGGCGCCATCTTGATCAAGGGCGTACAGCATCCAGACGACGCGCTCCTGGCTCGCCAGTACGGCGCTGACGGTGTGGTTGTGAGCAACCACGGCGGGCGGCAGGTGGACGGCGCTGTGGGGTCGCTCGAGATGCTGCCCGAGGTGGTGGCCGCTGTGCGGGCAGCCGAGGCGCGGGATGCCGGCGAGGCGGAGCGGAACGGCACTGGTCCGCTGCAGCCGGCGCCCTTTACAATTCTGTTCGACTCGGGCATCCGAACAGGATCCGATGTGATCAAGGCGCTGTGCTTGGGCGCACAGGCCGTACTAGTGGGCCGTCCCGTGATGTACGGCCTGGGCATCGCCGGCCGCGACGGTGCAAAACATGTCCTGGCGGGTTTGCTGGCGGACCTGGACCAGACGATGAACTTGATCGGGTGTGCGACCATTGCCGACCTGGGGCCATTTATGCTTCGAAAAGGCGGTGCTGCGGTCAAGGCATTGCTCTAGTTGGGAGGGTTTGGCTGTGTATTGACAAAATGAAAGTGCACTCAAGAAATAAAGAAAAAGAAGAAGAAGAAGACAGAGCCGCCCGTTGTGCGGGCTCCTTTTAGATCCGTTGCCTACCAACCTGTCCCGTGTAGAAACTCCAACTATCTTGTCGTCGTATTTTGGCCGCAACCTGACGCCAATATTTCACGCGCATTTATCATTTGTGACGTTTCGTTGCTCGTAAAATGCATTACAAAACCAACCACGAAACGCCTACCCAATAAACTCCGTCGTGAGAAGTGTTTCCCACGGCTTGCCCGTACCCCAGGCCTTTTGCATCAAGGCCCGCGCCCGGGTCACCTGCATCATGCCCGTCCCCTCCACGCTCAGCATGCGGTTCAGCAGGTTCTTGCGTGTGCCGTCGTCGAGACACTCGCAACCCGCCGTGAACAGCGGGAACAGCAGGCAGTTCTCGGCTGTCCCGCCAAAGCTCACGCGGTCAATGCAGTCAATGATTTGCTGCACGGGGCGCTGCACGTCAGGGTGGTCTGTTGGCTTGCCGAGAACACGGCGCTGCAGCTGCACAAGAGCTGCCCAATGGTAGGCCTCGTTGGTCGCCGTCATCTCGTCGCGGTCCCAGCGGACGGCGTCGCCGGACTGGTGCAAGTGAGCACATGGCCGCGGCCTCTGGACCATGCTGTCGCGCACATCGACCTCGAGCGACTCGACGCTCATCTTGATCTGTGTGCTGGGGACCCACGCGTTCGCGTCCTTGCGCGTAATCCTCAAGCGGTCGGGCTCGTGCCGACGGACGAGCTCGGCAATCTGCGACAGGACATATATGCAGCGGGTGGTGAAGCCCATGATGCAGTCGATTTCGTCGTCGTCCTGCGGGTCGTAGACTTTGTAGTCCAAGATCCAGGCGGGTGTGGCATCGGTGGGCCCACCGCTTAATCCGCCCAAGACGTCAATGTACGCAAACCAACTCCAGAGGAAGGAGCACACTTGGCCTTCCAGCGAGCTATGGTGGTCGACCCGGAGGCCCTCCGGACGCGTGGCGATCAGCTCGCGTGCCAGCATCAGATGCCTCTGCCAAGGGATGTTGTAGCCGAATGCCGTCGGGGACACAATGGCGAGTGACGCAAGCATAATAGCCGTCGCGACATTAGCGTTCGATATTTTTTGCTTGTGGTCGTCCAAGGCCTGGCGGAGGGCAGGAAAGATGTCCTGTACCCACAAAGCGATGCGCATAACGGGTTCCGTCTGTTCTAGAATGCGTGCACGGTGGGAAGCCGAGTAGGCAAGCAGTAGGCTGAGAAGGTTGTCGTTGTTGATTGCCATTTGTGGGAGGATCGTACGGAACGGATTAGACTGTGGATCGTCATGTGGCACGAGAACCCGAGCAGTGTTGTTGATAAAGTGGTGGAAGTACTGGCAGAATTAGCAAAGATACATGGAGAAGAAAACACACACACACACACACACACAACAAAAAAAGACAAAAAAAAGCCATGGCTTTCAGAACACGTACCAACATGTTCATAGGGTTCTCTGTCAGTTTCGGGGGCAGTGTGCCGAGCGCGCGAGGAATTCGGACAGACACAGGCGTGCTGTAGTATCCTCCCGACTCGTGGCCGGGCTTGTGTTGGCGTTCTGTGGCGTTGGTCTTGCTAGACTTGGGGCCACTTCGTACCCCCGACAAGGCGTTGGCGTCGTCGTTTTTCCCGAGATCCAGGTCTAGGAAACCAGCATCGATGCCGTAGTAACAGCTGGAGCGGTAGTGGTGATGGTTATCGTTATGCTGAGGGTCACGTTTGCTGTCTTCAGGTCTGGCTGTCTCAGCGGGTGGCGCTGGTGGGTTCGGGATGGGTGACGTCGTCGATGCCGGCGGTGTACCTGCCGCAGAGTTCGGGCCAAGAGGCCCGGAGAGCAGCGAGTTGACGCTAAGACGACGGAAGTCGCTCGTTGCTTGTAAGTGCAAAAGACTGTTGTTTGAATGGGGCGACGTCTTGCCTTGCTGTCCGTCTTCGTGGGCCCGAGGTGAGGAGCCATCGACAGTTGGCTTGGGTGTAAAGCCACGCGGCGGGGCGAACTGCCGTGGAGAAGGAGCGGAAAGGGAGCCAGAGCCCGTAGAAGGAGACAAAGGCCAAGTCCATGCGAAATCGCGTTCGCTGGCGTCTGAATCGATCCGCTGTCGCTTTGAGTGCCGCGGTCGAGCATCGCCGGAGTCGGCTGGCGACGCGCTCTCTGGCGCGTCTGGTGCAGACAACGGCTGTGACGTCGGTTGAGGCGCTACTGGTAAGAGCATCCGCGCTCCGTCAGGCGACTGGTGTGGAGGTGCAAGAGCCTCCTGCCCGCCCTTGGAGGCAACGCTTTTCAGTGGCTTCACGGGCCGTCGCGCGGCAAATTGCGACACGGCAGGCGACGTTGGCGAAATGGCCATGTTTGTCAGAATCTGGAACTGGCCGGCGGCGCTGCCTTTGGAGGTAGATGGCCGGCTCGGTCGTGCTGGCGCTCCCGGTCCACCTTGCGCTGGGCCGGTCGCCTGGAACGATCCGACGCTCAGGGTCGGCTGGGCCCCATTTGCAGTCAAGGCAGAAGCCGGCGGGGCGGCGGTTGGGCCCAGTTGGAACTGCGTTTCGAGTTGGGACTGTGGCAGCGGAGGCGGCGGCGGGGCGCGCTCGTCGCCCGAAGTAGGGTCGTCGAAGTCGTCATCGCCGTCCATCAGGGATCCGGCATCAAGATGGACAGCCTTAAGTTGCGGCCGCTTGGTTCGGCGGCCATCCCAGTTGAGGCGGATGCCGTAGTCGCACTGGTAGCCGCCTTTGAGACATCTAAGCAATCTGTTAGCCAGGGCCCAGCACCCGGGAAGGGAACGGAAAGAGGGCCACGTCGTACTTGGAGCAGCTCGGGCGCTCTTCGGTGCACTTGACTTTCCGTGCTTTGCAGGACCAGCAGCCGCTCCTGCTGCGGCTCTTCGGTTCGCGGCCGTCGGGTTTCTTGGGCCGCGGCATGGTTGCGTGTGTTTGGATGGTGGAAAAGGTTTGGTAGTTCGATCGTCGGTGTGGACGGTGCTCCGTGTGCCGGAGGAGGTCGCAGTCACTAGACACAGGCGCACGGGCGTCAGCGGTCCGATCAGCGGACCGGATTGGAAACAGATGGCAGCGCTGCCGCAGCCGTGGCTAGGCCGAGCGTAGTTGTTACCATCCGGATCCCGTGGTCGGTGCCAGAAGCGTGGGGACGTGGTGATGGCAGTTGTCGCTTCTTCAATCGGCTGCTATGCCTTAAGCTCAATTGCGCAAGTTCGTAATCTTCCCCGCGCGAGATGTGCTGCGGTCTGGGTTAGGTGTTCTCCGTTACCGGATCGCTGTTGGCTCACGGTCGGGGTCGTTGGAAGAGGGCCGTTAATCTTTCAGATTGTTGTCTAGGGAGTATTGCTGTCGTCTCGGTAGTTGATTTTATGCTTTGCGAGTGGCCGAAAAGAGACATAAAGCAGAAAGATAGTGACCCAGTCAGAATCCCGAGATAATCGATTGATTGCCTTAGGGCGAACCTGTAAAGCGACTAAAGCGCCGCCCCGTTGGTTGACGTTAGCTCCAACAGTGACGGCGCCGTTTCTTGACGTAGAGCTGTTGTTGTGAGGGGAATGTTTTGAATGTACTATATCAGGAGACAGCGACGGGGCGCCTTGGGCTGACAGCTCCAATGGCCAGGATATCTCAGTGGGACGTGCGTGCGAGTGGCCGCTTGTTGGCCCTGGTCGTTCGGTTTCTTTGGCTGGAGAGTTGGTGATGATTTTGAGCTAGAGGACTGGATGCATGGTTTTCTTGCGTAACCTCTCATGCATTTCAAGTGCTTTGTTTAGGAAGGTGCGACTTTCTTCTACGGAAGGGGCGGAGGAGGAGCGTTCTTGCTCTTTTTTTTATAATATCGTTCTCTTTGCTGGGGAACCGTTACTACGCGCTTGCTCTTTCCTGGAGTTTGGTCTGGTCGTTCCTTCTAAATTTGATATGACAGATCCAACGGAAAGAACGGTAAAGCAGAACGCAGCCTCGACCTTTTCGGAGCATTATCAGCTACAATCGCGGATGCTGTGTGTTCTCGGACCTTGTGAATTCGTTTCTCCCTAAGTTAAGAGAGAGTCTTGTCTTCTCCATAGAGGTTTTTACCATCAGTGTCCAGTTAGAAAAGGCGTCAGTGAGAGCGAACGGCAGCTCGAGAGAGTGGAGACCGCCCTCTTGCCGTTGGCGTTCCTGGCGTGGGTTGCAGCTGCCTGCACATGAAGAAAGACATACAGCACCTGCTTTCATGCAGGTTGAAATAGAAGCACAGAGGAAAGAACGCACCAACGGTAAGACCCCGCTGGGAAGGTACGGGAATCGACGGAATACAATGCATCTGCTACGCTGTATCTTCCACGGGCATCTCGGCACATTTTTTGGATCAAAGGAAGAAGGCAGAGGCTTTACTGCAACTTGGAGCAGGTCCAGACGAGCCGCTTACCCACGATAACAAAATCTGGGGGCTGGAAGCTAATGTGCGACGAAAGGCACTGCAGCAGAACCATCTGGGAATCACAGATTTTGTTGACGGTAACAAGAAAAGCACCGTGCGTACGTCGGAATACAATGGCGACGCAAGGAATATTACAGTCGCATAAAGGTTTGCTTAGGTTCCTGCTTGCTCTCTGTTCCGGAGTATCGATGCGTATTTTCGCGTGTTTTCGTGCAGCCGCAACGCACCATTGTTGTTGTTCGTCGACTCTTGCAGACTGCTAGTTCCTGCGGCATTGTCGGCGCGTTATGGCGTATATTGGCCTTGGGGACACGACCGTACTACGTCTGAAACGGTGGGAGGTTGACACGGTCGAGGCGCAAGACCCCGGACAATGTGACGCAGGGCGTGCAGACAGGGCCGCAGCCACGGCCACGGACGCGGTACGCAGCGGCATATGGGATGCGTTTAGATTTCAGATGTCAGCTTTCAACTTGCAAATGTCGCTTTCGTATTATGGCATCGCGTGTCTATCTTTTCTCTCGTGTCCTATTGGATGTCGATGCTAAGGATCTTGATGTCTTCTTCGGGCCGCTCTTTGAACGTGCGTGTGTTCTCAATGCGATGCACCACGTCCGTACCCTGGTGGACGCGGCCAAAGATTGTGTGCTTGTTGTCAAGCCAGGGCTGCGTTGTTAGTATGCGTCGGCAGACACGAAACAAAACAGAAGAGACGAAGAGAACAAAGGGGGGGAGACGGGGGTGACGCACTGTCTTCACCGTGGTGATAAAAAACTGGCTGCCGTTGGTGTTCGGCCCTGCATTGGCCATACTGACGGTGTACGGCTTGTCATGCTTGAGCGAGCTGAACTCGTCCTCAAACGTATGGCCCCAGATGCTGTCGCCGCCGGTGCCGTCGCCCATGGGGTCACCGCCCTGGATCATGAACTGGCGGATGACGCGGTGGAAGATGGTGTTGTTGTAGTAGCCGCGGCGGGCGTGCGTCACAAAGTTCTCGACCGCCTTGGGCGCCGAGCCAGGGAACAGCCGGATGTGGATGTCTCCATGCGTCGTGTGCATAATGGCGTTGGTGCCAGACGCGGCGTCCTTGTTGTCCGCGGCGCCCTGCTTCTTGCTGCCCTTGCCCTGGCCAGTCACTGTGGGCCTCTCGTTCAAAATGTCACGGGCGTTGCCCTTGGGGATGTCCACCTGGTTGGTGAACATATAGAAGCGGGCCTTGCCGACAGCCGTGGCGACCAAGATGGGATCGCGCACTTCCGATTCCTGCAGCAGCGGATTGCTCGACGCGGCCATGGCCACCGTGGTGACGCCCTTCTTCTGCGGCTGGCCCTGGTAGAGCGCCAGCTGCAGCGGACGGATGTGCTCGTCGGCGCCGTACAGCTTGACGACCTGGTTCGTAAATGTGTTGACGACCTTGATGCCGAGCATGGAGCCGTACAGCAAGAAATGGCCAGACTCGTCAAAGACCACATTGGCCTTGTTGCGCAGCGCGTCCGACTCGAGCTCGTGCTCGGCGGCCAGGCGGCGACCAAACTCCACCGCGTCCAGCTGGCGCAGCGCCGTGCCGGCCTGCTGCATGTCCTCGAGGGTGCGCAGCGACTCGTCGTAGGTGCGGGTCAGCTTGCCCGTGGCAAAGTCAAAGAGACGCACTTTGCGGTCGGGCATGCTGAGTGTGGCGAACTGCTGTCCCGTGGGCGAGAGGGCGAGCGCCGTCGGCACGGTTTTGTTCTTCTTGAACTCAAATAGGCTCGTTGAGCTCTTGAGGCGAAAGACGTTGTCGGGCTTCTCGTACGTGCCGTTGGGACGCCAGTACTCGACCATGCCGCCGCTGTCCGATGACACGACGCAGTCGTAGGGTTCGTTGTACGCCATGAGCGTGACGGGGGTGCGGTGCATGGATTTGATGGTGTGGATAGGCTTCTGAGGAGCGACGTCGTCGGCAACAGTAACATCGGTCGGCTTCTTGGACGTCGCGGCTGCTGCCTCGCCCCGCCCGTCGTAGATGTGGATAGAGGACGACTTCGCGTCCGTCACCGCCAGAAGAGGCAGCGACGCGCCGCGCCGGTGCACCCAGCAAATGCAGCGGGGCACAAGGTCGATGGCGATCATGGACAGAAGGTCGAACGTCGCCACGTCGAAGATCTTGATCGTGGAGTCGGTGGCACCAGCCGACGCAAAGCTGCGGCCGTCGCGGCTGGCCGACACGGACGCAATGGGGCCTTGGTGCGCGCTGAACTGCTTGACAAACTCAATGCCTTCGGCCACCTTTTTCCAGAATTTAACGACGCCGTCGACAGACGTCGTGATCAGGAAATCGGTCCCCGGCGTGAGCGTCAGGAACGACAGCTGCTCCTTGTGCATGAGCGACTTGGAGTAGCGTTGCGACGCCGGCAGCGCCGACACAAACAGCTTCTCATGCTTCAGGACGCGCCGCTTCTTCTTGGGCGCGGCCGCAGCTGCGGTAGCTGACGGCAGCTGCGGGCCCATGTCATCATCAGAGTCCGAGTCGGAGTCGGAACCGGAACCTGACTCGGAGCCCGAGCCGTCTTCTGCGCTGCCCTCGCGCTCCGCAAACTCGGCATGGCTGCGCTTGTTCGGCTTTCCGTCGGCGCCGCCCGTCGGTGTGTCGGCCATGTCGGGCAGAAGGGAGCGAGGAGGAGGTACGGGGTCGGGGAGGGATGATGGGCGTCGTGGTCGAGGCTGTTGTCAGTGCTGAGGTCGAAGAGCAGACGTTGAAATTTCTTAGGCCAGCTGTGCCTGCCTTTGTTTGGTTTTGGCGCGGGAGGTGCACTGCAGCCTCTAGTACCTTTCTGACTGTTGGAAGGTCTCTTTTAGCGGAGAGGCTCGCTAGCTCTCAGGCCCTCGGGGCCTTTCAGCCTTCAATATTGAGCCACGCAGTCTTATAAGCTTGACTTGCAAACGCTCATTATGGTCAGATCTCCTGATATCGAATCTGACTTTCCATTCAGATCATGACACTACTTAGCTGAATAGCTGCATTCGCGTGTTTAAATGCCGAGGCTGCCTCCTCTGTCAGGCACAAGACACGTTTTGAGTGGATCGGTAGAGGCCGGTATGATGTCAGGGCGCTTTTTAGCGGTAATACTGCAGCGCTTGGCCAGCTAAGTTAGCATGTCGTAATTCCGACAAAGCGTGGCAGCCTCTCTTCAACACCCGCCTTCCTCTTCCACGCTTCTCCCTTCCTTCCCTCTTTCCTTTTCCCATCTTCCCTCTTCGCACCCAGGAAGCGATTTTGCTCTCTTCAGCCCCAACGACAAAGCCTCACACGCCTTTCTTCCTATTCGACCGCACCCACACCGGCCGCCGACATGGATCCCTACCACCCGCTCCAGCGCCTGGCCTCGCCGGCGCGTTCGGCCTCGTTCGTCCTGCACCTTGCTGGCATCTGCTCGTTCCTGGCTTCGTTTGCCTACTTGCGCATGTTCCCGCAGCTGCCCGCAGACAGCTTCGGCGGCGACTTTCAATTCCTGACGATTCTCGGTCTGACCCTCTCGCTCGCCACGTTCGCCGTCGGCTACGCCGCCGACTTGTCGCTGTCGCGGCAGCTGTTCGATGCTAAGAACTTCCTGGCTGTCTGCGTCGCGCCTCTCGAGGTGCTCATCAGCGTTCTCTACTGGACCCTCTGCACCATCGACCGCGACCTCGTGTACCCGCCGGATGCGGATATCGCGCTGCCGCTGCTGCCCGACGTAGGCTTCCACCTGGCGCCAGCACTGTTCCTGACGGCCGACCTGTTGCTGTTCAGCCCACCATGGACGATCCGCTTGCAGGAGGCGTTGATTCTGAGCTTGTGTATTGCCTTCTTCTACTGGGCGTGGATTGAGTACTGCTTTAGTTTTAACGGATAGTGAGTCGCGACGTTTTCTGACACATGCCTTCCTGCTTCGGCCATTGCTAATGTCTCCCAGCTATCCGTATCCCATCTTTCAGATGCTCACGACGCAGCAGCGCGTCTTCTTGTTTGCTTTCTCGGCCGTTCTCATGACTGGCAGCACTGTCCTTCTCAAGCGGCTATACCACATCCTCAACGGTGGCACTCCGTCGGGTTCAAAGGAGGACTGAGGGCCGGAGGCGAACAGCCGACGGACGGAAACCCAACATATGATCTAAAGCGGACTCCTGTAAGGGACACATGGTCATCCGACGTCTACGATAGAGCGTACCACCACCGCACGGACACAGTATACACACCCAGGATAGGATACAGGGTACGGCATACACAAATCGAGAGATGTCCGTGCCAAGACGAGTAGTTGTGAGGGAAGAAATACCAGGATATGTCAGAGAATCAAAATAGACAAGCAAAATAGATACCCACAAAGATCAATATAAGAACAGCAAATCACACCCACAGACCCCCTCTTGCGACCCCTCCGTGCAGATCAAATCAGAAAGAGCTGAAAGAACCACTCAACCATCTTCAACTGAAAACATGTATTGTTGGCGAGTATTGTCTCAAGTCGTTGTGGCCGTACACGGCTGCAAAGACAAGCCTGGAAGGCTGCACGTGTCAATGACAACACCCGGGTGGCGGCTGTAATTGGCTAGGTTCATGGAAAGCCACAGTGCTGTGTTGTGGCCCACAGCGACCTACCCCTGTCCTCTCAACCCCACCCTAGAAAAGCTGCATTTTATTTTGCATTTATTTCTGCGCATATTTTAATATTTTAATTCCAGCCCGCCCGCACAGCGTTGACTCACGCCTAAATCGGACGAACAGAAACGACATGAAAATGACAAGAGGACGACAAGGCGTATGACCTTGGACTCCTCGGCGTCCTGCGCGTGGCGACTCGTAGACCCCAATTGACCTATCACCCCTCCAAGTCGAACCCAAAAAATATGAAAATAAAAAAAGGGAAAAAAGGCCGGAGCCAATCCTGCGCACAGGTTTCTTTGATGTTCTTTTTGGCCCTCTTTTAACAAGCTGTGACTCTCTCGCCTTACCGTCTTTCCCGTATATGAACATTTTTTGACATTTGACAACTTGTCTTGTTGTACTCCTCTGTTCTTCTTTCTTCTATGATTGCATTGAAGTGTGAATAGAACAGGTACTCTTGCTTCTCTGTTCCTTCCTATTTTAGATCAGCCCGCCACTGCTCCGACGCCGCGCCGAAATATTTTGTTCACCGGCCTGCTATTACGCCTTTCGTCTGCGCCCGTTCTACATTACGGTACTTCTCGCCATGTCTGTAAGTAACGGATGTTCGCTGGCGTTTACGCTGAGCCATCAGCTGCCACCATGACAGGTATTGGCTCTCGACTTGGAAGCTCTCTCGCTGACCTGATGCCGCCAGTCCTTCTACATTGAGAACAAGAACGTGGGCAACCGCGAGGAGAGCGAAGATTGGAGAAGTACTTGGCCCCGGCTCCTGTTGCTGTATTTCGTCTCGTCGTGTGTCCTTCGTTCAAAGTCTAATTGCGTGCGTTCCGTCGTCTAGTTCGCGGATACAACCCCCTCACGCCGCCCGATCTGCTCCAGCACGAGATCAAGCAGACTCCTGTGTCCAAGAAGACTGTTGTCGAGGGCCGCAAGGAGGTCGAGGCCGTCGTCAATGGCCGCGATGCCAACGGCCGCCTGCTCGTCATCATCGGGCCCTGCTCCATCCACGACCCGGAGGCCGCCCTCGCCTACTGCGACATGCTCCTTGCTGAGAAGGAGAAGCACAAGAACGAGCTCCTGATCGTCATGCGCTCGTACCTCGAGAAGCCCCGCACCACCGTTGGCTGGAAGGGCCTGATCAACGACCCGGACATTGACAACAGCTTCCAGATCAACAAGGGCCTGCGGCTGTCGCGCCAGCTCTTTGTCGACCTCACGAGCAAGGGCATGCCCATTGCGAGCGAGATGCTCGACACCATCTCGCCGCAGTTCCTGGCCGATCTGCTGTCCGTCGGCGCCGTCGGCGCCCGCACCACCGAGAGCCAGCTGCACCGCGAGCTGGCCAGCGGCCTGAGTTTCCCTGTCGGCTTCAAGAACGGCACGGACGGTTCGCTGGGCGTTGCCATTGACGCCATTGGCGCCGTCAAGCACCCGCACCACTTCCTGTCGGTCACGAAGCCGGGTGTCGTGTCGATTGTGGGCACCGTCGGCAACGAGGACTGCTTCGTGATCCTGCGCGGCGGCACCAAGGGCACCAACTACGACGCGGCGAGCATTGCCGACGCCAAGGCGGCGCTGAACAAGGCCGGCCTGCCCCAGCGGCTCATGGTCGACTGCAGCCACGGCAACTCGCTCAAGAACCACAAGAACCAGCCCAAGGTCGCGGCCGACCTGGCGGGCCAGATTGCCGGAGGCGAGCATGCCATCATGGGCGTCATGATCGAGAGCAACATCAACGAAGGCAACCAGAAGGTTCCCAAGGAGGGCAAGGCTGGCCTCAAGTACGGCGTCAGCATCACAGATGCGTGCATACACTGGGACGACACCGTCGACGTGCTCAGCACTCTGGCAAATGCTGTGAAGCAGCGTAGAGAGGCTGCCAAGTCAGCGTAAGGTGGGACGAGGAGGGCATCTCGTTGCTGTTGTTGAACTTGCTGCTGCCGTGTCTTTATTGGCGTTAGGGAAAACAGTGGGAGGATCTGGTTTAAAAGCTTTTCATTGTAATTTTGTGCATTTTATAGAATCAAACACCGCATGCACTATCGTCCCCCTTTGTTAGCAAAGGCAGCCCGTGGAATTTTGCACAACCGAAACAATACACAACTTGGTGATAGCTCTTGAAAACGGTGGTGTCAACAAGCTCAAATCGCGGCAAAAGTCGGCGCTTGTGCTCTATAACGGGGCACTCATTTTGTTGGCAGTAGCACCCTGGCCCCCCACAGCTTCGCTAAAAGCCGGGGCGTGCTTTCCACCGTATCACTATCAAACGGAGTGGACCGTTTCGATTCGGCGCTCTGTGATGCTCCGTTTTGAGATTGCATGCCGCTTGAAAGCTTCACAATTCTAAGCACAGAGGCTATTTTTGTGAGGAGGCCACAGTAGATTCGGTCACTTAGTGGTAATGAGGTAAATAGAGCCCTGAAGTAGCTCGATGAAGCTATCAATGAATATGATGCAAATGAAGGACGCACATTTGAATGGAGATAAACGGTATCGAAACGGGAATCCGAAATCATTTGGAAAGAACTCCTCGACGCCTGAGGCAGCATGTTTTGGTGCACCATGCTCCATTCCAGGCTCCTCGATTGGGTGCCGGGTGAATATTGTGGGGGAATTTTCGTCTGGTTTTCGCGCTGGTGAGCGATTAACTGCCCCTTTGCCCGAACACTTCTAACGGATTCACGTGCACGCCCTCGTGACAGCACTAATGCCGGATGGACCAATGAGCGCCGGGCTAAACCGGAATTACAGGGCATTTGTGGAAGGAGTTGGGTGCCAGCTTCCCGTTTCCTCGCTCTGCCCGCTGTCCACCGCAAGCAATTTTCGAAAAATCCTTTGGCTTCTGAGAGCAATCCACCACCACCCACACAACACCACCTCTCTCACACCCGTCGACCGTCGTCACCCTCTTCCCTGTTGTGCTTGTCGCCCTTGAGAGACCCATTGGCAAACGTTGCGATTGCCATCGACGACACACTCAACCCGGGACACCTCCCCCCTCTCCTCTCCCGTTCTCTTCCGTCGACGAGAAAGTCTACTTCGCCCAACATGTTCGCAAGGTCCAGCCTGCGGTCCACGCGGGCGTTTTCCGGCATCAATGTCACCAAGGTCAGCCTGTGCCCAATTGCCCTCGCTGCCGGGGCAAGCTGGGGAGAAATGTTGTTGCCGGTCTGGGTTGTTGGACGGATCGATTGGCCACGGGCGGGATGGCATCTCGACGCGTCCCGATTTTGCACCTCCTCGACGGCCAATTGACCGAAGGAACACACCCACCTACCGACACGACTACTTTCCCGGCTTGCTGAACCCCGGCATGGACTTATTTTGTTCGTTCTTGTCAAGTGAACACCTCATTAACATCAAACAGCGCGCCGCTTCTACGAGCTCCGGTGCCGCCGAGGCCTCGCCCCTGCGCCTGAACATCGCTGCCGCCGCGTCCACTGCCGTCGCCATCGGCTCGGCTGCCTGGTACTACCACCTTTACGGCCCTGTTGCCCAGGCGGCGACGCCGGCAGAAGAGGGGTAAGTTTATGCTTGTTTATGTTGGCGCATTGCGGAGGCACAGGACGACATCGTCTTCCGAAGGGATATTCGGCCACGTGCCGATCGTACCTCATCGACAGCCAATGGGCGTCATATGGCATCGGGGTGTGGTGCCATGTACCGTTCATGGTTGTCTTCCAATATTACCTCGGCGCTGTGCTGTTGTCAGAGTCGAATATCGACAAATTCGAGAACATGTGCTAACAATGCGTTAGTCTCCACCCCGCCAAGTACCCCTGGGTCCACGAGCAGATGTTCAAGACCTTTGACCACCAGGCGTGAGTTCTTCCCCGTTGCCATGTCCTCCCATTGCGCTCAGCTGCAGCGCACTAACTTCGCTTACCGCAGTCTGCGCCGTGGTTTCCAGGTCTACCGCGAAGTCTGTGCCGCCTGCCACTCGCTCAACCGTATTCCCTTCCGCACTCTGGTCGGCTCCGTCCTGACCGTCGACGAGGCCAAGGCTTTGGCTGAGGAGAACGAGTACGACGCCGAGCCCAACGACCAGGGTATCATCGAGAAGCGTCCCGGCAAGCTGTCGGACTACCTGCCCGACCCGTACCCGAACGAGGAGGCCTCGCGTTTCGCCAACGCCGGTGCCCTGCCGCCTGATCTGTCGCTGATTGTCAAGGCTCGCCACGGTGGCTGCAACTACATCTTCTCGCTGCTGACTGGCTACCCCGAGGAGGCTCCCGCAGGTGCCCAGGTTGGTGCTGGCCTCAACTTCAACCCCTACTTCCCCGGCACCGGCATCGCCATGGCCCGTGTCCTGTTCGACGGCCTCGTTGAGTACGAGGACGGTACCCCGGCTTCGACGTCTCAGATGGCCAAGGATGTCGTCGAGTTCCTGAACTGGGCGGCCGAGCCCGAGATGGACGACCGGAAAAAGATGGGCATGAAGGTGCTTGTTGTGACGTCGGCTCTGTTCGCCCTCAGCGTTTGGGTCAAGCGGTACAAGTGGGCCTGGCTGAAGTCGCGGAAGATCGTCTACGACCCTCCCAAGGGCTCGTCGGGTGGTCACTAAGGGGTGACTGCGTCCTCCTTTGATGACAGGGTCAGACGAAAAGCGACGTCACCACAACACACGAACATAAAACACAACTCTCTCCCGCTCTCTCTCTCTCTCTCGACACGAGACTATATTTGACAGGGGCGATATTATATACACAGCAAAAGAAAAGACTTATCTGCATGCAAAGTCATAAAAACGATACAAGAACGGTGGTTGGCGACGGGGCGGAAACCTAGAGCGCGACATTATTTCGGTGGTGGGGAGAGGATTCTTTGTCTTTCTCGGAAGAACTCCTGTCCCCTTGCTTTCTTTGGTTTTTTCCTTAATTTTACTCTATTTCTTGATTTTGCGAATGGTTCGCTGAACTTGGGGCTGGTAGACGGTAGAGGAACGCCCTGGATGTTGGCGAGAGGGAAGATTGAGAGCGATGGAACTAGGACGGGGATGTCTTTTTCTTTGTTTTTCTCCAACCTATTCCGTTGCTCTCTTCTGCCTCGAACTGTGTATCTTTACTCTAAAAGGAGAAGAAACCATTTAACATCATTTACCAAAAGGCGCGTAGGAACACATGAATTATCGGTGGCGGGCCGAAGACGATACAACGACGTGAGACATGACCTGGCGTAGAATCATACATCTTTTTATGTTCGTTTAAAACTCTTTCAGTAGTATAAATGATTTTATTGATTTGCAAGTTCTGCGAAGTTGGCCTTCATTGAAGTATGTTTATATGATCAAGCAATAATTATTTAAATTTCGCCAAAAAAAGCAAAATGTTTTTGTTTTTGTTTTGTTTTTGTTTTTTTTTTAAAAAAAAAATTAAAAAATACCTGTATTAATCTAACGATTCAAAACGGCAACTGTTATATCAATGGCAACGAATATGAGAGCAAAAGATGCTGGTGCTTTGGTGGTGACTTGAGGTCTGGCCTTGTCCAAAACTGTAGCAGCCCACTAATATTGGAAGGTTCCTGCCTGTTTTGGGCTTCCGCCAGCGACTTCCGTACGCGGTCCAAGGCCTGACTTGGATAAACAAACAGCCTGCAAACTTCGCCTTCTCCAGATTCCTGCCACAGCCAACAAAACAACGAAATGATTTATCACGATTGAAAGTTCTGACCACGGACGGAATGGAGGGTGCATCCGCATCGGTTGTTGACGATCCAGGATTGACATCTGCGTCGCCCTCGCCGTTTAATCTCGACGCAGCCAACGACCTGCTGGCAGCGTTTAACGTTGATGATCCTGAATCACGAGCCTTTCTGGCCGGCCTGCTCGCCTCGGGGACGGTGCCACCCGAAGAAGTCGAGCTTCTCGAAGGAATCAATGGGGTCGGCGGAGGGAAGACGGCGGGCCGGAGCTCAAAATCACGGCCAGAATTGGGATCGGAGCCACCATCGACATCGGCATCGCCTTCTCCAACCCCTTCTCCAAGCAAACGGCCGCGAAAGCAACAGCCACAACAAGGTCGGACAGTTGAAAAATTCGGCAGGGAGAAGAAACCAGGAAAACGTCGTGGAAGGGACACTTTCGCGGTCGGTCTGAAGACCAGTGTTTCGCCGTTCTTTGCAGACGATGCGTCGTTGTCAGGCGATAGCACTGAAGAAGAAGTGAAGGGGGAGGAGGGCTATAGAGATACTAGGGGTCTGGAAGCGGCTCAAGAACAGCCAGGTTTGCCAACCGCGACATTCACAAGAACCTTGGTCATTTGCACGAAAAGGACCGTCGTGGGCGGACATGCAGAGCCGATAACGATGACGCCGTCGCGGACCAAGGATATGCAGTCAACTGAGGCGGCAAAGGAAGCAAAAGCAGCAAAAGTCAAACCACATCAATCAAGGAGACCGTCACCGAGCAAGACGTCAAATAGTGAGCCGCAGTCATTGGCACGACCAACATCTCCAGTGTGCTTGTCTCCCGTCTCGTCAGCCTTGCTGAGCACACCGAAGCGGAAGCGAGAAACGACATCCTGCTTTTTTACACCTCCTTCGTCACACCACCGGTGGCGACGAGAAGAAGGCGACAGCAGCTGCAGTGAAGATGACCTTCCGTCATATTCCCCCGACGCTTCTTCACCAGTACCCGTTGCTGTACCGAAAAAAACGAAGAAGCCCGCCCGCCCTCGCCGTGGAACGGTCTCGGCCCTGCCGTTCCCGCGCCTCGACGCGCCTCACTTTGGACTGGTGCAGGAACAGCTCTCGGCCGACCCATTTTGGCACATGATTGCGCTTGTCTTTTTGACACGCGTGTCTGGACATGTTTCGCTGCCGGTGTTCTGGGCCCTCAAGGCCCAGTTCTCCTCTCCACAAGCGCTCGTTGACGCCGACCCCCGTGACCTTATGGCTATGGTGCGACACCTGGGTATGGCGACGGTGCGGTGCACAGCCATCCAGAGGTACGCACGCGGTTGGCTAAAGCGCCCACCACAGCCGGGCGTTTGCACTACGGTCAGGAACTATCCGACACCGCCAGAAGGGTACCCCGAAGAGCCTGGGCGGACTAGTCAGCGTCAGAAACCGGAGACTGGGCGTCCTCTTGGTTCACAGTGGGAGATTGGCCACCTGACCCAGGGCACATATGCGGTCGATTCGTGGCGGATCTTTTGCCGGGACGTGTTGCTGGGTCGGTCCAATGATTGGAAGGGTGACGATGGCGGGTGTATGTCTGGGCAACGCCGGCGGGAGGAGGACGAAGATGACATTACGTCCGAAGGCCCATCCGAGTCAGGCTGGGATGCTGGGCGAAAGTTCTCTCCAAAGTCTGGCGAACCTTTCCAGCCCGAGTGGATGCGGGTGCTGCCGCGAGACAAGGAGCTGCGAGCATGTCTGCGGTGGATGTGGATGCGGGAGGGGTGGGACTGGGACCCACGAACGGGAGAGCGGACGGTGCTGAAGGAAGATCTTCGACAGGCGGTGGACGAAGGCCGCGTGGCATACGATACCAAGGGACAATTGCAGATTGTCGAGGGAGACGCCAAGCGGGAAAATAAGCGGGAGAGGCTGGATGTGATTTTATGAGGACAAATTACGACAATGTACGACTGGATGGAACTACCACGAGATATGAAATGTGCATATTTACTTTGGATCCATGATAATAATACGTAAGTAAATATGGCGCTTTTATCTACTTCCGCGCTTACTCCGTACAGACTCTAGCTGAAGTCCTGATTGGGAAGGCGCACCCAGCCAGCCAGAATCCCACACCGCTGACAATAGACGCTGGTTGTCTCGAGACATGCGTTACGTAGATGTGTCCTTGGGCCGAAAGTCTTGGCTGCAGTGAGCCGCGAGCCTGTTGTCGTCGATGCATTTCCCATTTCCTTCTTTTATCGGGATCCTTTTCGAAGGAACGTTTTCCGACCTCTTCCCGTATCTTTCGGGACGTGCATGCCGGGTTCGTCCAGAGACAAGTTGGCATTATTTTGTGCTGTCCATCTGTTGCTCTCGAGGCTTTGTAAAGCAACAACCGTCGAACCGTTGCCAAGTTTGCCTCCTCGGTTGTCTGCGGTTTACTAGATTTTGGTGCTCCGCGACGTTTGTAGGTTCTCGTGTTAAAACGGCAGTCGGCCCAAAACGGCAGTCGGAGGCTGAAGAAACAGCCAATCAGAGTTCTCTACTTAGACCCACGCCGGCCCGGTCCCACCATATACCCTTCTCTTCGCTCCCCCCAAGCGACACCAACGGCCCCAGCAGCCGCGACCGCCGGCCGGCGATCCACATTTGTGCCGTTGGGTAGCCGTTCCGGGCACGACTCTTCCGTGCCTCGCCGATTTTTTTTTCGATTTCCCCCCCCGCTCCCTCAGCATGGCTGGGAAAATATCTGCCCACCTCCCTTCCTCCCCCCTCGTCCGTTGGATATCAGTGCCTTCTCCCATTCCGCCGTAGTGGATTCTCTTGCAGGCGTATTGGACACACATCCCGGCACACTGCCAAATGTGTTTTTCTTTTTCCCGTTAGTTTTCGTCTTCTCCTGCAGACTGTGACAGAAAAAGTCTGCTTATCTTGTGGCTGCATCCGCCATGTGTCTGCATCCTCCCAAACGGGTCGTTGACGTTCAAACCCGGTCCAACCAGATAACACGGCAAGACACCGACTTTTCACAGTCTGTTTTCGTTTTCGTTTTTGTTATCGTTTGCTTCACGTTTCTTTCGTGATTGCACTCTACGATGCATTGTCTCCGGATAACAGTCGAGTCGTCTTGGCGCCCGTTCGGGAGCGTACTTTCCTTTCTCGTCTTGGCCTTGGCCTGGGCTGCCCCTTCTCCGCGGTCTAGTAGAGCCTTCGAGTCATGTAGTTCTGTAGCCGATCGAGCGATCCAAATGGCCAACCCAGCAAAGCATTGCATCCACCTTGTGCGCCGCCGAGAGCCGCACGCTCTCGCCACCTGGACGTTGTAACAGTCCTCTATTTTCGTGTCAACGATGTCAGAGGCACGAGCATGAAGCCATCCATCAGCGAGTATTGTAGAGCTACGCGGCTCGCCCCTTTTCTCCTCCGTCGTCGTTACCCATTCTCCCCTAGAGTCACTACCAGGCGTTAACGTTTGCCTCCACAACAAGGCCGCTGAGGCCGCTCTGGCTACGGGTTGGCGCCGCCGACCACCGTCATTAAACGCCGTGTTCTTGGACGGCTTGAGCTAGTTTGCGTTGCTTTTGCTGTTTTTTTTCTTGGCCCCTTGGTTCTATAGTCCATATTTAGCTGTCACGATGCGCCCCGTCTCCTTTTTTTGCCTCGCCTTGTTTTGTTTGTATGCCTTATCATCGTCTTCTGATTATTTTTGTTTTTATTTTCCTTGTGTCTTTGATTTCATATCTCTGCCGACTCTCACTGGGATCGTCACACCACAACACTTTCTTCAAGATCCCTCCAAAATAATAATCAAATCTAAACGGCCACCCATTCTTCTTGCCGTCGACGCCGTCTCCCTTGATCTATTCACCGTTTTGTACCGTCTCGTGAGGTGCACGACTTCGGCATTTCTGTCATCATCGTCCCTTTGATTACGACCACCGTCATCATGGCAGATACACAATCATCCACGGCGGACCAGCTGTTCATTCGTCCCACTCAGACATCCCACACCGATTCGCAGCCCTCCTCTTGCGAAGACACGCAGCATCAGATGGACTCGCAGAAGGAAAAAGATTCTACGAGAAACCATGTACTTCCGACGACGTCAAAACCATCAACATCATCACCTGCAGAGAGCACCGGGTCAGAACATGCTGTCTGGAGCCATCTGATGGCCACCGTCCGGCCAACGCTGCTGGCTGAAATCGAACTCATCCTTCTTACCATCTTCACCGGCATGCAAGGTAAGCCAAGGCCGTGGTTACCAGGCACCCTGACTCTTTCGAAGACTAACACCACTGTCACAGATGCCGTCTCCTTCCCCGACTACCACTGCTTCGCCTCCAACCAGACCGGCAACACCGTCTTCCTCATGCTCGCCCTTGTGCTGCCGCACCTCAACGGCGAAATGTTCTTCACTGCCAACATCGGCGCCGCCCTCGGCTTCTTTTTGGCCGGCGGCTGGCTCACGGGCCAGCTTAGCCACATCATCGGTCCCCGCAACCGCCTCTGGCTGATTGCTTGCAACTTTTGGCAATCCGTCCTCGTCTTTGGTGCTGGCGCCATCCAGCATGTGTATGGCATCGATATGGTGGGCAGCCGCACCATCGCCGTCATCAGCCTGCTGGCTTTCGCATCCGGCAGCCAGGTCGTCCAGTCTCGCTCGCTGGCCATGACCGAGATCAGCACCGCCATGGCCACCGCTGCCTGGGTCGACTTGCTGATCGACCCTAAACTGTTTGTTCTCTCCAACCGCCCGCGCACCCGCCGCGTCGTCTTTCTCTTTGCCCTCGTCGTCGGTGCCCTTCTCGGCGCCGCCATCTACCGTACGGTCGGCTCGTCCGTGGCCATTCTCGTGTCGGCGGGCGGTAAGATGCTGGTGGCGATCATGTACCTTTTTAACGAGGCCGAGAAGCCCAAGGAGGAGGACTCGACCGTGTAAGGGTGGTCTCGTTTTCCCTCTTCGTCCCCCCGCCCCTGCCTCTCACGCCCTTCCCCCCCCCTTTACTCGTCTTTTATTTGTTTCCTTTTGCTGCAAAAGCGTTGCGATTGATTCCGAGCATTTCAATAATTTTGAGCGTTTTACACTTCTGTTTCTTCAAAAGAAACCTTTCCCTATGAGATGATAACATGACCGAAACCTGGCAATGAGTTTCAAAACTAGCGATGCATTTACAGATAGACACTTGGAACTTTAATCAATAGCTGAAGCTGTCTCAATTAGCTGCAAAAACACAAACACAAAAATACAAAATTACCAGTCGTTCCTTCCTTGTGACTTGCTTTCGCATCGTGCCTGACGTGACTTCTTATTTCATCGTTTCTTTGTAGCTTCCTATTTCGAATATTTAGGATTAGAACAGAAGTCGCGGCTCCAAAAAACACTCTACATTGGCAGGGACCGCCTGAAGGCAACCATTTTAGCGGGGCTTTTTTATGGGCGAGAAGGCGCGACACAACAACTAAAGCGGGACCACCTGACTACGCGACTGGCACAGCTTGACGCGCTCTACGCGGTCCGGAGAAACACCGTGCTGCGTCCTCCACCGCCGCCACATGCAGGGCAAGTGCAATGCACAGCCGGAGGCGAACCAAGACACACACCTCAGGCAAGTGCAACCGCCCAAATTGACACTCGGAAAGCAACAGCGACGTCCAGCAACACGCCCCAGGTTTAGATCCTGTCAAATCTCGACATCCAATCCCTCTCCCCTATTCTCTGCCTCATCGTCTTTGCGTATAGTAACTCACCACGCACACGCCCTTAGACACCCATACACACCCGCATACACGCTGGCACCAACGCTTTCTTCGAGGGCTTCCTCATGTCGGGCGGCAGTCACTGGGACGGCTGTTCCTCGACCCCGGCCCCATGACGCTCAACAACTTGTCTGAACAGCTTCCTTGGCTCTTGCGGAACCCAAACTCGACTCGTCCTGCGGGATTCCCAACCTCACTGTCCTCCGCCTCGTCGGCTGCGGCGTCGTCTCTGGCGCGGCCCGCCGCGGCGTCTTCTACGGCCGTGTCGACCACCACGCCGATAGTCCACTCGCCCACTACAGCTGCCTTGATATCAACGTTCCGGAAAGAGCCTGCTTTGTCCAACAACAGCCACAACAGCAGCAATACGACCGCCGTAGCAGCTACGCCGCGCACCTCGAACGCGACCGGCGCATTAACGCCTGCTCTCACCGGCACGACGCTCTACCCGTCCATGCGTTCGACACTGATCGCCAACTCCGATGTTCGTGACAGTCATTCGCCAGACGCCACCCTTCGAAACAAAGCAGCGAGCAGAGCTGCAAGACAACAACCACCGCCACCGCCGCCTTTTCCCTCGGCCCATATCATATCTACCACAGACAGCACAATGGGATCCAGCACGCCTAGCAGGAGACTGCAGCAGCCGCAGCAGCCGCTGCAGCCGCAGCAGCCGCTGCAGCCGCAGCAGCCACCATTGCCACCACTGTCCCGCCTCGTGCCACCAGCCATAGCTCGACAAATGTCTACACCCTCACGCAACAAGACGGCAGCTAGCGGTCCACCCGGCACGGCCAAGACTCCAAGTCGGGCGACACCAGCTGTACCCTCGTCACACACCCGGCGGTCCAAGACGCCCATTGCTCCGTCTCCGTACGCACTCGACTTTGGCTCTGACCTCGACCCTGACGACTTTGATTCCATTGTCGACCTGACCACGGACGACAACACGCCATCATCTTCGTCCCCTCATGCTGCACCGCGCGAAGATGTTCCGTTATGGCGGGAGGATTATGCTTCGAGGCCGGAGCCACGCTCAACTGCAAAACGTGGCAAGAAACGCAAGAGCGCTGACGTGAACGGGTCGCCCGAGAAGGCCACGCCGACGGCAAAACGAAAGGCACGTGTGGAGGAGCGGCAACGGAGCAGGGCAGTCGAAGACGAGGACGAGGACGACGACTCGG